AAGCAATGGTTGATCAATTGTCAGATCACACATAAAAAGCACTTTGGATTGCTATTATCTGTCTCACCGAGACGGATCTCAGACAGATCCTGAGACGCTCCTGCCTGGCATATTTATTTTATTCACGGAAAAAAATCAGACTAGTGATTTCTCTTGGCGTTCAGTTTATACATTCAAAGAGCATAGCACTCTATTTAAACTACTTACGTGTAAATCTGTTATTTGTCCATCCATCCATTTTCGTCCGCTTATCCGGAGCCGGGTTACGGGGGCAGTAGCGTCGGGAGGCTCAGACTTCCCTCTCCCCAGCCACCTGAGCCAGCTCCTCCGGGGGAATCCCAAGGGGTTCCTTGGCCAGGTCCGGTAAGAAGTCCGCTCCGACAGCTTCTGGTGTTTTTAAAAAGTATCCCAGGGGCACGGTAAGGGTCGGCGATGTTTAGTCTATTTAATTTCTGACTATATAAAACGATTTCTTCGGTTTTAAAGTGTGAAGTAAACTCCGACGAAGTAAAATCCAAGCCGATCCCGTTCATGTTCATGGTTAGATCTGTGTTTGTTTACCTTTTTTTCCTGCCAATATGGCGTCTACTAACTGAGAGTCACGTGGGGTCCGGAGCTCTATAAGCTGTGCATGGCCACGGCCACGACCCATAGACAAAGCTCAGTAGGGTAGAATATAAGGTTGTCTTGCAAATTGTCTCTGCATGTAATTGGACAGCTGCATGTAGGACCAATCAGAGCAATGAACAACATGATAAATAGATAAAAATAAGTCAATGGGGCAGTCCGCCATACGTTGAAGAAGCTGACACCATCTTTGTAGTTTTCTCTGTCGCAGCTCTGGTGCTATAGAGCTCCGGACGTCACGTGACTCTCAGAGAGTAGACGCCATGTTGGCAGGCAACAAATGTAAACAAAATGAGCGGGACCGGCTTGGATTTTACCAAGGGTCGGAGTTTACTTCACACTTTAAAACTGAAGAAATCATTTTATATAGTCAGAAAATAAATAGATTAAACATGTCAGGCAGGAGCATCTCAGGATCTGTCTGAGATCCGTCTCGGTGAGACAGAGAATAGCAATCCAAAGTGCTTTTTATGTGTGATCTGACAATTGATCGACCATTGCTTAAAATTAAATACAACTTAACCGGTTAATTGATGTCATCATAAAACACGTAAACGGCAGCACGCCGAACTAACGAGGCAACGTTTTACGTGATGTTTACTTGTTGCTGTGAGTAATAAGACAGAAAAAGCCACGCCAAAATAAGTTTAGGAAGCCCACTAAGAATCGTAATAAAAGCATTTAAAATAAATACCATACACAGTTGAGGAAACGTTGGTTTAAGTACCTGATATGAAGCGGTCGCTGCATAAGCGAAAACCTTTACTCTCGGGATCCCACAGTTTCATTTTAGCCCGGTCACTAGTGCGTTTTATTGCAATGATCCAACATTTGCGGTGTTCCAGATCTTGGGGAATCTTGTAGATGGCTCGTCCCTTATCTCGTCCGCGTCTGTTCTGGCATCCTGTGCCCAACAGAAATCTACCATATTTCCCGTTTGATTGAGTTTTCTGACAATAACAAATAGCCCAGTTGCGGGCTACTGCCTGTCAAGATGGCGCTTTTTCGATTTGAACAGTTGCATGCCGGGAGAAGTGATGTCAACTCCCGGAGCTCTATAGGAAGTCTAAGTCAATTCCGGACCACGGTCCCTGGAAGAACAAAAAAATGAACGCAAGTCAAAGGGGCTAAAAACGCTATTTTCTAATTCCGCTTGTTTTGTGCCATGGATTTCACATACGATGACCGTGAATTTTAAAGACACATTTTGATACCAAGAACGCATTTATTTTCGAATGGGGGAAAACACTATTTTAGGTTTTGTGTGAAAATAAGTCCAGGACTACAAATGCGCTTCACGAAAGTGACGTCATCGAACCAGACACGGAGAAAACTGGGAAAATGGCTGTAAGTTCAGCAAACTTCCCACAGGAGGAAAGAACCACCATAAATCTGGTCATGTGGTAAGTAGCAGCTACTCTAGGGGAGAGGAGATTATGTGGTGATGTCACATATGCAACATGCTGATTTTTGGTTTGTAGTCATGCTAATTATGAACAAGCTAATAAATCTCAAAGTACATAACTGGCATGGTTGAAACACCCATCATTACTTTTCATTTAAATTGCAGTACAACATGTGTGATCCAGGGCAAAAGACAAAGCGGGTTAGAAAATAGCGTTTTTAGCCCTGTTGACTTACATTCATTTTTTCGTTGTTCCGGGGACCCGTGAGCCGACCGGAGACTTAGGCTCCCTACAGTGAAGTAGGGGTTAGTCTCCTTACCTTCCAGTTGGCTTATGGATCCCCGGAAGAACGAAAAATGCAAGTGAACAGGGCTATAAAAACTATTTTCTAAACTACTTTGCTTTACGCCCTGAATCACATATTGTGACAAGGTGAGTATCCCAACTGATCATGGGCCCTGGCTACTTGGCCATAGGGATATCCTTTTGGCTGACTGGATGGCGCATGTGCCTCTCACCCGGGAATCTGGGAATCGAATCCTGCCTGGGACCTTGTTTCTCCACCATACCACAATATTTTGTACTTCAGTTTAAATGAAAAGCAGTTGTATGGGTTTCGACTATGTTATGTACTTAGAGATTTTTAGCTTGTAAAAATTCTTAATAAAAATGACTACAACTCAGATGTCACATGACGCCACCGCAGAATCTCTTACTCCCCAGCGTAGCTGCCACTTACCACATGGCCAGATTTAAAATGGTTTATTTGTATGTTTAATGCTCCTTCTGTTGTTTTGGAATAATTATTCAAAGCTCACTAAACTAACCTTCCCTTTTTCTCCATGTCTGGTTCAATGATGTCAGTGGTGAGACAAGCATTTGTAGTCCAATAAGTGTTTTCAAACAAAACCTAAAATAACTTTTGCCGCTGTTTAAAAATAAGCATCTGAAACCCATAGCACATATCAAACTGGATCAGAAAGTACCTTTTATCCTCTCATAGACTCCCATTCATTTCTGTTGGTGGTTGGGGACCCATGGTCTGGAAGTAGATGGGTGCGATTTAGGCTCCCTATTCACCAAGCTTTGTCTTGCAGAGCGCCATAAAATACGGTGCTTCTGGTAATTGAAGGCAACATTTTCCATCACACAGCAGTAGGGCTGGGCGATATGGCCTCAAATCTATATTGCGATATAATCTGAAGCATGTGCGGTAACGATATATATTGCGATATATTTTTTCCTCTGTTTATAAATGTCTAAATGATGCGCTTTTAAATATCCTCATGTGGCAAATATATGCCACTTGAGGCCTATAGGCCTCCTCCTCCACCCACTCCATGCTTGCAGTCACTCCATTCTGTTGTCCCAATGTCAGCAGGGTGCACATCTTAGTGACATCATGCGTTATCGCGATATCACTGTATTGCGATATAGCCAAAAACTCTATTACCCAATTTTATATCGTTTCTACCTTATATCGTTTATATTGCCCACCCCTACACAGCAGCTCTCCAGTTGCTCCAAATGGATTAAATCATGCCATACTTCAACAGAATATAACTTTTAACGTTATTACAGTTTTTCTCGATTGCTTTAACACATTTCTTGAAACACACACACACACACACACACACACACACACACACACACACACACACACACACACACACTACAAATTAGTCTTATATATTGGAGCAATAAATTCAAATTTATTTGCAAAACTGGCAAGTTTTGTTGCTTGTGGTTATTCCCCACAAAACATTTTCACATGATCAACACAAGCGATGCAACTGATGTATACACAGTGGTGCATTTTCACTCATGTACCATACAGTACAACATACACCACAAACAGTATTCCACCTCAGCAACCTGTCTTTGGTCTGGATCAGGCTAGAGAGTCTCATCCACATCACAGGTTATTCAGCCCTAGCCAGGCAGCGAGGGGGGGGTCTGATGATGGAGGCAATAGTGAAGCGACTCGTTGCAAAGCCTCCCTCATGGTCATACCATGGACAAGGACAAAGTCAACTAAAGTTGCTCAAATTTCACCTGCGAACACTTGTCTTCTTGCCTTTGCTCTTCCCCTATCTTGTCGCCATCTTTCTCAACCCCCTCCTCCTCGGCCTCCTCCTTGCTGATGTCCTAGACCCCCCCCCCCCTTCCACCTCCTTCACCCTGGTATCCAAGACATCCACCTCCTCTACCTCTTCCTTTGCATCTCTTTAGATCCATTGTGTCAAACCCAGAGTTCATTGAACGATCGTTCGTGAATTTTTTTTTTTTTTCGTGAACGTGAACCGAACTCGTTCATATTTTGTCTGACAAACGTGGCGCGCATGAATGGGTTTATGAACGTGTTCTTTTTCTGTTCTAGCTTGAGATCTCTACGGAGCTTTTCCGGAGCTAAAGCCTTGTTAAAACATCTTGTTAACCATAGAGTTTATAAAAAGTAGAACCCGTAAAGTGTGTATATATATATATATATATATATATATATATATATATATATATATATATATATATATATATATACATATATATATATATATATATATGTATATGTATATATATATATATATATGTATAGGAGAAAAAAGAACCATGAACTAGTTTGTTTTTGTAACAGTGAACTTAGTTCAAATTTTTTAGAATTGTGAACTAAGAAACAAAGTAGTTCGTTTTAAAATGAATGAACTGAACTTTGAACTAGTTCGTTTTTTAAACAAACTTTCCCAACACTGTTCAAACCTGAATGAGCTGGCTTTGGCCCTTTTTATCTATCGACCAACAATTCTGATTGGTGTGCGTTAAATTGTGATGCCTAGTGTTTCCACTTGGTTAATTGAGCTCAGGCTGTGCCGACTTCAGTTAACATCATCGACTGCTAGTGCATCTAAATGACCACATGGTGTCAGCACTGAAAAATGTAGGGTTTGTGTGTAGAGTTTAGCAGTAACAGTTCAACAAATCAACCTCATGTGTTAAAGCAGGGAAATCGGTGTGCTTTTTGAAGAATAGCATTATGGTTTTGGAATTTGAGTTCAAAAGATTGGTTATAGTATTTCATCAATCGAGATCTCGTGGTCAACACATGCCTAATATGTCTCCTTTAGTTATTCGTTTGCCCAAAGCATGCACACCCCAACGTGCAATATTCCGTTCCACCAGTAGGTGACACTAATGTGACATGGAAAAAAACAAAATGTCCAGTTTTGAATATTAAAATCATCAAATGAGAACAAATAAACACATTTAACTTTTCTTTTTTTTCTCCTTAACATCAAGGGGGGTGGTGCCACAGTGCTCCCTATGGACAAGCCACCACTGGCAGACTGGATATTTATGCTGCTGTGACCCCCAGACTCTGGAACTCTCTCCTCCTGAGCCTGAGATCAGTGGACTCAGTGGTCTCCTTTAAAAAGCAGCTGAAGACTCACCTGTTCAAGCTGGCTTTTGCGTGACCTTCGTCTCCTTACTCTGCTCTTTCTACCTTTTCCGCCGATCCACCGATTTCCCTCTTTCCTATTCATTTTCTCTCTACCTTTCCTTACATTTTTTCATCAAATCTTTTTTCAATTAAAACATCTTTTTTATATTTACATTTTTTTGTTTTTGTGAAGCGCCTCGTGGTTTTTATCCTTTTCTTGATTTTATATCAAATATCTATAAATATATTGTTACTAGTTTAAATAGCCTTCCAGATATCAAATATAACACGATTACTATTCACAATGAAAATTTCAGTTCTTTCACTGACAAATGACGTGACACGAGTATTTGTGGTCTCCTACAGAGCAGCACGGAAAAAAAAAACTGCATTTCTTCTGGTCACTGAACGCCGCTTTTGCGTCACACAGCAGCGATCCCCTTCCCCTGAACAGATTTAACTGCTCATAACTTTGGAAGAATACATCCTCTTTAATGCCATTGATGCTCATGGACGACTTTTTGGTGCTGATCAGTGACATCACCCACTATCAAAGCGGCCACGAAATGCTGACGAAAAAATATATAAATAATAATAATAATAATAACAACCTAACCCTAACCCCTCCTACCCCATGCGTGAAGATGTTATAGAACTGGAGAACTCCTTCTGTGGAAAACTGCTGCATGGAGGTGTACAAATGAATGGTTTCACAAGTCCTTCCTTCCAACAGCAGTTAGACTTTTATTCAGTCACAATTGCGCCTAACAAGACCGGTAAAAGGTGTGGCTGTTCTATTCTATTCTATTCTATTCTATTCTATTCTATTCTAAACCTGATTTCATTAAAGGCTGAGTCATCTGACCATCTTATCTTTCCATCTCAGTGCTCCTTCCTTAAAGTTAACACTTCCCAAAGTGACTATATATGCTGAAGATGGAGCAGGGTTGAGGTTAGAAGAACTCAATCTGGGAATTTTTCTTCCAGGTCTCATCCTCCTCTTCTACCTCATTTTTTACGGCTTTTTGGCGGGGATGTTTTCTCTAACCATGTGGGTGATGCTGCAGACGCTTGATGAGAACGTTCCACAACATCAGGACCGACTGCCCAGTCCAGGTCACTTGACACTTGAACTTTTAACATTCAGTTCAACATTAATATTTTAACACTATGTTTATACTATTCGTGCACATTTATCTCTTCTACGTGTTTTTTTTTTCCAGGTTTGGTCATTCGTCCTCATGCCATTGAAATCTTCTACAACAGAACAAACCCATCACAATACGAGCAGTACATCGGAGAGCTGCACGATCTCCTGCAGCGTGAGTCACAAACGTCAACACAGACGTGTCATCGTGTCACTCGATGAAACAGATTTACTCAAGAAAAGAAACCGCAGAGCTCCTACGTTCCGACTGGTTCACCTTCTTTTTCAGAACAGGAAAAGGCTTTAATTAAACAATTGTGGTTTTACAATAAAAGCACAAGAGTCCAAATAAATCCACCTGTATTACACTTTTTTCAGATTATAACGACAGCATTCAAGATGGGAATGACTTGTGTCTGGTGGGCGAATACACTGAACAAGACAAAGAGCCTGTGAAGAAGGTTTGTCAGTTTAAACGGAGTATTCTGCGCCAGTGCTCCGGACTGCCGGATACCAGTTTTGGATATGCAGAGGGACAACCCTGCATCATCATCAAGATGAACCGGGTTAGTATATTATTTCACTTTCCATGTCTACTCAGAGATAAGAAATTATTTACAATATCAACTAGGGATGTCCCGATCAGGTTTTTTGCCCTCGAGTCCGAGTCATTTGATTTAGAGAATCTGCCGATACCGAGTCCCGATCCGATACTTTCGATACATTAAAAAAAAGAAAGAAAAGGAAGAAACAATTCCAGAACGTTCCTTATTTTGTATTTAATTACCTTTTATTTTAATTTTTAACAACAGATCACTTCGGTGAGGTAGCTTGAAGAATCAATAAATAACAAATTCTTCACTTTTGGACTTTATTGCGAATATAAAAGGTCTAATATAAAAACAGATAGAACTTCAACTTAAAATACCTGGCAGGGGTCTATTTTGCCTCGGCCCCCAAAATGCTTAGATACGCCCCTGGACATGGGACGGAGTTTTGAAGATGATCTGAATTGTATCAACTATATAAATACTACATGCTGATAAATTATTGCTTCATACAGGTACAAACGTGTAGTGGGATCAATCTATAGTACCTACATTTTATTCTTTTAAGAACTTTGTTTTGTTTTCTTGGTTTTTATTTTCCCCTCTTCCTGTCCTGTCTGTCTCTGATCTTCCTGTCCTGTCTGTCTCTGACCTTCCTGTCCTGTCTGTCTCTGACCTTCCTGTCCTGTCTGTCTCTGACCTTCCTGTCCCGTCTGTCTCTGATCTTCCTGTCCCGTCTGTCTCTGATCTTCCTGTCCTGTCTGTCTCTGATCTTCCTGTCCCGTCTGTCTCTGATCTTCCTGTCCTGTCTGTCTCTGATCTTCCTGTCCTGTCTGTCTCTGACCTTCCTGTTCCGTCTGTCTCTGATCTTCCTGTCCTGTCTGTCTCTGATCTTCCTGTCCCGTCTGTCTCTGATCTTCCTGTCCCGTCTGTCTCTGATCTTCCTGTCCCGTCTGTCTCTGACCTTCCTGTCCTGTCTGTCTCTGACCTTCCTGTTCCGTCTGTCTCTGACCTTCCTGTCCTGTCTGTCTCTGACCTTCCTGTTCCGTCTGCCTCTGATCTTCCTGTCCCGTCTGTCTCTGACCTTCCTGTCCTGTCTGTCTCTGATCTTCCTGTCCTGTCTGTCTCTGATCTTCCTGTCCCGTCTGTCTCTGATCTTCCTGTCCCGTCTGTCTCTGATCTTCCTGTCCTGTCTGCCTCTGATCTTCCTGCATCTCCCAGTCCTCCAGAAAAACTCCTGCCTGCTTCCTTCTTTTTCACCTCACAAGTAACTTTTAACCAGCAGATCAAATTCATCTATTGACCGCAAAAAAAGCGGAGTGTGCGCCGCGCTGCTCGGCTGCGCCAGTGATGAGCGCTGCAGCGCGAGCGCGTCCACACGTCATGCTCAAACACAGACAGAACTTACCAGAGAGAAAATGAGCGGACACGAACGACTGTGTGTTAATTATATATTTTTGGTGACGCCAGTTAGAAACTTAGAACATGTTACTGCGGCCGTGTGCAGAACGCAGCTGCAGTTCATGAATGATCAGCAGTCTGCCTGCTGCTCTCTGCATCTCCGCTCAGAAGAATCCCCGCTACGCTGAGTCCATATAAATAATATAATAAAGGTAGAAACTGGATCTCTCTTGTGCTCCTTCTGGGTGTGCAAGTTAAGGACATCAGGGGAGCCTGACAACCTTTAAGGAGAACCAAGTTGCTCTCCTGTAATTTGAACCCAATATCCAACTCCGGATCGGGGCTTGGATCGGGAAGTAAAGCCCGAGTCCCGATCAGTCTGAAACCACGTGATCGGGGCCGATTTCAGATCATGTGATCGGATCGGGACATCCCTAATAACAACAAATGTCAATGTTCACAGAGATCTTCTAAGAGGACATTCAGGTCCAAATTCACCTATGGGCTGTTTGTCTTTTGCAACCACAGTTTAGCGTTCAGTGTCAAATTAAGAGATCCCATTCTGGTGCTAGCTAAGCAGTGCTGGTCAGGGGTGGACTGAGACCAAAATTCGGCCCTGGCACTTTTACGAATCGTCGGCCCTCCCCATTGGGAGAGCGTTGGGGGTGGGGGATGTTGCCGCCCGCGGACTCGGCTCTAGGCCGAATGTGACATCTAATATGGACTGGGACTGTGAAATTACAAGCAGGGCCAGACCGCTGCGACCGGGAGCCCTGGCCTCCTAGATCAGCTCATTCTCCATGGGTGGAGATCAGCGGGATATTGGCTACATGCTAACGCGGTATTGTGATTATTAGTCGACGAATAATTTGTAAGCTTTTACTTACTTTTTGGATTCTTCAATAAAATTCGTAAATATGGAAATATTTACCGATTTTATTACGTAATTAGGATATCCGGAGATATGCCTCGGGGCACCACCCTTTTTAACAAGGGAAAATGAATCCAAACCTCTTATCAATCTTGTCTAAACGTTCCGTGAAATCTTAACGAGCTGCAGTTAATTTCATATCACACAAACAAATTCACTTGAAACAAAACTGAATTGGCAATACATTTATTAACTAATATATTCACTTCAGCAGCCAGGCCTCCCGCGTGCTGTCGGGAGCCGTAGCAAACGAGTGCGTCTTTCAACGCCAGTTGAACTGAACAAAAGACGATACGTTTCGTTTTTCGCTGGGATTTATAGCTTTTCAGCTGTCTGGCGGGCTGGACTCTGTGTGGTTCCAGCACATGCGCAGAACTTGTTTTCTGGGGTTCGGCTTCGCTTTGATGACGTCATCACGTTCCTTCCGGGTGCAAAGAACCATGGGAAATGAAGTTGTTGCTGGCGCTGATTTTTAAAATGCTTTTTCAGAGCGCAGATGACACAGTCGTTTGGAGAAATTACTGCATAGTAATTTTCTCATGAGGGTAGACCCTCAACAGCGGTAAAACAACTTCTACGTCATCGCTCTACTGCATTTTTCTAGCTAAAAACGACTGGAAAAACGGTTATCTTCAGTTTTTCATGTAGCTAATGTTCTGCAGATCACCAACTGTGGAGTAGTGTCGGCCCAAGCAGGGCAAGCAGTCCACTTGGCTAGGTGGCCCACCGGGACAGTGCCAGAATGCCAGATAGGCCAGTCCACCCCTGGCGCTGGTACACTCTGCCCTCATTTAAATGAAACTTTATCCAGGATACAGAAAAAAGCTAACTGCTGCTGAAGGATGGCGGTTATTGCTCAGCTTGGCTCCAGAGGAATAAAAACAAAGACCCAGGTTAGAAATTTTGGTGTCATAATTAATTCCGACCTGAGCTTCACTGGTCACATTAAGGCTCTAACTAGATCAACGTTTTATCATCTGCATCAAACAGCACGACTCAGAGGTCTCATGTCCAGACAGAACCTAGAGAAACTCATTCATGCGTTCATCTCCAGCAGGCTGGAGTGGTCTTTTGTTTGGTCTTCCCAAAAAGCTGTGAAGAAACTGCAGCTTATGCAGAATGCTGCTGCTAGGGTCTTAACAAGAACCAAGAGAGCCGAGCACATCACTCCTGTTCTTAAATCTCTACACTGGTTACCAGTAAACTACAGAATCCATTTCAAAGTGCTTCTACTATTAATCCCTCAATGGCATGGGGCCAGAATACATGCCAGATCTCCTTCCTGTACTCATGCCCAGCAGGGCTCTGAGATCTTTAGGAAACAGTCAGCTGGTAGAACCCCGGGTCAGAACCAAACAGGGTGAAGCTGCTTTTAGCTACTATGTTGCTCACAGATGGAATCAGCTTCCTCGTGACCTCAAATGTTTAAATCAGAATTGAAAACTCATGTTTTCATCAGCCGTCGAATGACTGTTTCTTGTACTGCACCGCCTGCACTGTAACTGCTCACCCTTTAACTTTGTCTTTTTTTTCTCTAATTCTTAAATGTGAAATTAATTTGTGTGTACTTTAATTGTGATGTCACATTGATTTTAATGTTTATGCTATTCTTGCTAATGCAAAGCACATTGAATTGCCTCTGTGTGTGAAATGTACATATAAATAAAGCTGCCTTGCCTAATGGCTTGAACCCAAGAAATTGAACAGGCCATGCTTTCTTTGGACTGGAGCTGTGTGTATGTTTACATCTTGTTGGATGTGTTTGTCCGCAGGTCATTGGTCTGAAACCAAAAGGAGACCCCTACATCAACTGTACTGCCAAGGTGAGTCCAAATACTGCCTTTCCTATCAGGCAATACATGACCGCCAGATCTGTGATTACTTATCAACTCACAGGATGGCTGTGGTGGCTTTAGTCCTGAGGCAAGGCACTGACAGGATACATCCAATTCCTCCCTCAACCTAATCATGCCCGCCAGCACACATTAAATTGGGACCAGCTGGGCATGAAAAAAACAATTTAGACCCATGAAGTAAAAAAGACCCTTCTCTTCAGTTAACTAACTGATCTTCTTCGTTTACAGCATTTTCACCACACCTGCCTAAAAGTTTTGCACAGTACTGTATAAAATTTTCTCAAGCGATATGTGTCTGTTCAAAAATGGATGCAGGGTGATGTATTTGTGCAGGTGATATTTAGACATTTTGCATGGAGTGATTCACCAATCAAAACCCTTCTCACTCAGTTTCCAGCAGCAGGCCACGAGGGTTCCTCATGCTTGAGATCTTTGTTTTTTGAATTTCATTGGCTATTTTAAACATCAAACAACAGCAGAAGCTCAGGAGGTAAAGCAGGTTGTCCAGGAATCTGAATGTCGTAGGCTCGATCACGGCTCTCACCACAGAACACTGCTGTTAAGTCCTTGGGCAAGGCACTTAACTCACATAGACCGTGGCACAACCAGAAGGTTATCAGCAGCATAGGTTGTAAAGCAAGCATAAGCACCTTAGCTTCAATGCAGTACCTAACTGGAAACCACCGCAGGGCGTTTAAATACTCTCCCATCTTTATCACCCATGAAATAAACCTCACTACATCATCTATCATCTATCTTTGTATCCATCCATACATCCATCCCATCTATGTATCCATCCATCCATCATATCTATGTATCCATCCAACATATCTATGTATCCATCCAACATATCTATGTATCCATCCATACATCCATCCCATCTATGTATCCATCCATACATCCATCCCATCTATGTATCCATCCATCCATCATATCTATGTATCCATCCAACATATCTATGTATCCATCCATACCTCCATCCATCCAACATATCTATCCATCTATGTATCCATCCATACATCCATCCCATCTATGTATCCATCCATCCATCATATCTATGTATCCATCCAACATATCTATGTATCCATCCATACCTCCATCCATCCAACATATCTATCCATCTATGTATCCATCCATACATCCCATGTATCCATCCATCCATCCATCCATCCAACATATCCATCTCTGTATCCATCCATACATCCAACATATCCATCTCTGTATCCATCCATCCATCCAACATATCTATCTATGTATCCATCCATACATCCAACATATTCATCTCTGTATCCATCCATACATCCATCCCATCTATGTATCCATCCATCCATCATATCTATGTATCCATCCAACATATCTATGTATCCATCCATACCTCCATCCATCCAACATATCTATCCATCTATGTATCCATCCATACATCCATCCCATCTATGTATCCATCCATCCATCATATCTATGTATCCATCCAACATATCTATGTATCCATCCATACCTCCATCCATCCAACATATCTATCCATCTATGTATCCATCCATACATCCCATGTATCCATCCATCCATCCATCCATCCAACATATCCATCTCTGTATCCATCCATACATCCAACATATCCATCTCTGTATCCATCCATCCATCCAACATATCTATCTATGTATCCATCCATACATCCAACATATCCATCTCTGTATCCATCCATACATCCATCCCATCTATGTATCCATCCATCCATCATATCTATGTATCCATCCAACATATCTATGTATCCATCCATACCTCCATCCATCCAACATATCCATCCCATCTATGTATCCATCCATACATCCATCCCATCTATGTATCCATCCATCCATCATATCTATGTATCCATCCAACATATCTATGTATCCATCCATACCTCCATCCATCCAACATATCTATCCATCTATGTATCCATCCATACATCCCATGTATCCATCCATCCATCCATCCAACATATCCATCTCTGTATCCATCCATCCATCCAACATATCCATCTCTGTATCCATCCATCCATCCATCCAACATATCTATCTATGTATCCATCCATACATCCCATGTATATATCCATCCATCCATCCATTCATCCAACATATCTATATATCCATCCATACATCCCATGTATATATTGCTTTTATTTTTGATTTACTCACTATATTTGTACTTCTACTGTACCATGTTCAGCGCCTTGGGCTTCCTGACAGGGTTGCGGAAGGCGCTTTATAAATAAAGCTTTGATTGATTGATTGATTGATTGATATCCAGGGTATATACAGCAATCCTTAAGTAAAATGTACTACTTTTTAATACTTTTTTTACTACCTTCAGAATTTTTTTAAAACCATCACAACACTAAATTGCAAGTGTTAATCAGCGACCTATTTACACATATTTTAACATATATAACATACAAAAAGAATAGACTTAGAGACTCACTGATGTTGACAACGTATTTATTTTACTTAGAAAATAAGCCAGGCACTTCTGTTCAGCGGTTCAGACAGTTGACCACGAGGCCTGAAATGATGCAGAACGACCACTGAATATGACGTCATCATTATGTGACCGGATATGCTAAAGTAGGGCTGCTCGATTATGGCATAAACAATAATCACGATTATTATGACTGAAATTGAGATCGATTATTTAAGACGATTTTTCAATTCATGTAGATTTTTTTATTTAGTCATAAAATTGCTCAGGGCACAATCAGGACAAAAATAAATAGGAAACAAGATGATCACTAAAATAACTCCTGATTCCCAGTATAAAAAGACCATTATACTTATAGGTCATAGTTTATGATCCAAGGGCTATAGACCTTGGTTTACTAGTACAGACCCAAATACCAATATCTTGCAAATACTGACAGCAAGAATTATATCCATCCAACATATCTATCCATCTATGTGTAGCGTGGATAATCTACATACTAGAATCAACACTGTTTGCTATCAGTTGTTAGATCCTGAGAATGATCAAGCAAATTAGCACATGAAGCTTATATCATGTATAAATATCCAGGATACTTATATAATCGATAGAAGTTCATACACCAACTTGCTTGGTCTATAATTAATCCAAAGATTAATGTTTAATTTAAGATAAATTTAATAGCAAAAGTTTATTTATTTGAATCAGAAGTTAGGAACCTTTGCTTTTTCAATAAGCAGAAATACACACCATTCTGTGTTTCATTTCAAAGATGAGGCAGAGTTTAAAAATTAAGAATTTATTACTAACAATTTTAAACTTGACAATTTGAAACGACAATTCAGAAATGACAATTTAAATGACAATTAAAAATGACAATTTACCAGCTTTGATATTAAACTTGGTATCAAAAGCTTTTCCTGTGTCTGGATGGAAAGCTAAAATGAAATGAGAGCTTGGATGCGTGAATGGATTCTCAGAAGGTTTCTGTCAGAGAGACGAACTCGTTCTGGGTGAATGCTTGTTTTGCAGCTAACATGGTGGTTACTTAGAGAAACAGCATCAAACACAATCTGTGTGCTACCTCACCCAGCAAGACGACCCTCTGTGTGGATCCGGAGGTCAAGGAGGATGTTGTCAGCCTCAGGGTACTCGGTCTGGTAGAGAAGACGCAAGTAGAACCGATCCTCTGGTCCAGAGACGTCGCAGGGTACACAGTGTCGAACGTTTGGCTTAACCCTGAAGGAGTTTTGCGTCTTACTTCTCAAAATCAATAACTCTGAAGGAGTTTTGCGTCAGCTGGTTACAGGTGCGTTCATTCGAAGCTATTCTATCGGCGTGACAGAACAGTAGGTAGAGGTTCTCTCTCAGCCAGAAAGCTTTGGTCATGAGTCAAAGACGTGATGGCACATTACTTTTACCCTGTGGTACCCTCTGTGTGAGGCTGGTTACGTGCGAGGTGACCTTCTGGTTTACTGAACACACATTACTGATTATCATGAATAATAATTATTATTAACCCAAAGAATAATAATTCATTTCAGTAATTAAAATACATTTATACTGAACCAAGAGATCATTTATGATGATTATAATAAACAGTAATAAAGTCAAAGAGTTTATTAAAATTATTCTTTAAATTATTATTGTGATCTTGAAGTGTCCTTCAGTCTGGGACGGAACAGCAGCAGATAAAGATGATATTCAGCAGCCATCATGACTTCTCGCTTGTTTAATCTGTGGGGCAAAGTTACAGTCGACCCAGCTGGGGAAATGTGACCTTTGTCACAAATTAGAGGACCTTTGTGGCGCTACATATGTATCCATCCATCCATCCATCCATCCAACATATCTATCCATCAAATTTTTTACCATTCATCCATTCAACACCCATCCATCCATTCATCAATTCATCCAATATTTAACCGCCCATCTATGTATCTATCCATCCACCTATCCATGCAACATCCATCCATCCTTACATTTATCTATCCATCCAATAGTTAAACATCCATCCATCCATCCATCCAACATATCTATCCATCTATGTATCCATCCATCCATCCAACAGCCATCCATCCTTACATTTATCTATCCATCCAATAGTTAAACATCCATCCATCAGTAAAACAGTATATGTCGGTCTATAACTACATGCGTTAATAACATATGGTCTACATGAATTAACTGCATTGCTGTTTCTTTTCCCACTAGAGAAACACTCCATTGCCGATGCTTTATTTCCCACCTGAGGGTCGCTTGGATAAGATGTTTTTCCCGTACTATGGCAAAAAAGCTCATGTAAGTAAATATTTGACTATTTAAATAGGCAGCTGCAACACTGCCGAGCCACCAGAAGAGGGCTGTTCCCAGTCTAGTGTTCTTCCATCTTTCAGTCTCTATGGTACTAAAAGAGGACCACTGAAGTGTTAATTTTGGAGATGAATCATTGTTGTCCTGTGATGAAGTCTGAGTGTTTGAGATGAAGCTTCTGCGGATTATAAATAATCAAACGTATCAATTATTAATTACCTAATTTTTCTTTTAGTTTGGGCAGTAAGAGCCTTGAAAGAGAAAGTCAAAGCAGAATATCTAAGAACTAAGATACAGAAAGAGAAGATGGAGAAGATTTAGAAGTATTTGTTTCATGTGAAATAAGTCAGAAGATGTGTCTTCGTGTCTGATCAGAGCCGGAACCCGCTGGTTTGTCTTACAGTCTGAATACGTGCAGCCACTCGTAGCTGTCAAGCTGCTGCTAACTAAAGAAGACTTGGACGTGGAGCAGACGGTGGAGTGTAAAGTTGAGGGATCGGACCTACGCAACAGTGACGATCGGGACAAGTATCTGGGTCGTGTCACTTTCCGTGTCAAAGTGTCTCAGTAACCCGAGGAACCAGCTGCCATGGACATCAAGATTTAGCACAGGAAAAAGCTCTAATTCAGGAACCCTTTTACCCAGACCTGATCTGCTTCTGCACGCCTGAATATGGTTGTTCCTATTTGAAAACTGACATCAGAACAAATGCCGTCTACCTTTACACTGCCAGAACCATAATGGCTGCCTCGATCAACAGTTTACCTGCAGCTATGTCACCCGTTTAGTTCTGCTCATCAGAGAAAAGCATGAACTCAGAGTGAGCGGAGCCGGTTCAGACTCTCGGAACAGATCAGGTCTGCTGTGGAGGCCCGTGAGCCTGGAGCACATTGATGTGTTGACTCTTTGTGTGTAAGTGATATAATAAAATGTGATGCCATACCCTAAGAACCAGGACAGCACAGCAGAAGTCACACTTCACGTTTCATGGCCCATCTAGATGTTCTATAATCAGATGAATCGGTTTCCACACAGCGAAAGGTCTTACCCCGGCTTTCCACAGCAGCCGTCAGCAGCACGTTACTGCAGCAGCACGTCATAGCTGCTGATAGGAACCACTGTGGTCAACAGAACCTTTTCCACTGGAGCCGTCAGCAGCGCGAGTCGGCCGCGTCTCAGGAGCAGCATGTCGCAGCCTTTACGCGCCGGTTCTATTTTCTACGCGCGACGCCTCTGAAACGGGTCAAGTTCGACATTTTTGGGGAAGGAAAGACAGGAAATGGGACGCGGAAATGGAGAGAAGCTTCCCGAGATTTTCAGAATAAAGAACGTACTGCCTTCCGGTTGCTTTACTTTTAAAAAACGTTACTAACTGTGCGTCCCCGTGAGAAGTTATCACCTAGCTAGCGGTCTCCTTTGTTTTTCAGGTCCGTATTGGCGATTATAAAACGGACAGAACATAAAACACAAACCATGTTGTAATTTTCTCCTGCTTGTTGTTGTGTTTACTGACGAAGTCACTCGTGTGACTTCGTGCTCGGTCGGTGACAGCTGCTCCCCTGCTGCTTCGCGTCCCGTGGGAAGGGCCAAGCAGCAGCTTACGCGAGCAAGACGTGCTGCTGCAGTAACGTGCTGCTGACGGCTCCCGTGGAAACCCGGGGTTACAGACACGAAGACCATCTGATCCCAAACAGCAGACGCCATGGGAGGGGTGGGGGGTGGGGGGGGGGGGGGCTTGACATTGTGTTCTTGGGTTTTAAAGGAATAACAGCCCAAACGACTATTTCTGCAGTTCGGTTCCCTGCATGTCGTCTCCGTTTATTACTGACTGTAAAAACAAACAAAAATCAAGAAATGTGAAGTGACTTCCGCTGTGCTGCCCGTCCCTAATCGTGAAAAACTATGGAATGAAAGATGAAATTTTTATCTTAACTCAGTCGTTATTTTGGCAGAATTTAGTTAGATTTTAGTCTAATTTATGAGATCTTATTCATCAGGTGTAATTTCTGTTTATTAACTTGTACAGTTTTTAAAATGTGAACTAAGTGTGATTGTAACAAGTTTTGTGTGGCCATTGAACATGATGGAATTAGCATTACGACACCACTGCTGTTTAAATGTGCTGTGAAATATTTGGTTCTATTCAGAATAACAGAGAAATTACTAGTGAGAACATAAATATCTGCAGAAGACGAGAAAAACAACCAACCAAGTCTGCTGAAATGAAATGATCTGCGATGTAGTCAATAAAATCTGGTTTCTTCAAACGGCGTGGCAGGATGTGAGTTTTATTTGTAAATAACCAGGAAACGTGTTGATTTACTGAAAGTGGGAACACCTTTATGCAGTCAAACCTGTAAAGCATACAAAGCCCATCGGTCACAGACGGACAGATCACCATCAGCAATTATCAACACAACACATTAAGAATCCTGGTTCTGGTCTATAGGGCCTTACATGGACAAGCACCATCTTACATTGGTGACCTTCTTAGTCCCTACACCCCCAGCAGGTCCCTGAGGTCCAGTGACCAAAGCCTACTGGTTGTGCAGCACCAGCCTGAGGCTAAAGGTCAAAGGTGACAGATCATTTGCTGCTGTGGCCCCCAGACTCTGGACCTCTCTCCCCCTGAGCCTGAGATCAGTGGACTCAGTGGTCTCCTTTAAAAAGCAGCTGAAGACTCACTTGTTCAAGGCCCTGTCCACACGTAGCCGGGGATCCGCCAAAACGTAGATATTTTTCTACGTTTTCGCCTGTCATCCACACAAAAACTGAGTTTTTTCACACGAAAACGGATCTTTTTAAAAACTCCGGCCAAAGTGAAGATCTGCGTTTTCTCCGTTTTGGGTGTCTGCATGTGGACGGACAAAACCGGAGTTTTAAGGTCCGCAACGTCACTTTCCGCGACAAGAAAATGCTGACATCACGTGTGCGACCTGTGTTTACGCTAGCCGACAGCATGGATGCCCTCAGAGCTGCGCTCACTTTATCAATGGTCCAAGCGCTCTTTGCTTGTTTGTTTTTGCAAGCAGAATTACTGCTCCTTGTGGAAGACCACAGACGAAGGACGAGGTTAAGAACGGGGGAAGTACTGCCGCCTACAGGTCTGGCATGTCCTTAACAACGTATTTATCCGGGTAAGTGGACAGTTTTTTTTTAAACGAGGTGGTGTGGATGCAAGTTTTTGGAGGGGCGGATATTCGTTTAAAAAAAAAATGGCTACGTGTGGACTAGGCCCAAGCTGGCTTTTGTATGACCTTCATCACCACTCTCTCCCTCTCTCTCTCCACTGCTATCCTCACCTATTCCACCTTCCTCAGGATCCTGATTTCCCTCTTTCCTGTTTACTCTCTCTCTTTCTTAACATTTTTTAATCATAATTGTCTATTTTTGATCATTTTAAATATATTTTTAAACATTTTCTCAATTATTTTTTTATATTTTTACATTGTTTGTTTTTGTGAAGCGCCTCGTGATTTTTATCTTGAGAGGCGCTACAGAAATGATACTTTCTTCTTCTTCTTCTTCTTCACAACACATTAACATGTTTTTGCTTTGTCAGCCATTAAACACAGGCCATTGTGAGGATTACCTAGAATATGTGACTGCAGCGATAACTTTTAATCAGCAGACGGGGAATTTTAGCAGATTTAACATGAAGTATTTAACTGTAAAATCTGAACAGTGAAGACCCAATTCCATGTTGTCGTTCTTTTTTTAAAACACAGAAACGGTTTTGTTACCTGTTATTGACGCTGACGGCTGCCGGCTTCTTCAGGCTGACGCTGATGGTGGCACATCACTTCCTTCTCCGTTTATCTGACATCTATAAGATGTTCAAAGTGAAGACCCAAGCTTCCAACATCTTTTTTGAGATTTCAAATGAGAAACCGAAGAATTAACAGATCTCTGACCTTTACGCTTTTGCTTCTGTAACCCATGGCTCCCTGAAAAAACTGAGTATCTGTATTCAAATCTATCAGCGCGGAATACTTCTTCAGGGTTAAAGGGTTTGTGGGAGCCACAGGATCAAATGCGTCTTATTTCCTAAAGTTTCTTGCCCCCCCCCCCAACTCTCTTGCTGGGTTCTTAGCAGTAGTAGCTCATTATCTGAGCGTTGAAACCTCCAACCCATAAACCACACACACAACAATCAATTCAATAAACTGAATATATTGAAATATTTAACAGTTTATAAAAATTAATCACAGAGAAAATAAACGCTAAATTCCCTCTCCTAGAGGGTTCTTAGAGGAATGATAAAATCGAACAATCAATAAATAGATAAATAAATAAATAAAATCAATTGTCCTTTAACAATGTATTCAGGACTATGTCCCAGTTCTCTTGCTTTTGGGCAAATGGATAATTCAGTCCATTAAAATGTTGAAAAGTTGCCAAAAAAAAGTGTCCAAAACCCCCACTCAGGAAGGCGGGAAAATCCTTTGTCCTTTGAATAGTTGAGAGGTCTTAAATGATCCTACCACATCTTTGATGAAACAGGATATGATGAAAATGTCCTGCCATGGATGTGGCCCCCATGAGTATTAATCCCCTCCAGTGGGTCAAAGCAGTGCATCGGAGTCCTTAGATGTGTTGGCTTTCCGGGCAGGAAAAGGTGATTTAAACCTCAATCAACAAGCCTGCATGAAACATATGCAACAAAATTATAATAATGTCACTCTTTTTTTCTACTACCTTCCAAGCCCCAAAATAACTATACTTGGAAAAGTAGATTTCATTAACAAAAGAAATATAAAAGCAAAACAAATCACCTTATCGTCACAGGAAATTTGTGTACAATTCATTTTCTCAACAGTTTTAACACATCTACTCACAGAAACTGAGCTAACAGCTAGCCGGGTGGCTTAAAAATGCGGCTACACGAGACATACGGTACATAATGTATTATTTCACAGAACATAGCTTACATCAACGTTTTTTAACGTTGTTACACACATATATATATATATATATATACATTTAGTTCACGAAACATTAGATTAACTCACCAAAGGGTTTCATCAAAAAACAAATCGAGGTCTGCTTCTAACGGCTCCTCCTTCATAGCGAACACACTATATAATCATAAAACTTTTGTTTCAATAAAAACTCCTCACAAATAATCTTAAACCCTTCTCAAGTGATGGACCTTACATTCCTAGAAGTTTCCAGTCATCTGTTACTTCGCTGACGACAGTTAGTTTAACCTCTGCTCACCTGTTCAGCCTACCTACGGACAAAAACGTTCTCCGGTGTGGGGAGGAGGGCTGCTCAGCTCGGCTGCATGCTGCGTTCAAGTAACCCTCGTAATTTTTTATACTACCGAAAAACGGTTCCTAACAATAGGGAATTTTTTAAAGGAATTTAGGCTCAATAACTCCGGAAGATAACCTGGGTTACACTTTCTTACTTTAACTCTTTTCATCAAGTTCTTTGTTCACTTCTGTTACATGATGCTTCTTAAGGACTCCACAAGGACCCAGCACCTGTGGGACGAAAGTAAAATGTTCCTCGATCTCATAGGAATTGGAAGTGTTGGAATTGGGCTGAGTGAATCCAGTTTGACCGTGACCAGCTTGAACAGGACTTCAACAATTAATTTTTAAGGGTTGCTGTAAATTCATCATTCCGCCAGAAGAGGGTAGTGTTTTCATCTTACCGCCTGTGCTGCGCTGCACTCGCACCGCCACTTGGGGGCGCTGCCTCCTCGGCTCCTTCCAGGGGCTTGATGACAGGATGGCGGAGGCAGGGGGACCGGATTCCACCGCGGCCCGGTGCTTGGACGAGTCATCGGACAGTGAGCCAGAGCAGGAGCCCGGATCTCCGCAGAAATTAATTCGGAAAGTGTCTACGTCCGGTCAGATTCGCAGCAAGGTACGAGGGGTGAGAAGTTGGGGGTTTGTCCCGGACCTTCAGTGGTCATTTATCGGACTGGGCCACAATAAGCCCCCGGCTGCTCCGCTCTGTCCAAAAAAAAAAAAAAAAAAGCTCAGGCTTGTTCATTTTCTGTCTGATGTCGGGATGTTTTTAAAGTGCGAGTATTGGCTTTCTGGTTTGGTAGAGTTAGGTGGTTACAGCTAGCTCTCCCTGAGTTATTTACCCTCATCTTCCCTCATCAGCTGCCCACCGGAGGGGCTTCAAAGAGTTTAAACCGGAAAGCAAAAGCCAAAATACGAGCTGCTTGTTAGTTTTGAAGATGCCGAATTGAAGACAGGAATTATTTTCATTTACTTTCGCTTTAATTAATGTTTTAGTCAAGCGGGTGGCTTTTGTAGGCTAAAATTAGTTTAAAGCTGACGTGTTTCAAATATAACTTGGACCGAATGATTCTACGTTCCGGAGCTCGGTTTATTTCGGTTAAAATGCGCACAATAACCTGGCTAACGCTGCCGGTAAAGATACAAACGGGAACCAAATGAACGAATGTTCCGTTGTAGGTCATGTTCAAGTCAAATGCGAGTTTTTTTCTGATGCTGTTGTTTAAATAAGCGGCTAGCTGCGTAATGCTAACAGACGTTAAGGGATTAAAATGGGCCGCAGAACCGGAAACGAGCTCCCCGAACACTCTACAAGTGTATCAACTTCAAACCAGCCGCCCCGTTCATTGGGATCGATTCTCCGGATTCGGCACCGGTCCCGGACTAGAGACGGAATGGGAGACCCGGAACCCATCTTTCTGTCTCCCGTTATTTTTGGAGATATAACGGACTTTCTGCGGCTTGTTTGTCCGCGACATTAGCTCTTTGTTCGGGTTCATCAATGTTAATGCACTGGTTATAATAATAATAATAATAATAACAATAACAATAATTTTTGTTGTTGTTATTATTGATAACATTGTTATTATTTTTTATATTATTGTTATTAGTAATTAAATCAAACATTTATGTGCATCAAAACCAAAATATTTCTATAAAAGTTGAATCAACTGGTGTGCTGATTGTTTTTGTATTTTTAGAAGACACAAATGTTCTAAAACAAACATCCAGAGTCATTATTTCTGATATCTTTTAAGATAATTCATATGAGGCTTCATAATTCAATTCATAACTCATTCATCAGCTGATCAGCTGTTACTCCTGTAACTGAGAGACACAAACACCTCACACAGCTCTCCTGTCTGTCCTATGGTCCCTGAAGGCAGCAGAGACAAGATTTCCATCTGCTCTCAGAGGCAAAAATGGACAGGGTGTAGTCCTCGGGAGACATTTGTCCCAGCTAGAAGACATCAGGTCAGATTCTGGAGGGATGAAGAAGAAGAAGAAGAAATTTTTATATAGCCCCTCTAGATAAAAATCACAAGGTATTTAAATGAAAACAGGAGCAGATTTCAGAGCAGGCTCAGCTGCAGAAGCTGGTGCGAGGGCCAGCAGCACTTCCAGACGTAGGGTCATGGTAACCAGTGCAGGCATATTGCATATCCACTTAACCACTTAAAGGCTTGTCCAAATGACGGAAACGTTTCCCACCTTGACATGACCTAATTCCAACACTAAGCAGCTGAATGAAAACGACAACACTGGCTTCTGTAGATTAAGATTCTGTTCACTTCCTGTTTCTTGGTGGCAGCCTCTGTGGACTCTAAGCATTCCTGTGATGCCGTTATTGTAAAGACTGGCTCTGAGGACAACACAGAATGATTTTCATGGTTTTATTAAAAGTCTGGTGGAAAGGCTGGAACTTACAGCGAAGGGCTCAAGAGCTTCTCTGTACATCTGTTTACTTCTCAAGACCATCCATCCATCTATTCTCTTCCGCTTATCCAGAGTCAGGTCACGGGGAAATAGCCTAAGTTCAGGGGCCCAGACTTCCCTCTCCCCAGCCTCTTGGGCCAGCTCTTCCGGGGTGATCCCAAGGCGTTCCTTGGCCAGGTGAGAGACAGTCCTTCCAACATGTCCTTGGTCTTCCTTTAGGTCACTTGTCGGTTGGACATGCCCAGGAAACCTCACCATGTTGGCGTCCAGGAGGCATCCTAATCAGATTCCCGAACCACCTCAACTGGCTCCTCTCGATGTGGAGGAGCAGCAAATCTACTCCGAGCCCCTCCCGGATTACCGCGCTTCTCTCCCTATCTCCAAGGGAGAGTCCAGACACCCTGCGGAGAAAACTAATTTCAGCCACTTGTAACCACGATTTTGTTCTTTCGGTCACTACCCAAAGCTCGTGACCATAGGCGAGGGTAGGAACGTAGATCGACCGGTAAATCGAGAGCTTCGCCTTCCCGCTCAGCTCTCTCTACACCACGACAGGCCGGTACAACGCCCGCATCACTGCAGACGCAGCACCAATCTTAAACTCCTCCACTTGAGGCAGGACCTCATCCCTGACCTGGAGAAGGCATTCTACCCTTTTCTGACTTCTTCTGAAGACCGGTGCTTTGGAAATTCAGCAGAAATCTAATGTGCAGTAATCCAAAAGGAAGAATTGAAGCATGGGTCAGGAGCAGAAAGGCAGGAGACACTTCCAAATTCCCAGTTCACAGATCAGAGGCAGGCAACGTGCCCAGGTGGGGTAAGAAATGTGAAAGTTCTGAAACATCTGATCCAGATTCAGGCTCGGTTTCTGCAGTTAATGTATAAAATCATCAGATAGGTTCAAAATAAATCTGTAATTAGATCAGTTGTCCTTAAATAAATATATGGATTAGGGCGTTAAGTGAGGAGTTAAGTGCTTGCCCCAAAATCAGAAGGTTGCAGGTTCGAGCCCCGCTCAGTCTGTCGCTGTCGTTGTGTCCTTGGGCAAGACGCTTAACCCACGTTGCCTGCTGGTGGAGGTCGGAGGGACCAGCGACGCCTGTGTACGGCAGCCTCGCCTCTGTCAGAACGCCCCAGGGCAGCTGTGGTAGAGCCCTGCACGGGCCTAAAATCTGAGCCTGTGTCCGGCCCGGCCCGGCCCGAGGGGGTGGAGCCCCAGCCCGACCCGAGCCCGACTTTTTTTTTAAGCTTTCATAATGTTTTAGCGTGATAGAATGCTCTGCGTTATAATAATCTGTGGGAAGCGTTCTGCAGTAAAAAAAAGAAGAAAGAAAGAAAAACAGCATCAACGCAGCTTTTTTTCTAACAGAGCGTATTTTTCGAGCGGCAGATGAAATTTACGAACACTATATTAATTGGATGCGTTTGTAAATTTAATCTGCCGCTCTGAAAATGCGCTCTTGTGCAATTAGAAAAAAAAACAGCATTCTAATTTTCTAACTGCAGAGCGCATTTTCAGAGCGGCAGATTAAATAAACGCCCCCAGTTAATAAAGCGTTTGTAAATTTAATCTGCCGCTCTGAAAATGTGCTCTCCAGTTAGAAAAACCCAGCAGTGAATGCTGGATTTTTTTTTAACTGCAGAGCGAATTTATTCACAGAAAAATGGAATGCTGCCGTTTTCGTGAGAATAAACGAATGGTCTCTGACATCAAAGTGGACATAAAACGGCGTATTAGAATAGGGGCACATGTTTCAATCAGCAGTTTGAGAATTTGTTTATATTATAAACCACACAGACCTGAACTGAGCTAACGGTGCGTGAGAAGCAGGCAGGTGCTGCTGCGTTCAAGTGTTTCAGTTTTTTTTAATGAATTTGATTAAAAATAAAGGCGCCCGGCCCGGCCCGTGTCCGAGGTAATTACACAGTCGTTGGCCCTCGGGCCGGGCCGACCCGCGGCCCTAGGGCTTCAGTGCAGGGCTCTAAGCTGTGGCTACAAGGTAGCTCATCACCACTGGGATAATATTGGGTAAATGGTAAATGGCCTGTATTTGATATAGCGCCTTCTAGAGTCCTGGAACCCCCAAGGCGCTTTACAACACAACCAGTCATTCACCCATTCACACACTGATGGGGATGAGCTACGATGTAGCCACAGCTGCCCTGGGGCGCACTGACAGAGGCGAGGCTGCCGAGCACTGGCGCCACCGGTCCCTCCGACCACCACCAGCAGGCAACGTGGGTTAAGTGTCTTGCCCAAGGACACAACGACAGACTGAGTGGGGATCGAACCTGCAACCTTCCGATTTCAGAGCGAGCACTTAACTCCTGAGCCACCGTCACCCCGGGTGAATGATTGTGTTGTAAAGCGCCTTGGGGGGTTCCAGGACTCTAGAGGGCGCTATATCAAACACAGATTTACTATAAACAAAATGATTGGTTTGAAGCATCACTTCAGTCATGGTGATGAAGATGATGTGGTGGTGATGATGGTGGCTTAGGGGTTAGGAGTTTTCCCCATAATCGGTGGGTTGCCGGATTGAACTCAGGCTCTGTCCATGTCAGTCGTGCCCTTGGGCAAGACACTCAACCCCTCCTTGCCTGCTGCTGGTGGCTGGAGGGACCAGCGGCTCCTGTCAGTGTGCCCCGAGGCAGCAGACTAGGAAAAGTACCAGTTACTGTGATGATGATGATTTTGGTGGTGATGAGAAAGATGATGATGATGATCACAGCGGTAATGATGAGGCTCCTCCCCCTCGTAGACGGTGCTGAAGGAGGGAACCCTTTTGAAACAGACCAACTCGTTTCAGCGCTGGAAGAGACGTTACTTCAAGCTGAGAGGAAGGACGCTGTATTACGCTCAGACCAGCAAGGTGAGTCCTCATGTAGAATTAGGGCAGAGCCTACGTTTGTCCCACACTTGAAACGAGAAACTGATTTGGGTCCGGGTCATTGATTTCTGATCAGTCAGCTGATTTATTTTGCTTCGGCAGTCGATCATCTTTGATGAGGTGGACCTGACGGATGCCAGCGTAGCCGAGTCCAGCACCAAGAACGTCAACAACAGCTTCACGGTGAGTCCTCACAGCAGATCCATCCATTGTTAAAGGTACTCCCAGCCGGTATGGAGCTTGTGGTCAGCTGACAGATCAATCATTCAGGATGAACAACTGTGGAAGAGGGCCAAACAGACCCAACTGAGTTTCCAGGTGATTCCGTGTCACCTGTACGCTTTTGTAGAGACTTTATCATCATCGCTAATGAAACAGCTGATGGATCTGGTCACTGGCTGCTGTTACTTAAAGGTGCATTATGGAAGTGTGACAGCCAAAACATGTATAGAAATAATAAATGTCTTCTTCATACATTCTCCTGCAATGCCCTGGTCCTGTAGAATGAGCCCTGGCATTTTTACTGTGATTGTCTGTTTTTCTGTAAAATCACAGAAAAAGAGAGATGCTCGGGTCGAGCAGGCTGCTTCATGCGCGTTCACGCTCAGGCATCGCCCGTAGCATTTGCTATCCGTAGCTTTAGCAGCAGAGAGAGAGGCAGTGCCACTTTGTCGCTGTTCCTAACGCCTAGTGACAAAGCTAGCTACATTTCTGAGGACCCTTAGCTACTTTCTGTAGAACTTTCTTCTAGATATTTCCTGCAAATTAGCAACAAAATAGACATTTTCACTCCGAACCGTTCTTTGGGTTGACGTTGTTTCAGCTGTCATCAAGGATATAAAAGTTACAGATACAAAAGACGTCACTGGAGACAGCTCACCTAGTAAGATGTTGGACTCTCGAGCTGAAGACCCAGGTTTGATTCTGGGTGTGAACATAGTTTATTTAGAGTTTCTTTTTTACATTAATGGTATATTTTTTTACAGTAAGATGCCCAAATTTTTATTTGAGACTCGCTGAACGGCATTGAATTCACAGATAAAAAAGATGTGGGTTCAACTTTCATTTTGGAACAATTTTTCAAGCAAGGGAAGGGAATGATCTGAGCATGCAGGAGGACTGACCCATCATAAACCTTTGTCGGCTGTGCTGAAGAGAAAGGTACAGAACCAAATTATTTAATTAATTAGCTGCGCGTTCTCCTGTCCTCTGTCCTCCGGGCCACACACACACACACACACACACACACATGACTGTCTCAGCTGTTATTTTCGTTAAGGAGTGTGCACGTACAGCATGCGCGCCTCGTGCACGAGCCTACTATTGAAGCTGCCGTTACGCTTTTGGCCTGAGGGGGCAATCACGAGCATAAAAATTCAAAAGTCCGTAAAGTCCCTTTAAACAGAAATGTTATAAAAGTGTTCCTAAAAATTAATAAACTGAATAATAATGAACTTGATCTTTAATGGCACCCCAACACGTGCGTGTACTACAGAGAGGCTTTCGTCAGACGAGTCTTAAGAACAGCTGGAGTACATTCATGGATCTGAGTACTCGGAATACTTGAGTCCTAAAATATTACAGCTTAAACGTGAACAAACCCAAGATGCTGATGGACATCAAACTCCAGCAGGATAAAAACACAACTCCTCTCCTTGCCTGGGAGCAACAGGTACGTTCACCTGTGACCGTTTGACCTGCAGAAGGTCGCTTCGCTGACTAAATCGGAACAAGCGTCGGCAACAGGACCCAGTTTAATAAAGGTTTAGACACAAAGAGGAAAACAACTCTTCCTTCCTGTCTGGTGGAACTAAATGTAAAAAGAATAAGAGAAGGATGCAGAAGTCGGCACACACATATGCCTCACTGTGACCTTTGACCTGGTGTGTTTAGCACACAGATCAGCAGGTCCAATCAGAGAGCAAGCCTGCTTCCTGAAAAGGGGCATCCACCAGTCGGCTGAAAGGCTTCAGTCTGAACTGAATAAGTTCAGCCTCGTGTGTGTGTGTGTGTGTGTGTGTGTGTGTGTGTGTGTGTGTGTGTGTGTGTGTGTGTGTGTGTGTGTGTGTGTCAGAGAGGACACTGGTCATAAGACAGTATTTATAACCAGCAGGATGTTTTCCCACAAACCTTCTATGTGTGTTTGTTGGTGCAACGTCAGCAGAGAGGAAGTGGGTGTGTTTGCCTGAGTGTGTGTGTGTGTGTGTGTGTGGTGGTGGTGGTGGGGGGGATTATAGTGTGAGAGGGAACAGACAGCGAGTTGGTCAGAGCAGCAGACCAGAACCAGACTCAGAAGGAAAACCCTTTGAAGGATCCAGATTGAGACGGACACGGTAAGAGCTGATTGGTCCTCTGGGCTCCTGATCTGAACCGTCGCAGCATGAAAAACTTTTGTTATTTTTAAAAGCCAGATGATTTCTTCTGGAATTGATTTCAGATGACCAAAAACTGGTAGAGCTAAACCTTTGTTTGGGGTCTATTAATTGCTCATTTATGTCTGATTTTCAAGACGTTATCTTCAATCGTTAAATTAAGCAGGATCATTGTTGTTGGGTCCCCGAACATTCATACTGATGACGAGTCTAACCGTGTTACTCAGGAGCATCCTGGACCCTTCAGAGGTCGCCATGCGTGTCTCTACTGCCTCTGTAAACACTCCAAACATGAATAAAAATATCCTTCTGTTTTCTCTCAGTTTAGGTTTCAGGTATTATGTGCTTTAAAATGTCCCCGATTGTGACATCACAATCAGGGGGTGAGTGGGCGTGGCCAGCAACAGCTTGTTTGTCAAAGCGCTGAAGCAGCTCATTCTGGAGGTGTTGACGTACAGTAATTATCTCGCCTCAAACACCAGGAAGACGGAGACCATGAGCGTCCCTCCACCCGGATGTCTCACACACACCCCCAGTCCCAGTGTGAGGAATCTGGGTGTGATGCATCACATTCCTGATTATTTTAATTCTCCGCTCAGTTTCAACACATTAAACCTCTCCTGCTTTTTTCGTTTGAGGAAATTTTCTAAACTGGTTTGAAACATGCTTAAATCTGCTGGTTTAGAGGATTACTTATGCTTTTGTAACATCATGTTTAGATTATTGTAGCGAGGACAAGTTCACTGGACTAGACTAAACCTCTCACCTCCAAGCTGACCAGAACACTGCAGCCAGACTACTGACCTGAACCAGTTAGCGTTCCCACGTCTCTCCTGTCCAGCCTCTCGTTTAGTTCAGGATTCATTCTAACTTGGTTTTATTTATATATATATATATATATATATATATATATATATATATATATATATATATATATATATATATGTCGATGATTTACCCACAGAGTTCTGAATGGCCCGGCCCATCCGTCTGTGTTCAGGAGCCCAGATGGGCTCTGGCTTTGGCTGGTTGGTCTTACTGTTTTCTGTTTTATTATACAGCTGCCTACATGTGTGTGAAAGGTTCCTGATAAATATGCGCTACTAACTTACGTAAGAAGCTCCTCTGGTCCTTCGCCAGAGGAGCTGAAGTATACAGACACATGATCCTCAGGAGGCCTTAACCAGCTGCGTCACTTTCCACATATTTTCCTTTTGGGTCTATTTTTGTTTCTGGAGAACAGCAGCTTCATTGTTAAACATCTGAATAGGAAATGGGCCAGAAACACATCGCGTCCTGAGATGCAGAACACAATGCTGTTTTTCTCTAGAGTTTGATCGGGTCCTCGCACTGAAACAGAAGTCCTGGAACACTTTGAGCATCCTGGAAACCCTAAACCTTGTTTGGAATTGCTAAACGTGGATGATATTCAGAAATCAGATGTTTAGAGTTTCAGATGCTCCCTGAAATTAGCATGGACCTGGTTGGTGGATCCCGTCTGCAACTCGATGCAATCTTCTGGGTTCCTCATATAGGAAACCTTTTACTGATTGGCTTAATGAACTGAACTGTACTGGAATGTTTACTTTGTAAAGCGTCCTGAGTGATTCTTGTCGTGATTTGGTGCTTTATAAATAAACTTAATTGAATTGGTTGGTGGATCCTGATTGGCGGATCATCCTGGTGGGTGGATCCTCCTGGTTGGTGGATCCTGGTTGGCGGGATCATCCTTGTTGGTGGATCCTGGTTGGTGGATCCTGGTTGGTGGATCCTGGTTGGCGGATCATCCTGGTGGGTGGATCCTGGTTGGTGGATCCTGGTTGGCGTATCATCCTGGTGGGTGGATCCTCCTGGTTGGTGGATCCTCCTGGTTGGCCGGATTAGGGCTGCTCAATTAATCGAATTTTAATCACGATTACGATCTTAGTTTTGAACGATTATAAAAAACAAAACAAGCCGATTATTTGCTCCTCCCGCTTGCGCTGCCCTGAGTTGCAAATGAAGCGCTCCTCCACAGTGTTGCCAACTTAGCGACTTTGACGCTATTTCTAGCAGCTTTTCAGACCCCCTTCTTGACTTTTTAATCCTAAAAGTACCTAGCGAACATCTCAGAAACATCTCTGCTAACCCTTAGCTACTTTCTGGATAATTGTCGTCGACATTTCCTGCAGGTTAGCTAAACACTCCGCCTGTGCTCCGGACCGTTCTTCACAACATTAGGAAAGGGAATGATGCAGTGATGCGTCGGTCGCTAAAGACAGCTCTCGGAGCCTGCTCCTTGTTGGAGTAACCAGAGTGAGTGACACACACACCGCACCTGCGGTCTCCTGAGCAGCTAAAAACAGCTAAATGTGCGCGTGCAGCGTGCTAAACACACGTGCAGCTTGCCCGATTGCTGTGAGACCGGGGTGGGGGGGTGGGGGGTGCAGCTGTGGTTGGGACAATTATTACATTAACTGATGGGCCTGTAAATAAATAGTTTATAAATAAGGTAGAAATAAGTTCCTCACGCTGATAACTAATCTCTCTGAGGACACTGTGCTAGTGCACTCTCCTACAGCACCTTGACACGACTCAATAAATGTTATGTAACATTTTGTGAACATGAATTTATTTGCATTTATTTGTTATAAATGCCTCTGTATAATTCTTGCTGTCAGTATTTGCAAGATATTGGTATTTGGGTCTGTACTGGTTAGACTTAAATGAGTTAAACCAAGGTCTATAGCCCTTGGGTCATAGACTATGAGCTATAAGTATATTGGTCTTTTTATCCTGGGAATCAGGAGTTCTTTTAGTGATCATCTTGTTTCTTATTTTTGTCCTGATTGTGCCCTGAGCAGTTTTATGACTGAATAAAAACAAATAAAATCAACATAAATTGAAAAATCGTCCTAAATAATCGTGATCTCAATTTCAGTCACCATAATCGTGATTATTATTTTTGCCATAATCGAGCAGCCCTAGGCGGGATCATCCTGGTTGGTGGATCCTGGTTGGTGGATCCTGGTTGGTGGATCCTGATTGGCGAATCATCCTGGTTGGTGGATCTTGATTGGTGGATCCTGATTGGCGGATCATCCTGGTTGGTGGATCTTGATTGGTGGATCCTGGTTGGTGGATCATCCTGGTGGGTGGATCCTCCTGGTTGGCGGGATCATCCTTGTTGGTGGATCCTGGTTGGCGGGATCATCCTGGTTGGTGGATCCTGGTTGGCGGATCCTGAATGGTGGATCCTGGTTGGCAGATCCTGAATGGTGGATCCTGGTTGGCGGATCATCCTGGTGGGTGGATCCTCCTGGTTGGTGGATCCTCCTGGTTGGTGGATCCTGGTTGGTGGATCCTGGGTAGCAGATCACCCTGGTTGGTGGATCCTGGTTGGTGGATCATCCTGGTTGGTGGATCCTCCTTGTTGGTGGATCCTGATTGGTGGATCCTGGTTGGCGGATCATCCTGGTTGGTGGATCCTGATTGGCGGATCATCCTGGTTGGTGGATCCTGGTTGGTGGAATCTGGTTGGCAGATCATCCTGAATGGTGGATCCTGGTTGGCGGATCCTGGTTGGTGGATCCTGGTTAGCGGATCACCCTGGTTGGTGGATCCTGGTTGGTGGATCATCCTGGTTGGTGGATCCTCCTTGTTGGTGGATCCTGATTGGTGGATCCTGGTTGGCGGATCATCCTGGTTGGTGGATCCTGATTGGCGGATCATCCTGGTTGGTGGATCCTGGTTGGTGGAATCTGGTTGGCAGATCATCCTGGTTGGCGGATCCTGAATGGTGGATCCTGGTTGGCGGATCCTGGTTAGCGGATCACCCTGGTTGGTGGATCCTGGTTGGTGGATCCAGATGAGGATATTTTGTGTGGACGTTTTGTTTTCATTTTCCAAAGGAGTTCACCTTCCCATTCCACGCCAGTTTGGTTGGTGGAAAAGGCCCATTAGACCTGGCTGAAAACCTGGTCCCGGGTATAGGATGGTTAATCAGCTGATGTCACCTGCATGTGTATTCCAGGTGATCACCCCGTGTAGGCGCCTCATTCTTTGTGCAGACAACCGAAAGGAGATGGAGGAGTGGATGCTGGCGCTGCGCAGCGTTCAGAACAGACAAAACTACGAGGTGAGACCAGGTCCAAGTAGCGCCTTAACCAGGCAGGTCACTGAACCTGCATCTCACTTGTGTGCCTGTCTTCCAGTCCACCCAGTACAGCATGGACCACTTCAGTGGGATGCACAACTGGTACGCCTGCTCCCACGCCAGACCTACATACTGCAACGTGTGCAAGGAGGCACTGTCGGGGGTCACATCCCACGGCCTGTCCTGTGAAGGTACACAACCAGACAGCCAGACCGTCACCCACAACACAGCTGTAACCAGTTGAGAGTCTCTAACGTGTGTGTGTGTGCGTGCGTCTGTGTGTGTGTGTGTGTGTCATGCAGTGTGTAAATTTAAGGCTCACAAGCGCTGTGCGGTCCGAGCCACCAACAACTGTAAGTGGACGACTCTGGCGTCTATCGGGAAGGACATCATTGAGGACGAGGACGGGGTAGGGCACACATACACCCCTCCACCTGTGTTGTCTGACCTTTCACCTTCCTCCTTATGCTGATGACGTCAGTGTGTTTATGGACAGACCAGGGTGAGGTTTATGTTCAGGGAGAAGCGTTATCTAATAGCTTCTTCTGTCAGTGTTAATAGTGTTTCCACTGTTACCTTCACAAAGTAATCTGATTACTCATTTAAAAGGCTTGCTGACACATACTAACCCCAGTAGGGACTGGAGTCAGCTTGGCTGTCATCGCAGTGGAAAACCAGCCTGGACACCTGACTCGATCGATAATATTTCAACATTTTATGGTCAAATCACTGAATTCGCTTGTCTCCTGTCTGGACCTGGTTCTGGAGTTTTCAGGGACTCCAGGTGGACGGGACGAAAGTTAGAGTTTAACCTTTAAGGTGTGTCTAAGGTCAGCTGATCTCCTCAGGTGTCCATGCCTCACCAGTGGCTGGAGGGAAATCTCCCAGTGTCGGCTAAGTGCAGCGTCTGTGAGAAGACATGTGGGAGTGTCCTCCGGCTCCAGGACTGGAGGTGTCTCTGGTGCAAAGCCATGGTGAGACACACACATGTGCACGCACGCACACACACACACAAGCTCTGGTCTGCTGAATCTCAGGGTGCTCTGTCTGCAGGTGCACTCAGGCTGTAAGGAGCAGCTGTCCTCCAAATGTCCTCTAGGTCAGTGCAAAGTGTCCATCATTCCTCCCACGGGGCTCAACAGCATCGACTCTGATGGTAAGTTCCTGGCTGTCCCCGGTGGTCAAAGGCTGTCACTACAGAAGACAACATGACTATGAGCCCATATGTGGGACTGTGCGTGTCCAGGTTTCTGGAAGGCGTCCTGTCCTCCGTCCTGCACCAGTCCTCTGCTCGTCTTTGTTAACTCTAAAAGCGGAGACAATCAGGGAGTGAAGTTCCTGCGACGCTTCAAACAGCTGCTGAACCCAGCTCAGGTGTTTGACCTCATGAACGGAGGACCTCACCTGGGGTAAGCAGCACACTGACAGCATGTTTCAGATGAAGCGCGTGAGTGGAAACGGTGAACCTGTCTGTCCCTCAGCCTCCGGTTATTTCAGAAGTTTGACACGTTCAGGATCCTGGTTTGTGGAGGAGACGGCAGCGTTGGCTGGGTTCTGTCCGAGATTGATGCTCTAACTCTGCACAAACAGGTAGCAGATGTCAGGTTAACCGCTCCCCTCCGGGTTAACGAGCTTAACGAGGTGAGCCTGTCTCCTTGTTTCAGTGCCAGCTGGGCGTTCTTCCTCTGGGGACCGGGAACGACCTGGCTCGAGTCCTGGGCTGGGGTTCAGCCTGTGACGATGACACACAGCTGCCTCAGATACTGGAGAAACTAGAGAGAGCCAGCACCAAGATGTTAGACAGGTGAGCCGGTTCAGACAGGTGTGTGTTCTGTGGTCCAGGTGATGCTATAAACACCTGTCCTCCTGACCCCATCCTTCAGGTGGAGCATCATGGTCTATGAGACGAAGTTTCCTCGACAACCCTCCACCTCTACTGTCACAGAAGACTGCAGCGATGACTCTGAGGTAGTGTGACATCATTTCCTGATTACCTGGAGTCAGCTGCTTCCTGCCCTGGAACAGATCCTAAGAACCTTTCGTGTTCTGATTCAGGTCCAGCAGATTCTCACCTACGAGGACTCAGTAGCCATCCACCTGACGAAGATCCTGACCTCAGACCAGCACTCTGTCGTCATCTCCTCTGCCAGGTAGAGCGTCCTCGCTGTCACGGGTCTACCTGCGGCACACCTGCAGTTCTGAAAAGCTGCTGTACTTTTCCAGGGTCCTGTGTGAGACGGTGAAGGACTTTGTGGCTCGAGTCGGGAAAGCTTATGAAAGGAACACGGAGAGTTCAGAGGAGTCCGAAGCCATGGCCAAGAAGGTACTGGACACCGTTTAAAACTGTTCTGGGATCTGGTCTAACCAAACTCATCAGATAGAGGCGTTTCTGCTGTGTCAGGGTCCGGTTTCTGATGAGTCATATTTGTGTTTTAGTGTGGCGTTCTGAAGGAGAAACTGGACTCCTTGCTGAAGACCCTGAATGAGGAGTCTCAGGGCTCGTCAGCACCTCCCTCTTCTCCTCACCGGAACATCGCTGAAGGTCAGGAGGAGCCAGAGGTGGTCCACCCACCTCCTCGTCTCCGTCCTGCTATTCCTCCTTACATCTTATCCAACTCTCCCGCTGGTTCACCTCGGACTACTCCCGCCGCGGCAGCCATCTTTAAACCTCGAGAGCAGCTGATGCTGAGAGCCAACAGCCTGAAGAAGGCGATCCGACAGATCATCGAGCACACGGAGAAAGGTGGGTCGCCTGGCCGTGAGGTGGATCATGGTGAAACCAGGTATGACCGTCGTGCTTGTCTGTGTTCCAGCTGTGGACGAGCAGAACGCTCAGACTCAGCAGCAGCAGGTGTATTCCGTGGGTCGGGCGGAGCCACAGGTGGGTCTGGTGGAGGAAGATGAGGAGGAGGAGGAAGGGAAAAACCCCTGTGAGAAGCAAATCAGTAAAGGCAGCCTATCACGAGGAAGCACTGCTTCACTTCCTGCTCAGACAGGAAGTCGAGAAAACATGCCCATGCTCAACACAAAGATCTTCTTTCCTGGTGAGATGGTTTCTGGTGTCTCCTTCAGTCATTTACCTGTGCTACCTTTTCAGACCTCCATGTTTGTTTGTTTTAGGCTCTCTAACCAGCAGCTCGATCATCAGTCGTCTGCTGGTCAACGCCGACCCGTTCAGCTGCGACGCCGACAACATGTGAGCTTCTGACTGCACACCTGTGTACCTGCACGGTGGAGGCATGTTTGTCACTGTGTGTGTGTGTGTGTGTGTGTGTGTGTGTGTGTGTGTGTGTGTGTGTGTGTGTGTTTCAGGGACTGCTATACGGAGAAGTGTGTCATGAACAACTACTTTGGAATCGGATTGGACGCTAAGATCTCTCTGGACTTCAACAACAAGAGAGACGAGCACCCAGAGAAGTGCAGGTACCACAGAGACACCAGCAGGAGTCAGGAGTTCCTCCCGTTGCTCCTCCTGGGCCTCCTAGCCCTAGCTTTAACCCTCCACCATCTGTCCTCTTCTTCATGGTCTGGTGGAGCCGTGAAGGTCCAGACCCTGATCTGTTTGTTTCCTCAGGAGTCGGACCAAGAACATGATGTGGTACGGGGTGTTGGGAACCAGAGAGCTGCTGCACAGAACCTACAAGAACCTGGAACAGAGAGTCCTGCTGGAGGTCAGAACCAGAACCGCTTCACGTTTAGGATGTGCTGAAGGTCAAAGGTCAGTAACTGTTTCTGTTGGCTGCAGTGCGACGGACGTCCCATCCCTCTGCCTCGTCTGCAAGGAATCGCTGTCCTCAACATCCCGAGTTACGCGGGGGGAACCAACTTCTGGGGCGGGACCAAGGAGGACGATGTGAGGACCATGTTCATCTGTCTGTCCACCTGCTTATCTGTCTGCCTTCCCCTGTCCTTCTGTCTGTCTCTCCCCCTGTCTGTCCCCCTTTCTACCTGTCTGTCCCTCCTCCTGTCCACCTGTCTGTCTCCCTTTCTACCTGTCTGTCTCTCCCCATCTGTCTCCCTTTCTACCTGTCTGTCTCTCCCCCTGTCCACCTGTTTATCTGTCTGCCTTCCCCTGTCCTTCTGTCTGTCTCTCCCCCTGTCCACCTGTCTGTCTCCCTTTCTACCTGTCTGTCTCTCCCCCTGTCCACCTGTCTGTCTCTTGCCCTGTCCACCTGTCTGTCTCCCTTTTTTCCTGTCTGTCTCTCCACCTGTCTGTCTACCTTTCTACCTGTCTGTCTCTCCCCCGTCCACCTGTCGGACTCTTGTCCTGTCCACCTGTGTCTACCTTTCTACCTGTCTGTCTCTTGCCCTGTCCACCTGTCTGTCTCCCTTTCTTCCTGTCTGTCTCTCCACCTGTCTGTCTCCCTTTCTACCTGTCTGTCTCTCCCCGTCTGTCTCCCTTTCTACCTATCTGTCTCTCCCCCTGTCCACCTGTTTATCTGTCTGCCTTCCCCTGTCCTTCTGTCTGTCTCTCCCCCGTCCACCTGTCTGTCTCCCTTTCTACCTGTCTGTCTCTCCCCCTGTCCACCTGTCTCTTGCCCTGTCCACCTGTCTGTCTCCCTTTCTTCCTGTCTGTCTCTCCACCTGTCTGTCTACCTTTCTACCTGTCTGTCTCTCCCCGGTCCACCTGTCTGTCTCTCCCCGGTCCACCTGTCTCTACCTTTCTACCTGTCTGTCTCTTGCCCTGTCCACCTGTCTGTCTCCCTTTCTTGCTGTCTGTCTCTCCACCTGTCTGTCTCCCTTTCTACCTGTCTGTCTCTCCCCCTGTCTGCCTACCTTTCTACCTGTCTGTCTCTCCCCCTGTCCACCTGTCTGTATCTTGCCCTGTCCACCTGTCTGTCTCCCTTTCAACCTGGCGGTCTCTTGCCCTGTCCACCTGTCTGTCTCCCTTTCTACCTGTCTGTCTCTCCCCCTGTCCACCTGTCTCTCTCCCTTTCTACCTGTCTGTCCCCCCCCCGTCCACAGCCCATTGATGAGGCGACCCCCACAGACCCTCTAACTGTTGATTCCCAAAGCTGAGAAGGTGAAAAGCTTTGGGCACGCTGAGATCAGCTGACTGGTGATGTCCCAGCGTCTTTCTGTCTTTCAGACCTTTGCTGCTCCGTCCTTTGATGATAAGATCCTGGAGGTCGTTGCTGTCTTCGGCAGCATGCAGATGGCGGTGTCAAGGGTCATCAACCTGCAACACCACCGCATCGCCCAGGTACCTGTCTCAGTGTTGGACAGTTAGCAGGGACTGGTCCACCTGTCTCTCCCTCTGACCATGTCTTCCTCTTTCAGTGTCGGACAGTAAAGATCACCATCCTGGGGGACGAAGGGGTCCCGGTCCAGGTGGACGGGGAGGCCTGGATCCAGCCTCCTGGTTACATTAAGATCATACATAAAAACCGGACCCAGACCCTGACCAGAGACCGGGTAAGTTCTGCAGCGGGCTGTTGGGTCTGGTTGTTCTGGTCCTGGTCTGATCTCCAGTGGGTCTGTGTGTCTTCCAGGCGTTTGAGAACACCCTGAAGTCCTGGGAGGACAAGCAGAAGTGTGAGTTCCCTCGCTCCCAGCCCGCCCAGTCCTCCCAGCCAGAGACGGTCTCTGAGGAAGAGTCATCGCGGATCAGCGAGCTCGGTCAGGCGGCTGGAGCCCTCATCCTCAGGTAGCAACCAAACCCCCACACTACTCACCCGTCCCTCATCCCATTGACTCCCTCCCTGTCTCTGGTGTCTTCAGTATCCGTGAGGTGGCCCAGTCTCACCACAGCATGGAACAGGAACTGGCTCACGCCGTCAACGCCAGCTCCAAGGCTATGGACGTGGTATACGCCAAGAGTCCCGGGGTGAGACCTCTTTACTGTCCTCTACTGTGGACGTCTGTCTCAGCAGACCGGCCTGTCACAAGCTGATGATTCAGTTCAGACTCTAATTCAGATCCAGGACCGGACAGAACCATAGCGAACCAGTCTCGTAGTTCTACCGGGTCTGAACCCAGACAGCAAGTGATTTTCCTCTCTGGACCGTCTTACATCATGACTACACACAGAGACACCTCCAGAGGGAGTAGGGAACGGTGTGTTGGACCCATCGACATATCAATATTGGACAATGGGTTTCCATAGGCTCCAATAACACGTTTTTGAAGATAAATGGGAGGTGGCCACCACCGCCATTTTAACCGTGTCACAGGTTCCGTCAAGCCCAGACAATTCCACAAAAGAGAAGAGAGGTGGAGCTGAGGGTGGGGCTGTAAGGCTGGGATCAACTGACGACACCCGGTCGAACTAGCTACAAGCTAACCCAAAGCTAACACGGAGGTGGGAGCTAAGCTAACGGAGGTAGCAACCTAGCTACAACCGGAGTTAGCTGTGCACAACACCAGAGCTTCTGAGTCAGAGATACGCCGGGCTGACCGCTGGGTAAAGCCGGGTGGAACACAGAGGTCTCCCGAGAGCTCCAGAAGCCGATAGTGGGAACCCAGCTCCACCAACATGTTATATTTCAACCCATTTTCTAAAGTGCAGCATTATGTTAAATGCACTGGGTTTACCCTATTACATTTAAATTTCATGGTTAAACAGTACATGTTAAAATCTAAGCTCAGCTCGGCAGTGACCTAAAATACATAAATATCATTTTACTTACCGAAAAATGAAGTGGAGACTCCTTGGACGCTCTATTAGTGCAATTAATGCCACAGCAAGTCATTTTGTCCAACAATTGCACAAAAATATCAAAACAAGAATACACACACACAGAGACTCAAAATCCCGGAGCAGTTTCCAGGCCAGACCGAGGCTCTACTGAGGCCTTTCCCCGGAGCTAGCTCTGTGGTCACGTGGGTCTGATGCTCATTAATTATACAGAATTTTAGGCTTTTAATACACTTAAACAGAAGAGTGAGAGAAAAATTCACCCCCCTCAGAGTTGTCATGAGTGTAAACTAGATCATTTAAACCAAAAACATGTTTTGGTACCAGGCTGTAAACATGTTTATTTCTGCTGTGAAATTGGTATTTTTAACATGGAAGTCAATGAGGATTTGCTCGCTTCTGACACCAGCCCCTAGTGGATGAGGGTGGAACTGCAATTGTTGGTACTTCCGGGATTGCTTCAATTTTTGAGCTGCATTGTGGGGGCCTGGTTGGACCTAAAGCTCTGTGTGTGATGCGTTCATGTGGGCGGAGTTTATACCACCTCCCACAGCATTCCAGCTTGTCTTTTCCCAGCCTTGTTGATCCCTAGGATGAATAAATCTGGTCTAACAGGACACCTTAACACTGTCTTGCCCTACCACCCCACCCTGTCCCATCCTGTCCTCCTGGGATAGTCGGACCGGATCTAACAACAGTATTTCTGTGTTTTCAGGCTCTGACCTGCAGCTCAGTGGTTCAGATGGTCAGTAATGTCAAAGCTTTGCTCAGTGAGACGGAACTGCTCCTGGCTGGAAAGATGTCCATGGTAAGTTAGCTAGATGTTCTGGTTCTGAACCGCAGGAGTCTCGGTTCCTCTCCGACCCTTCTGAGTTTCCGTCTTGCTCTGTGAGAGACCTGGTGAGGGTTCTGGTCCTGACCTGCAGCCCTGACAGACGTTCTGTTGTCCTGCAGCAGCTGGATCCTCCGCAGCAGGAACAGCTGAATGCAGCTCTGGGTTCTGTGGCTCAGCAGCTACGTCGGCTGTCTGATGTCCCCTGGTTGTGTCTCGTCATCGACCCGCTGGACCATGAGGTAGACCTCCACCTTTTGTGTTCTGTAGGGTAGCTCCCGGTTCCGAACCTGGCTCTGTCTTGACCTCCCCGGGCGTACGTGTCTTTCTTCAGGGTCCTCTGATGGACTTTTCTAAGCGCAGCCGGAGCGGTAAGTTCCGTCTGGTCCCAAAGTTCAAGAAGGACAAAAACATCAAGAACAAAGAAATGTCCTCCACTCTGTCCCTGCCAGGTGAGCTGTCCGTCACTCGTGGGTTAACGGTGTTTGAACCGCTTCCTGTCCATCTGAATCACTTCCTGTTTGTCTCAGTTGACCAGTGGGGGACTGAAGAGGTGGGAGCGTGGCTGGACTTTCTCTGTCTCTCTGAGTATAAGGACATATTTACTGGACATGATGTCCGTGGAGCGGAGCTCATCCACCTGGAGAGAAGGGACCTAAAGGTGAGGTCACCAGATACCTGCTGTCTGCATGGACAGGTGTTGGACGAGGGTGGACACCGGGTGGACGTTTGGTCCAGCTGGTGTTTGTTTGGATGTTTGATGGCGACTTGGTGCAGTGAAGGATGACGGTGTCCATCTCACTGACTGTCCTCTTCACCTTCAGGACCTGGGGGTGACTAAGGTAGGTCACATGAAGAGGATCCTGCAGGGCATCAGGGAGCTGACCAGGACCAGCAGTGCCAGCGAGGTCTGACCAGCAGCAGGTCGGTGTTGATCCATTTATCAGTAAACTGGGATGTAGTCCAGGTCTCACCTGTCCCCTTATGTCGTCTTGCTGTCCAGAGACCACTTCCTGCTCTTCTCCGGTCTCTGCTGCGGTTCAGTCACCTGACCTCAGAGGCTGATGTAACGGGACCAGAATCACAACACTGAACACATCTCTCTGGCAAACACCTGTGGACCAGTCTGAAGATCCATCGGTGCCTTCTCTTCTCACCCAAAGAGGATCCTTCAGAACCGACCCGTCTCGACAAGCCCGTGGCCTTCAGTCGGTTCCGCCATCCAGACCTTAGTTCTGGCTCTGAAGACTGTGGTCCGATCTTCAAAGGACAAACTTGGGCATGGGGGGGACGAACTCACCTTTTACATTGTAGGAAACAGGAAGTGATGTCATGGACAATAGGATCGTGTGAGCAACTTAAGTCTGAGTTTCACACTTTGTGGTTTTTGTTGGTTTTGAATCTGGTAAAAGGGTCCCAGACTGTCTGATCTGAGCAGGATCCAGAGTCTTCTCGGAGCCTCGACCGCGTTCAGCCTCAGCTGGAGGAAAGCCGACTGATCCCATATCGGAATTATGTCTCACCGTGTTAGATGTTCATCTCTAAAGCTGCGATTCCTTCAGAATCTACTCAGCATGACTCGATTCGGTTTGGATGGATGGATTTTCATCAGTATCAGGTACCAACTGTCTGGTACCAACCCGGGTTGAAAATACGATATTGGCGAACATTTGTCATTGATGGGTGGAGTCACTGGTTGCTCCAAAGTTTTCCACTAAAAAAGGACAGCGGCTGAGCAGAATGTCCGTCTGCCGTTGCTGGTCTGTGTCGTTTCTGTGATATACCGATCTCACACACACTCACACACACACCAACACATTCTCACACCCAAAGCCTCAATATGACGATTCGGGACGCCCCGGCGCGTCAGGAGACGACGATCAGGGACACGTGGCTCCGCTGGCGTCACTGTTTGACGCGCGCGGTTACACGGACATTATTCCACTATTTAACCTTCCCCTCATCCCAACCCTAACCTTAAGGTCAGTAACTGTGACCTTAAGGTTAAGATTGGGGTGAGGGGAAGGTTAAGTTGTTCACAAGTAGTTCTATTGTCCGTCTCACCACCGGCGTCGAATACCGACGCTCTGGGACGTGTCCCTGATCGTCGTCTCCTGACGCGCTGGGGCGTCCCGAATCGTCATATTGAGGCTTTGGGTGTGAGAATGTGTTTCACACACTCACACACACACACACACACACACACACTATGACGAGCACACCCACCAGAGCCTTGTCCCCGTTGTAATGGAACTCCACCCGAACCGTCATCAGCTTAGTCATACCAAGTGGATCTGTGCTGAGTAGGGACTAATGGAACTGCGGCAAAAGGAACCCACCAGAGAACTGGACCGGGTCTGGTACTGCACCAGTACTCACTCTGGTTCGGACTGAAACTGTATCAGGTGTTGCCTTAAAGACACGTCAGACAGCGGATCAGCTTACCGTTAACCCAACCCGTGTGCGTGTAACCAGACTTCCTGTTGTGATCCGTCTGATCATTGGTTAATCACTTTTACTCCATCAGTGTTTCTGACTTATTCTGACAGATGTATCAGTGCAGATGTGTGTAACTCCCCCTATTCAGTGCCTTGCTCACAGGCACGTTGACTAGTTTGTATATTTATTATATAATTTATCAAGCTGTGGTTGTTGGTGCGCCCCCTGCAGAGCATTCCTGTAAGTGCAGCAACCTAAAAGTAAACCGTTTCTGCAGAAACTGTGTGGCCTCTTCTGTCACCTCCCTGACTTCAGAGCAGCTGAGAGACGACATCATCACCTCCACCTAGATCCATGTGCCTAAACCTCTCACCTACAACCCCCCTTAAAGAGCAAGTCACTCCAAATCAACATTTTTTTTTTTTGCTGATAAACTAATTGAGTGTCTGATCGTGCTGCAGACACGTGTAGTCAATACTTCGGCACTTTAGTGCATCTTAGTTAAAATTTAAATATTCTGCCTAAAACTCAGCGATGCACCGTCGTCAGGTAAAAACTGCACTGCATTTGAATTTAAAACTGCCGTCGCTACTGGCTAAGAGGTACACTATGATGTTAGATGGTACATTATGATGTCACAATGCCGTGTGTGTGTATTTGTTAGCGGCTCCGCCCTCGGTCTGCTAGGCAACAGCATTTGTTGCATTTTTCAAACAGGAAGTGGGAGTGGAGTAAAAATCTAGTAGGGGGTGACTTGCTCTTTAAAGAGCAAGTCACCCCCTACAGGTAACTTACTCCACTCCCACTTCCTGTTTGAAAAATGCAACAAATGCTGTTGCCTAGCAGACCGAGAGAGCGTAGCCGCTAACAAATACACACACACGACATTGTGACATCATAATGTACCATCTAACATCATAGTGTACCTCTTAGCCAATAGCGGTGGCAGATTTAAATTCATATGCAGTGCAGAGTTTTTACCTGACGACGGCGCAACACTGACAGTTTTAGGCAGAATATTTAAATTTTAACTAAGATGCACTAAAGTGTCAAATTATTGATTACACGTGTCTGCAGCACGATCAGACACTCGTTTATGTAATCAGCAAAAAACAGTTGATTTGGGGGTGACTTGCTCTTTAAGTCCATCGTTTTGGGCTGAATTTATTTAGTCACCAGCTCTTAAATCAGGCTCATCAACATGGGTTCGTTTTGTCCTGTAGTGAGGGTTTTCCTTCCAGGTGACAAACGGTGCCTTCCAGAGGATACTGTGACCTTTGACCTTCAGCGATGAACAGGTCCTGTATTTGGTAAATGGCCTGTATTTGATATAGCGCCTTCTAGAGTCCTAGAACCCCCCAAGGCACTTTACAACACAATCAGTCATTCACCCATTCACACACATTCACACACTGGTGGTGATGAGCTACGATGTAGCTACAGCTGCCCTGGGGCGCACTGACAGAGGCGAGGCTGCTGAGCGCTGGCGCCACCGGTCCCTCCGACCACCACCAGCAGGCAACGTGGGGTTAAGTGTCTTGCCCAAGGACACAACGACAGCGACAGACTGAGAGGGGCTCGAACCTGCAACCTTCTGATTACGGGGCGAGCACTGAACTCCTGTGCCACCGTCACCCTAGGTCCTCTGACATGGGTTTGGATTCTTCCACTAGGGTGACAGTGGCAGAGGAATTAAGTGCCCGCCCTGTAACCAGAGGGTTGCCGGTTCAAAGCCTGTCTGTAGCGGTTGAGTCCCTAGACAAGACATGTAACCTGCCCTTGCCTGCTGGTGATCAGAGGGACTGGTGGTGCGAGTGCTCGGCGGCCTCGGCTCTGTCGGTGCACCCCAGGGCAGCTGTAGCTACATTGTAGTTTATCACCATCAGGCTGCCATTGTGTCCTTAAGCAAAACCTAGCTGCCTCGCCTCTGTGTCTGTAGCTGTGGATTAAAGACCGTCCGGTGCATAATAATGACGATGATGGGACTACAGCGGTGGGCTGTTGTCATTGCTGGTGACCTTTCACCTGCAGCTTATTTTGTTGCGCTGAGCTTCAATATTTGAGTTTTAGGTAATCATCAACCCGTCAGTCAGACCTCTGCACCCCATTTTACCTGTGGACAGACGCTGGAGGACAGAAGACGGACATGTTGTCCACGGCGCTGGCGCTGAGCGGCCTGCTGGCCTGCTTCCTGCTGATAGAATGTTCAGGTGAGACTCTGAGAAACGTTCAACATTTCCTGTTCACCTGATCAACTTGACAGTTGTAAGCACGGCTGAGCGTTTTATGTGAGCTGATTCTGAACAATCGTCACGAAACCGGATCAGTTCCGACGGGCTCGGAATCATTTGCGAGGACCGGCCCTGAACCACGGAGCAGAGGTCTCCAGGTAACGGTGTCGTTTTCTCTCAGTGTTCCTTGACCCACGAGATGCTGTTCAGCTGCTGCGCTCCTCCAGCAGGAGGCGCAGAGCCAACTCCTTCTCCCTGGAGGAGCTGCTGCCAGGAGACCTGGAGAGGGAGTGCTACGAGGAGCTCTGCTCGCAAGAGGAGGCTGCTGAGATCTTCCAGTCCCAGGAGACAACGGTATGAACCGGCTGAGGGCAGAAGCCACATAATTCCCTTGGTTTAATCAAATCATGTGCTTGTTCCTGTTCTGAGAACCGTTTAGAACCTGGTTAGAACCCAGCTAGATCTAATTCCATGCTGTCGTTCTTTTTAAAACACAGAAACAGTTTCGTTACCTGTTTTGTCGCTACCTAAGATGTCCAGTTAGATCTGCCCAGACCCAACTGGGTGTCCTACAGAGCCCGAGGTGGACCAGCAGCTTTTCTGACCCGGACTGCAGATGTGTTGAGTTAACAGTAATATTAGCTCTACCTGTCTCATCCACAGATGGAGTTTTGGTACCGATACAAAAGTGAGTTCCATCATCATCTTCCTCCGGGTCCATCAGGGGCCTCACTCAAACCGTTGAGGTGGAAATTCCTGACATCTTCACCAGCAGCTCTTCTGCTCCTTCCCTCATGGGATTCCAGAGCGTGTTTCTGTTTTCACCAGTTAGACAACCTGCAGCTGTTTCATGTTTATGCCGTTTTATTTGTGGAGTGCTTTTAACACAGCACGACCACAGCGCTGCACATTAAAAACAGACAATAATCACATAAAGGAATAAAAACCAAACAGGCATTTAGAACCACAAAATTCAACTCGTGTAAAATTCAGCTACCAAGACGGAAGGGAGGAAAACTCGTAGGTTTGAGACTAGAACCAGGTTTAAGTTCAGAGCCAAGGAGAAAAAATGTTTTCAGAGGAGATTTGAAAGCAAGGATTGAAGGCGCTGGCCTAACCTGGAGAGGCAGAAATCCAGGATTTAGGAGAACATGGGGGCGGGGGGGGGGGGGGTCCTCTCGCCGCGGGTCTGTAAACGTGCCCTATAGGAACAGTGAGGAGGAGCTGATCTGCAGGGTCTGCAGGGTGGTGGCGATGGAGCAACCCACTCAGATAGGAGTAGGCTTGACCTCTTAAGGACTTGAAAGCTAAAAGAAGAATTTTAGCCGATCTGTCGTGGTGAAGAGGGAGCTGAGCCAGAAAGCCAGGCTCTCGATTTACCGGTTGATCTACGTCCCAATCCTCACCTATGGTCATGAGCTTTGGGTAATGACCGAAAGAACGAGAACGCGGATACAAGCGGCCGAAATGAGTTTCCTCCGTAGGGTGGCCGGGCTCAGCCTTAGAGATAGGGTGAGGAGCTCGGACATTCGGGAGGGACTCGGAGTAGAACCGCTGCTCCTCCGGATCGAAAGGAGTCAGCTGAGGTGGTTTGGGCATCTGGTCAGGATGCCTACTGGACGCCTCCCTGGGGAGGTGTTTCGGGCAGGTCCTGCCGGCAGGAGGCCCCCGGGTCGACCCAGGACACGTTGGAGAGGTTACATCTCCAATCTGGTCCGGGAACGCCTTGGGGTCCTGCCGGAGGAGCTGGTGGAGGTGGCTGGGGAGAGGACGGTCTGGAGCTCCCTAGTTGGGATGCTGCCCCCACGACCCGGACCCGGATAAGCGGAGGAAGACGACGACGACTTAATCCTGAATTGAAGCGGCAACAAGTGGATAAATTGGAGAATCGGTGTAATGTGGTGTCTTTTATTAGCAAAGGCCGGGAAACTTGCTGCTGCGACCGGCTGAAGCCTGGACAGAGCAGCTTTGCTAAGGCCATAAAGGCAGGAGTCACACGGGTGGCGCTGGAGATGAATAGTCTTCCAGCGTGACCCTGAGGGTTCTGTTACAGAAGTATGACTTAAACCAGTCAAGAGCCAAACCTGTGACGCCAGCCCATGAATGGAGTCTGTCAAAGGCCGCAGATAGATGGAGAAGAACCAGAACGACATGAAATGTTAAATTCAAGGCCAAAAAGACGCCATTGAACATGCGTACATGATCTGTTTTGGTGCTTTGCTGGTTCCTAAAATCTGATTAAGAATGCCCATCACCTTATGGTCAGACGGCAAATCAGCTGTTCATAAACCACTTTTTTGAGTACTTTAGCTAGAATTGGTGACGTGAAGATTTGACGGAAATTAAAAGTCTCAAAGGACCTCTTCCAGGTGACGTCACTTCCTGGTGAAGGTGTTGTGTGTGTGCACCTCCTGTGTTGTAGATTTGAACCCCTGCAGCACCAACCCCTGTCTGAATGGAGGCATCTGCACTGTGGGCCGAGGAGGATTCACGTGTCTGTGTCCACCTACGTACCAAGGCAAAATCTGCGACTCAGGTAAACAGCACCTGGAATTCAGATGGACGTCCTGTGGTGCCAAGACACAAATCGCCTGAGGGACAGGTGAGAATTCTGGGTAATTGTTTCTGTTACGCGCAGCGGTCTCCGAGTGTCGCTACAAAAATGGAGGCTGCCTGCAGTACTGCAGAAACTTGGAGGGCGGCACTGGAGTCCAGTGTGGGTGTGCTGATGGATTTAGACTGGAGACGGACGGAAAGAGCTGCACGCCAACAGGTAACCAGTGACATCTGACCTGAAACACACCTGGCTGACGTCAAGCTAGAGGTAATTGATAAATGGCCCACACTTGTGTAGCACCTTTCAGAGTCAGAGGACTCCAAAGCACTTTACACTACAGTGTATCATTCATCCATTCACACACTGATGGTGATGAGCTACGATGTAGCCACAGCTGCCCCGGGGTGCCCTGACAGAGGCGAGGTGTAAAAAGTCTGATGGTTCTACTAACAGACTCCCACCAATGTCTCTCTTCATCCAGTTGAGTTCCCCTGTGGTCGCCAGCAGGGGCCGATGGCCTACTACAGTCGCTCCCTGTTTGATTCCTCTGAGGATGTCAATGTTACCATGGAGATGGACCGCATCCTGGTCGGCAACAGCTCCACAGTCGGCGAGGTTTCTGATAAGAACACCACGGAGACACTGAAGGAGTTCTTGACAGCTCACCCAACGTCTAGCTCCACAGGTGTGAAGGAGGAGCCGGAGGGGGCGGAGCTAAGCCCTCGTATTGTCGGAGGAAACCTGGAGAGAGCAGGAGGGAGCCCGTGGCAGGTACGGCTGTGTCGGACACAAACAGCTGTAAAGTAGCTGGATTTGACATCACTTCTTTGTTTTTGTCAGGTTTGAATCTGACTGGTGTGTTTGGGTTGCCAGGTTCTGATCCACAGGTCAGACGGTTTTGGTTTCTGTGGAGGGACCCTGATCTTGGATCAGTGGGTGATTTCAGCCGCCCACTGCTTTGAGCAGTCTGCAGACCACGTCACGATAGGTGAAGATGTTGAGCTCGACTGAATCTGCAGCAACGTGTTCCTTTAGACCAACACTCACATTCTGGTTCAGAAGGTTTTTGGAAACTTTACGCATAAAATGTGAAGTGCAGTCAGGAATAGTGAGGCGTTCCTTTGGGAAGCAGTGCTCGGGAAAAGCTAGACACACTGATAATCATTCTGATTTTGGGATTTTAGGGGACTACGATAGAAATCGTCCTGATCCAGGTGAGCAAACAATAAAGATCCAGAAGGTCATCGTCCATCCACATTTCCATCCCTTTACCTTTGACAGCGATATTGCCCTCCTCTACCTGGCCCAGCCAGTCGTCAGGAGCTTCACGGCCATCCCCGCCTGCTTGCCAGATGCTCACCTGTCTGAATACCTACTGAAGGTAACCTGACATCAGATGTTTAGCTGTGTGATGAAGGTCTTCGCGCTGACTGGGTGTTTATGTTTAGGACGAGACTCGGGGTGTGGTGACGGGCTGGGGGGCCACTCGGTACCTGCAGCGTTCCTCTCGCTTTCTGAGGAAGGTGACTCTGCCAGTGGTTAGGTACCAGGACTGCTCAGCATCCACTGACCAGGTGATTAATTCCCTTCCTCTGAGTCATATGGCATCCTCCAGGTGTGTTAATCCTGCTTCTCTTGTGCACCCGGCAGGTGATCACAGACAACATGTTCTGTGCAGGTTACCTGGACGCCAACATGGACGCCTGCAGTGGTGACAGCGGCAGCCCATTCATCGTTCACTACAGAGGAGCTGGGTTTCTCACCGGGGTTGTCAGCTGGGGAGAGGAATGCGCTGCTAAGGGGAAGTTTGGCGTTTACACTCGTCTGGGAAACTTCCTGAGTTGGATCAGAGACACGATGCAAAAACTGGACCTGAACGGGACCCAGATCCAGTCAGAATAAAGCTTTCAAACTGGAACAAACATGAATTACCATCAGTTCCAAGATCAGTTCCTGCAGGACGATGATAAAATCTGGTCTAGAACAGGGAGCCCAAGAGAGAACTCCAATAGAACCTAAGACATTTACTTTAAAATCAGTTGGTTTTTGTTGGTTTCTGATGTGTCTCAATGACTTGAGTCCAAGAAGCAGGAACCAGAGACTACAGCGACGCAGACCTTCTGCTCTGAACCCAACCCCCCTCATCCATAGGCTCTGAGAAGATGTGGCATAGTCCAGAACCACAACAAGAATAACAGATCCATGCACTCAGTCTGCGAACCATGTTGAAGTGAATCGGAGTCTGAGTTAGATGAAGAGTTAAGTCGTCTCTGATTAACGTGTGACTTGTTTGGCTGTGGGTTCTAAACTGTTCACAACAGCGTTGTTAGCATGAAAATATAACCTGCAGGAGAAACATTACTTTCAATGTCACTGGTGTACAGAATAAAACAGAGTGGTCCTAACCCTAACCCTGTGGAACACCTTTACCCATCAGTCACCAGTATGCTGGGTCCAACCCTAAAGACAAGTCGGTGAAATGTGTTGTCGTCAGATACCTCAGTTTAGTCATTTTAAAGCTGATTCCCATATCAGGGTGTAGTTGTGTTAGATCAGGGTCTGGTTGGGTTAGGTGTAGTTGTGTTAGATCAGGGTGTGGTTGGGTTGGGTGTAGTTGTGTTAGATCAGGGTGTGGTTGGGCTGGGTGTAGTTGTGTTAGATCAGGGTGTGGTTGGGTGTAGTTGTGTTAGATCAGGGTGTGGTTGGGTTGGGTGTAGTTGTGTTAGATTAGGGTGTGGTTGGGTGTAGTTGTGTTAGATCAAGGTGTGGTTGGGCTGTGTGTAGTTGTGTTAGATCAGGGTGTGGTTGGGTGTAGTTGTGTTAGATCAGGGTGTGGTTGGGTTGGGTGTAGTTGTGTTAGATTAGGGTGTGGTTGGGTGTAGTTGTGTTAGATCAAGGTATGGTTGGGTTGGGTGTAGTTGTGTTAGATCAAGGTGTGGTTGGGTTGGGTGTAGTTGTGTTAGATTAGGGTGTGGTTGGGTGTAGTTGTGTTAGATCAGGGTGTGGTTGGGCTGGGTGTAGTTGTGTTAGATCAGGGTGTGGTTGGGTGTAGTTGTGTTAGATCAGGGTGTGGTTGGGCTGGGTGTAGTTGTGTTAGATCAGGGTGTGGTTGTGTTAGATCAGGGTGTGGTTGTGTTAGATCAGGGTGTGGTTGTGTTAGATCAGGGTGTGGTTGGGTGTAGTTGTGTTAGATCAGGGTGTGGTTGGGCTGGGTGTAGTTGTGTTAGATCAGGGTGTGGTTGGGTGTAGTTGTGTTAGATCAGGGTGTGGTTGGGTGTAGTTGTGTTAGATCAGGGTGTGGTTGTGTTAGATCAGGGTGTGGTTGGGTTGGGTGTAGTTGTGTTAGATTAGGGTGTGGTTGGGTGTAGTTGTGTTAGATCAGGGTGTGGTTGGGTGTAGTTGTGTTAGATCAGGGTGTGGTTGGGTGTAGTTGTGTTAGATCAGGGTGTGGTTGGGCTGGGTGTAGTTGTGTTAGATCAGGGTGTGGTTGGGTGTAGTTGTGTTAGATCAGGGTGTGGTTGGGCTGGGTGTAGTTGTGTTAGATCAGGGTGTGGTTGGGCTGGGTGTAGTTGTGTTAGATCAGGGTGTGGTTGAGTTGGGTGTAGTTGTGTTAGATCAGGGTGTGGTTGAGTTGGGTGTAGTTGTGTTAGATCAGGGTGTGGTTGAGTTGGGTGTAGTTGTGTTAGATCAGGGTGTGGTTGGGTGTAGTTGTGTTAGATCAGGGTGTGGTTGGGTGTAGTTGTGTTAGATCAGGGTGTGGTTGGGTGTAGTTGTGTTAGATCAGGGTGTGGTTGGGCTGGGTGTAGTTGTGTTAGATCAGGGTGTGGTTGGGCTGGGTGTAGTTGTGTTAGATCAGGGTGTGGTTGGGTGTAGTTGTGTTAGGTAGGTGTCAAGTAGGTGATCAGCTCAGGTTTACGCAGAGCAGAAGGAAGGAGAGCGCCCTGGCCGCACAGGTTAAACGTTCCTACTTTAAGAAAACCGTTAAATTGCATTGTTTATGTGCTACCTGGGCACTCCAAATATTTATTTAAAATGAAATCAAAGGAAACTGTAATGGTATCGAATGTTTATGATTTACAATTTAAAAAATGAAAGTGATGGGGAATTTTTTTAACCCTGTCTGTCTAGCTTAACATCATATATATATATATATATATATATATATATATATATATATATATATATATATATAGCCATGCCCCGATGTGGGGGGGGGGGGGCGTCGACATGGTCGGGACATAGAAGGGGGTGCGTGGCTAAATAAGTTTGGGAACCACTGGATTAGGGTGTGGTTGGGTGTAGTTGTGTTAGATCAGGGTGTGGTTGAGTTGGGTGTAGTTGTGTTAGATTGGGGTGTGGTTGGGTGTAGTTGTGTTAGATCAGGGTGTGGTTGGGTGTAGTTGTGTTAGATCAGGGTGTGGTTGGGTTGGGTGTAGTTGTTAGATTAGGGTGTGGTTGGGTGTAGTTGTGTTAGATTAGGGTGTGGTTGGGTGTAGTTGTGTTAGATCAGGGTGTGGTTGGGTTGGGTGTAGTTGTGTTAGATTAGGGTGTGGTTGGGTGTAGTTGTGTTAGATCAGGGTGTGGTTGGGTTGGGTGTAGTTGTTAGATTAGGGTGTGGTTGGGTGTAGTTGTGTTAGATCAGGGTGTGGTTGGGTTGGGTGTAGTTGTGTTAGATCAGGGTGTGGTTGGGTGTAGTTGTGTTAGATCAGGGTGTGGTTGGGTTGGGTGTAGTTGTTAGATTAGGGTGTGGTTGGGTGTAGTTGTGTTAGATCAGGGTGTGGTTGGGTTGGGTGTAGTTGTTAGATTAGGGTGTGGTTGGGTGTAGTTGTGTTAGATCAGGGTGTGGTTGGGTTGGGTGTAGTTGTGTTAGATCAGGGTGTGGTTGGGTGTAGTTGTGTTAGATCAGGGTGTGGTTGGGTTGGGTGTAGTTGTTAGATTAGGGTGTGGTTGGGTGTAGTTGTGTTAGATCAGGGTGTGGTTGGGTTGGGTGTAGTTGTTAGATTAGGGTGTGGTAGGGTGTAGTTGTGTTAGATCAGGGTGTGGTAGGGTGTAGTTGTGTTAGATTAGGGTGTGGTTGGGTGTAGTTGTGTTAGATCAGGGTGTGGTTGTGTGTAGTTGTGTTAGATCAGGGTGTGGTTGTGTGTAGTTGTGTTGGATCAGGGTGTGGTTGGGTGTAGTTGTGTTGGATCAGGGTGTGGTTGGGTGTAGTTGTGTTAGATCAGGGTGTGGTTGGGTTGGGTTTGCGTAAAAAAGCTCAGGACGCTTCAGGTGAGACGCTGACTCATCATAACAACACACAACTTCACGCTGAATGTCTGAGTTCAACCTAATCGATGGAGAGATTATAAAAGTATTTCTGAGGCAGAAGGTAGGCACACCTGTTTACAGGTAAATCATACAGAGTAGCAAGCGTAATTCTGCCTCCGGTCGTCACGAAGGTAAAAACAAGTAAAGACAGACAGGTGCGCTGTCCTCAGAGGCTCCTCACCAAGAGGAAATGTGGGTGTGGCTTTTTATCCACCCAATGTATTTCTCCACCCGGGTGTAGACGCCATACACCCTCTGACTCCCACACTCTTCTGGACCCCCCCAGGACACCAGCCCAAACACCACCCACCTCTGCCTCACCTGCATTACAAATGCCCCCCCGCTGTCCCCCAAGCAGGTATCCCGCCCCCCTTGAAAAAAGCCAGCGCAGAACATGTTGTCTGTGATGTTGTAGCTGATGGAGCGTGAGGCGTAGCTCGCCTGGCACTCGTCCTGAGAGACCACAGGCAGCTTCACGTACTGCAGGAGGTCAGAGGTCACTCCGAGGTCAGAGGTCAGGGCGGAGGAGGAAGCATTGGGGTTTGAGATCCCCCACCCTGCTACCAGACCCAGAGAGTTAGGCAGTAGGAATGACAGATCAGCCTGGGAAAAGACAGAGGTCAAAGGTCAGGGGAAAAAGAAACCAGGTGTCCTCAACAACAGTTCTTTTCATTCTGCATCATAAATGTAAACATGTACAAGCAGAACGTAACTGTCGTGTTCTAATTGTCCTCCGTCTTTAAAAAATATATTTTGGGCTAAATCGGCAGGCGGGTGGCGATGCTCATGCTCCACCTGAGGTGACAGGTGTGTTGCTGTTGGGAATCACCTGTTGACCAGTTTGTGGCAGACAGACCGGACGAACCAGCTGGTTAAACACCACCTTCTGGCTCAGCCTCAGCAGGGCGATGTCATTGTTGTAGTTGGTGGGGTGGAAATCCGGATGGAGAAGGATCTGGTCCACTGAGTGGTTGGTAGACAAAGGTTTGTCTCTGAGGCTCTGGAGGCCAACTGACACCTGAAGGACGCAAGCACACCTGATGAGAGGCAAACACAACGTAAACAGAGGAGACACGTTTCCTTCCACCTCTTACCTTTACGTGCTCAGGAGCCACCGGAATGACGGTGCTGTCCCTCCGCTGGGAACGCAGCACGTGGGCAGCTGTCAGGACCCAGAACTCAGACAACAGCGCCCCAGAGCCAAACCAGCGGTCCTCGGGAACCCGAGACAGGTCGTCCACGCTGAGCAGGACCTGCCACGGAAAGAGACCGGGTTCGGCAATCCGACCGCCAACGACCCGCTTCACCTGAGTGGGAAGAGCGCGGGATGGGTGTCCACAAGCTGGAACAATCAGAGAGACAAGACCACGCATAAACGGACAGGTAAACAAGCCAGTAGCCAGACAGGTGGCAGTGTACCTGGCTGACAGCTCGGTAGCTTGGTTTCTCCTTCAGCGTCGACCCATTCACCTGTGTGACCACACCTGAAGGAACCTTCAGCAAAAGCATCCATCAAATTTCTTCATCAGACTTTTTACCAGAAACTCCGTCGGGTCAGTTTTTTTTTTTAGAATGATGAAATGCTGACGGTGCGGCGAAACAGGTACGTTTACGCCTGAGTTCATCAAGCAGAGCAGGCCTTACTGTTCAGCAGGACTCCGTCCTCTCTGCACACATAATGAATGGTCGCTCCTAACCGTGTGCTGTTGTCATGGTTACCGAACACCAAATCCGCCATTTTAACACTCCTGGGCATCCCGCAATCCACCACTGCAACAGAAGAGAGGAATCAACACGTGTGTGTGTGTGTGTGTGTGTGTGTGTGTGTGTGTGTGTGTGTGTGTGTGTGTAGAATGGGTTAGGGTTATGTAGGTGCACCATGAGGGCTTGGATTAACCCTCTAAACCTTCTACCCATTTAGACACGTTTGGACCTCCAGGAGGAAGCAGCAGTAAATCTGATCTATGATGTTATCGCAGGTTGATTACGGCCCTCCTGTAACCAGGCTCTAAACGTGCTGGATAGAAGTCACAGTTTTCAGCCCCAATTCACTCACTAAATATAAATAACTGGTCTTCCAGGCTGTACTGTGAGACCTCTTCAAATGGTCCAGAACTCAGCGGCGCGTCTGGTCTTCAATCAGCCAAAAAGAGCACACGTCACCCCTCTGTTCATTGAGCTCCACCGGCTACCGCTAGCAGCACGCATCAAATTCAAATAGCTAACACTAGCATACGAAGTCCGAGATGGTACGGCTCCCATCTACCTGAAACCTCTTGCAAAGGCTTACGTCTCGGCCCGGCCGCTCCGGTCATCACAGGATCGTCGGCTAGCAGTGCCTACACCACGCTCAGGACAATCCAGACTCTTCTCAAGCATCGTTCCACAAATGTGGAATGACCTTCCTAACACTACCAGAACAGGGGCTTCCTTTTCTATTTTCAAGAAACTCCTGAAGACCCTGCTCTTCAGAGAGCATCTTCTAAACTAGCACCCTCCCTGCACCCGTCCCCCTCTCTACCGTCCACTCCTTGTTCCCTCCTCTCCATGATTGATGTCAAGTTGTTGTTGTTGTTGATGTTAGCCTCAAGGGCAACATGCCGATTATCACTTGTAAGTCGCTTTGGACAAAAGCGTCTGCTAAATACATAAAAGACATACAAATATAAATGTATTTATTTAAATAGAGCTTCAAACCCTGTTCCAGGTCTACTTCTCCAGACGGTCATTAAAATAACTTCTTGGCCTTGGACAAGTCCATCCGTTCTCAATCATGAAACCCACTTCCTGGTAGCTCAGGGATATCTGGGACGTAGGAATATTGGGGGACATAGCTTCCAGATTTCCCTTCCCGTTCCATTATAAGTATTCCGTGTGTATCTTTCTGCCAAACATTCAAGAGCAACTGCCCTCCATACAGTCCATTTTTGTCTTCATCCACGTTTTATTTTGTTCTTCGTTTGTTTTCCAGGTCGAGCTTTCAGCCTGTGATCATCGGCCAAAAACATGCACGCCTCAAAGTGCTATACTCCATTCCACCAGTAGGCGGCACAACATGGAAAATAATTTAGACATCCGGTTTATAACTTTATCATCACATCAATGAAAACAAGTAAACACGTTTGACTCCAACAGCTACAGGTATGGCTCCAGCTCAAACACAAAGCTTTAGATCCTGGATCGGCAGCTCCGGGGTCAGATCCTCGTCTTACTTTGACAGCGAGGAAGATGGCCGCTCCACGACCCATCAGCCCCACACAGCAGCTGGTAATGGTCCAAAAGCTGGCCGTCCTGTACCAGAATAAAAATAACATTACGATTGAGAACACACGCACAGAGCTCCCGGTAAGAGGCAGAACAGAGGGTCACCGGGAGCCTGATGACACCTGGATCAGAACCACAGGTGGAGGTGGTTCTGACCCAATCAGATGCTGACTTATAACTGACCACAGATCAGCCACTATCACCACTTTCAGTCACAAGAGAAGACAGATGTGTGCACACCTGAACAGGTAACTCTGACAAGACCTGAAGGAGGAGCTCACCATAAGCAGGTGGTGCCCAGGTTCACAGCTGATCACAACGTGATCCTTAAAGGAGTATTCTGATTGGACAGGACTCACCACAGCATTGGGCGGAGTCTGAAGGACAGGACACTGACTTCCTGTTCCAACAAAATAAAAGCAGGTCAGGAAAAGGCTTCATGTTCACACCTGTACAAACACATGCACCTGTAGTGGTAACTTTACCTGTACCAGTACCTGTAAAAATACATGTAGCTGTATAATTACCTGTACTTCTAAGTACTTGTACCTGTAACTACCTGTAGCTGTCACTGAATAAGTAATTGTATCTATAGCTGTATAAATACCTGTATCTGTAGTACACAAACCTGTTCCTGTAGCTCTACCTGTATATGTACCTGTATAAGTACTTGTACCTGCAGCTGTGGCTCTACCTGTATAAGTACTTGTACCTGTTCCAGTAGCTCTACCTGTATATGTACCTGTATAAGTACTTGTACCTGCAGCTGTGGCTCTACCTGTATAAGTACTTGTACCTGTTCCAGTAGCTCTACCTGTATATGTACCTGTATAAGTACTTGTACCTGCAGCTGTAGCTCTACCTGTATAAGTACTTGTACCTGTTCCTGTAGCTCTACCTGTATATGTACCTGTATAAGTACTTGTACCTGTTCCTGTAGCTCTACCTGTATATGTACCTGTATAAGTACTTGTACCTGCAGCTGTAGCTCTACCTGTATAAGTACTTGTACCTGCAGCTGTAGCTCTACCTGTATAAGTACTTGTACCTGTTCCTGTAGCTCTACCTGCATATGTACCTGTATAAGTACTTGTACCTGTTCCTGTAGCTCTACCTGTATATGTACCTGTATAAGTACTTGTACCTGCAGCTGTAGCTCTACCTGTATAAGTACTTGTACCTGTTCCTGTAGCTCTACCTGTATATGTACCTGTATAAGTACTTGTACCTGCAGCTGTAGCTCTACCTGTATAAGTACTTGTACCTGTTCCTGTAGCTCTACCTGTATATGTACCTGTATACGTACTTGTACCTGCAGCTGTAGCTCTACCTGTATAAGTACTTGTACCTGTTCCTGTAGCTCTACCTGTATATGTACCTGTATACGTACTTGTACCTGCAGCTGTAGCTCTACCTGTATAAGTACTTGTACCTGTTCCTGTAGCTCTACCTGTATATGTACCTGTATAAGTACTTGTACCTGCAGCTGTAGCTCTATGTATTTGTACCTGTATAGGTACTTGTACCTGTTCCTGTAGCTCTATGTATATGTACCTGTATAAGTACTTGTACCTGCAGCTGTAGCTCTATGTATATGTACCTGTATAGGTACTTGTGCCTGTTCCTGTAGCTCTATGTAAATGTACCTGTATAAGTACTTGTACCTGTTCCTGTAGCTCTATGTATATGTACCTGTATAGGTACTTGTGCCTGTTCCTGTAGCTCTATGTAAATGTACCTGTATAAGTACTTGTACCTGTTCCTGTAGCTCTATGTATATGTACCTGTATAAGTACTTGTACCTGTAGCTATGTCCTCACCAATCTGAGGTTGCGTCTTCTCTAGCAGGTCATGCTGATGACCTCACCTGTTGGTCTACATTAATAGGATGTGTTGGTACACGCCCACCTATAGAAGTGTAGTTGAGCCTCCAGCCGAGGTTTTCTCCCGAGTTGTCGCTGTGAAATCGAACTACGACCACGTTGCTGTCAGTCTGAATGATTCCTGGAGACCGATTTCCGCAGAACGGACCAAATTCACGTCCTCCTGCTTCGATCTGACACACAGAAAGCTGATCAGTTTCTTGCCTAAGTGTGTGCACAGGTGTGTTTGTTCACCTTCACGTAATCATAGGGACAGCTGATGTCTGGGTGGTCTTCCACGTCAAAACGAGCGTCAAACTGGAGGCGGAGTCTGAAACCTTCCTCCAGCTCAATGCGGTACAGGCAGTCGGAGCTCTTGGGGTAAGGAGCAGGGAAATCCACACTGGTGAGAACGCCGGAGCGTTCCCTGAACACATCACTGCTGCATTCCACTGGAAGCGCGCGCGCACACACACACACACACACACACACACACACACACACACACACACACACACACACACACACACACACACACACACACACACAGATTTCTGACCTGATGAACTGTGTGTGCTGCCTCCTCCACACTTATCATGTAAATATTTACAACTCATCAGCTGCTGTTATCAGACGGAGCTTAGGCCAGATCCTGAACCTCCGACCATCCTCTGAGAGCAGCTCTCTGCTTTACTGGATCAGGATCCACCAGCACGTGTACGCTTTCATTCGTGTATCGAGCAGACACTTTAATCCAAAGTGACTCACAAATGAAGATGTGACATGTTCTCTGTGATTCTCACATTAGAGGAGGAGAACCGTTAAACGTGTCAAAGGGAACTTTTCATCTTTACTTCTGATTGAAACCTTCGCAGAACAAAACCCAGCCGGACAAAACACCGAAAAACTTCACAAACTTTCCAGACTTTGAACCAAAACCTGAACCTCTGCAGGAGCTCTGCTGACCATAACCGTGACACCAGTTTCACCTGTGAAGGCATCAGCACACTCACCTCTGCAGGTGTGGTTGTCGGCATGCAGCAGGTAACCATAGCGACAGGAGCAGTAGTATCCCCCAATGTAGTTGTGACAGAAATGATCACAGAACTGGATGTTGTGGCTCTGCTCGTCGCATTCGTCCACATCTGCTGGGACAGGACAAAGATTGAGGAGCCGCTTTACTCCGGTTCAGGTTCTACCCGTAGAACGGCGGCAGAACTTTCAGATCTCAGGCTCCTCTCTGGTGGAACAAGCTTCCAGTTTTCATCCACGTGGCAGACACCCCGTCTATTTAGGGTTAGCTTGGGTTATCCTGGCTCATCCCTTTAGATATGCTGCTTTAGGTTCCAGGTTCTCTCCGGTTTAGGAACGTTGACTGGACCTGCCCTGCCGGGTCTCTTTCCTGTTCTGTCAGACCCCTGTTGGTTCTGGTTCCAAACTTCCCAGGATGGCAACCATCCCGTTCCCACACAAGCCAGGTTAACGGTATCAGCTCTACTGACCCGTTCTGAACTGGAATCTTTGCTTTGAGAAAAACTGGTTCACATAAAATTATTTCTATTTCCGCACCGCGAGCATGTTGTCGCCTTCACATGGAAAAGAAACGTTGGTTAGCTCTGGCAGCAGCTGGTCTGTGGGATGTGAGACCAGTCGAGAGTTTTGTGTTGCCGTCTCACCTACAGCGCTGTAGTGAGCCAGAAAACCAGAGTATCGCTCCTCGTCGGAGAAATCGGAGGTGAATCGAACGCTGAGGGAGGTCCTGGGAGACGTGATGACCTGCTGAGCCGGCACTGTCTCCGTGTCGGTTTCCTCCTTCCCACAGAACAACGCTAACAGCTCCCTGTCTGCCTCCACCTACACAACAGCAACACAACGGCAACGCTGGGGGGTCAGTCTTAGAGTAGCTTCAGGTTCATTTTGAGCATCATAAGGTTGCTTCTTTTCTTCCCCTATGCTGTCACCATAGTAACCGATGCTGCAAACCTAACTTGATCCACAGCAGGAACCTTGTGGAGGTTCCTCCAGCCATTTCTCAGTGTTAGTATTGTTTAAAGAGTAAGTCACCCCCTACCAGAGTCTAACTCCACTCCCACTTCATGTTTGAAAAATGCAACTAATGCTGTTGCCTGGAGAAGGAGGAGCTGCTAACAAACACACATCATAATGTGACATCATAATGTACCAGTTTACATCATAGCATACCTCTTAGCCAATAGCGGTTGCAGATTTAAATGAAAATACAGCGCAGAGTTTTTACCTGACGACGGCACATCACTGCCAGTTTTAGGCAGAATATTTAAATTTGAACTAAGATGCACTGAAGTGCCAAATTATTGACAACACGTGTCTGCAGCACGATTAGACACTCGCTTATTCAGTTTATCAGCAAAAAAAAGTTGATTTGGGGGTGACTTGCTCTTTAAATATTTTTTCCACACGCTGGTTTATTATTTCATTTTATTGCAATATTTTAAGGTGTTTACTAATGGGTGCACACATTTAGTAATTTATCTTATACATCGTTTATTTGATCATTAGCTATTTTCATTTGTATTCCGCTGAGATTGGACGAACTGGCAGAGAGAGAGAGAGAGAGAGAGAGAGAGAGAGAGAGAGAGAGAGAGAGAGAGAGAGAGAGAGAGAGAGAGAGAGAGAGAGAGAGAGAGAGAGAGAGAGATGACACTTCCGGTGTAACTCCAGGCAGGAAGTGGAATATTCCATCTGGCTGCTGGAAGCAGGGGACTTGATCATGAAGAAACCAGAAGTTGTGAAGCTCTAATTGACTTTACCAGATTTTGTTGGGAGGTATTAGTTAAACGTTTTTGTGGTAGTTATACTTTGTTGATTTAGTTTCCTAGGTTTGTTTACTGTTTGTCTTAGTGTGTCCCATCTCTCCCCTCCTCGTTGTCTGTAGGCTAGCCTTTGTGTATAAATTCCCCCGTGTGTCTCAGCTTTGGGACCAGTCTTCTTTGTTACTTTTGGTTAAGGTTATTTTCGTGACCATTTTTTCCTTTGGGCCCGTTTTGTCTTGATTTTTGTTCATTATTTATGGAAATAAATTGAGAATATATTCTTTTTATACCATTGTCCTGGAGTCGTGGATGTAATTTTCACTTTAGAGGGGGGGGGATCTTTACAGGATGATCTAATGGGAAACAGGCTTCAACACAAATGGTTGTTATCCACCTGGTCCTAGAGCTCAACCAGTCTCAGTTTAATATAGCGTAATATTGTTTTTGGATGGTAAAAAGTGCAGGGGTCAAAATTTGACTTTGGAAAAAGTGGGGGGGGACATGTGAACCCCCCCCCCCCCAATTACGTCCATGCCTGGAGTTTTACTGCTCGGTCCCTGACAAACCTCACTTATAAAATTAGCTAAAACACAACTCTGACCCTGGTGTAAACACGTTTTGGAGGCGGGGAAACTGGCAGCTCAGCCGCCAAGGTGGCAAAACTCTCACAGTTTTTTCTGGTTGTTGAGGTTCTCTCCTGGGGAGGAACTACTTTCTCTGGCAGATGAATCGTTTGAGGATTTCTCTCAGATGATTGGTGTTTTCTCCCCTCATGTTCTGGTTCTGCTACGGTTTTATTCTGATGGTGTTCATTTAAGTTTTAGAAGCTGAACTCCCGAGAACTATTTGGGATTTATGTTGGACTCGAACGAGAACCCTGAAACCAGATGTGTTTACATCCAGCAGCTTATCTCAGAGGTCAGAGACCAGGAGGACGCCGACTCCCAGAGACACGCTGCACAAGTCTCTAAAACACAACCCACACAGAGCTCCTGATCCAGACCAGAACTCCAGGTCCAATGTTTCCTTTACTCTGTCAAACCGGTTCTGGACTACTCTCTGAGGATGGGTCTTACCTTGACTGAGTCGTACTGGCACTGGTAAGATGGCTCCAGGTCAAAATGACTGAAGTAGAGTTGGATCCGAAATCCATCTGGAACGCTTATGTTCCAGCATCGCTCAGTGTCTCTCGGGTACGGGTCGGGAAAGTTCGGAGACTCCAGTCTTCCATAGAATCCGGACATCAGCTGGGTGCCACGTCTGGGCCAGAACAGCAGCAGGATCACAAAGACCCTGAACAAAAACCACAGAGTCCAATCAGGACTTTTCTGACATGCAGCATCTTTCCAAAAATCCCAACAATGTCTGGACCAGCCCGTGAAACCAGTTTGGTCTTTCATGTTGGACATTTTATCTTTTGCAGTAACTCCAGAACCTTAGTCATCAAACTGTCGGGTCCTCTGGCTGTCCATCTGTCCTGTCAGATGGACAGGGGACAAAAAAAATGCTCTTTTAAGTTCAGTTCATGCAAATTAAATAAAGTTGTATGGTTTAATAATAAATAAGTGTTTTCTCTGGAGAGGGGCCTGGTTCCTCTAGAACCTGAACCAGGTTCCCTGCTTCTATGCAGAATAATGGACCATTTCTAAAGTTCAGCTCTCATAAGTTCTGACCAGCAGTGACGTTCCACAGAAAAGGTCAGAAGCCACCTAATCAAGGATCAATAAGTTCCAAAGAATGAACGGGCGAATCTTACCTCATCCTGATGAACGGAGTTCTGCTGCTCCGGTTCAGTGTGTCCACAGAGAAAGGGGAGTGTGCAAGAGCCGGACATCCGCACGCATAGAGTTCTCTAGCACATATATCTGCACACACAGAGTTCTGTAACACATAGATCCGTACGCATTAGAGTTCTCTAGCACATAGATCTGCACACAAAGAGTTCTGTAACACATATATCTGCACACACAAAGTTCTGTAACACATAGATCTTCACACATAGAGTTCTGCAACACATATATCTGCACACACAGAGTTCTGTAACACATAGATCTGCAAACATAGAGTTCTGTAACACATAGATCTGCACACATAGAGTTCTGCAACACATAGATCTGCACACATAGAGTTCTACAACACATAGATCTGCACACATAGAGTTCTACAACACATATATCTTCACACAGAGTTCTGCACACATAACATTCTGGAGCACATAGATCTGCACACATAGAGTTCTGCACAGGCAGAGTTCTCTAGCACTCATATCTGCACACATATGACGTTTTTTTTCTTTGTTTATTTCATTCAAAATAAAAACAAATAAAACATATAAACAACAAGATATACATAACAAAAATCAAAATCGAACGAAAAGGAGCAGAATGAAGAAAAACATTTTATAATTTCTGCCCCCTTTTCCAGAAGAAATAATCTATTTACATACAATTTCCATTTGTCAGACACACATACAGATTCATTTTAAACTTTTTCCTGTTCTTAATTCCAGTGCGATCATAATCATTGATTTAATTTACATTTTCATTATTTAGTGGTTTGCCAACTCCGGGTCGGGGGAGAGGTCCTTCCTCAAGTGGAGGAGTTTAAGTATCTCGGGGTCTTGTTCACGAGTGAGGGTAGGAGGGATCGGGAGATCGACAGGCGGATTGGTTCGGCGTCTGCAGTGATGCGGACGCTGAGCCGATCTGTCGTGGGGAAGAGGGAGCTGAGCCAGAAAGCCAGGCTCTCGATTTACCGGTCGATCTACGTCCCAATCCTCACCTATGGTCATGAGCTTTGGGTAATGACCGAAAGAACGAGATCGCGGATACAAGCGGCCGAAATGAGTTTCCTCCGTAGGGTGGCCGGGCTCAGCCTTAGAGATAGGGTGAGGAGCTCGGACATTCGGGAGGGACTCGGAGTAGAACCGCTGCTCCTCCGGATCGAAAGGAGTAAGGTGAGGTAGTTTGGGCATCTGGTCAGGATTTCTCCTGGACGCCTCCCCGGGGAGGTGTTTTGGGCATGTCCTGCCGGCAGGAGGCCCCCGGGTCGATCCAGGACACGTTGGAGAGGTTACATCTCCGATCTGATCCGGGAACGCCTTGGGGTCCTGCCGGAGGAGCTGGGGGAGGTGGCCGGGGAGAGGACGGCCTGGAGCTCCCTAGTTGGGATGCTGCCCCCGCGACCCGGACCCGGTTAAGCGGAGGAAGACGACGACGACGACGACAATTTAGTACACTCAATTTGGTACGTTTTTTGAATATATTAAATGACAGATTTTTTAATTTCCATTTTAAGGTTATTCCATAATTTAACACCATTTACAGATATATTCCATTCCTTAATTTTAGTTCTAAATCTAGGGTTTGTAAACACATCAGTTTCTTTCAGCGTGTAATTACTAGTTCTCTTTTCAAATATCCCCTGAATGTTTGTTGGCAGAGTACCTAAAATGGCTTTTTACATGGTTTGTAAGATTTTCCAGTCTTTTAAATCATGAAATATGATTTATATTTAATAAACAATGGGTTTGATGGCTCTCTACATCTGTAGCTACTGACCCGGATGGGCCCACTTGTAGTTGAGTCCCTTTCTGTTGCAGCTTGTGGTTCAGTTCAGGCCCAGTTAGGAGCAGCCTTGTGTTTGTGGGTCATAGACAATAACAACTCCACTGCCCCCCGGTGGTAACTGGACCTCCCGTTGTCATGGAGACGGGGAGCAGCAGAGGAGGAGACATCAGATCTGGTCAGATACCGGACCGTGATCTCTGACAGAACCAGTGGGCCTTTCTCTGGGGAGCTCTTCGGGCTTTTCCGGGCCCAATGGACACCTTTCCTGTCCCCGAACCCACAGTCTGACCCAGATCGTCTTCCATCATGCCGAACCGACAGAAGAAGCTCCTGTTCTCCGCCGCTGGCATCCTCGGCCTCTCCTGCGCTCTGACGGCCGCCGTGGCTTCCGGCCTGCCCTTCTGGCTCCGCGGGGCCATGCTGTGCCGAACCGGAGCCGAACTCGTTAACGCTACCGGTCCTGAGCTGGACAAGTTCCTGGGCGACCTGAGCTACGGTCTGTTTCACGGACAGAGGGTGAAGCAGTGCGGCCTGGGGGGCAGACTGTCCCGGTTCTCATGTGAGTATCCGGTCCCATCGCAGATCCGGACCCGGACCTGGGTCTGCGGCACCAACTTCCTGTTGCTTTGAACAAAGCGCTTGATTAGGGTTCTTATTTAAGTAGAACACACGAGTGCGCGCGGGGGGGGGGGGGGGGTGTAGAGGTGTTCAAGTGTTCTGCTAGCCCCGCCTCCACGGATGTGTCTGATCCAGAAACATTTGCGAGATGGAGACGGTCTGATTGTTGTCAGAACCTCAAAACAATCAGACCATCTGTCACTTCTCACCTGTGCACAGGTAAACCCAGCAATCCAACAGTCCGGCTCCGAGACTGCAGTTCTATAACTGGACAGGTTGTTTGGACATGAGATCTGAACAATCTAAACCAAAATGAACACATGATGTAATTCTGGGACTTTCTCATCCCGTTCTTCTTCTCCTCTACCTCCCAGTCTTCCCAGACCTCCTGAGTGTGATCCCTGCTGGACTCCACGTCATCGTTATATTCTTCTGTGGTATTGTGGTCCTCTTCTCCTCTGTGGCTGCCGGCTTCTTCTTCTTTAACGCCTTTGGACGCCCCTACGAGACGCTGCAAGGCCCCATGGGACTGTACCTGTGGAGCTTCATCTGCTGTGAGCCACTCCCTAAACACCATAACAGTCATTTACCCAGAGACAGAAGAAGGAAGGAGCGGGTTCCGATTCAAAGGGTGAACGGGTTCGGCCAGTCCAGGAGCCACAAGGTCCAGCTGAGCCTGTGTGAACGGGTGAATGACTGGTGTGTTGTAGATCACCTTGGGGGGTTCTAGGACTCTAGAAGGTGCTATAAGTTACATAATGGGTTCATGAGCAAATAAAGAAACTCAGTTTTAGTTCTAACATTTGAACACGGCTCATGTGTTCATACACATGAACAACCCCCCAAGGTGATCTACAACACACCAGTCATTCACCCGTTCACACACTTGCAGTAAGGTCTCTGAGGGGTCTTTAAGTATCTTTAAAGAGCTTCTGAGGTCTGCCTTAGATGACCATTTTAGATGAAGCACCATAGAGTTTATTTTCTGGACCAATCCAATCATCCTGAGCAGTGGCGGATTTAGCAATTTGGGGGCCCAAGGCGAACACAGACATGGGGCCCCCTTGCACTAAATTTTCGACAATCTTATCTTTAATTGAATTTGTGAAACTCTCTTCTGACACGAGTTCTGTTTTTCACTTTTTATTAGTCCTCTTTTTTCCCCCGTTGAGTGCTTTCAATATTTGCTCTGCTTTCTTCTTCCTGTCAGTGCTCCTGTGCTTTTGCTTTTCTTTTTTTTTCTATTTTCCATTTTGGTCTATGTTCTCCCCCCTTTAAACATTTTCCATTGTCTTCCTTTTGATGTTTACGTAGAAAAACGACGTCACTTTTGGAAGAAGAAGAAGAAAGTATCGTTTCTATAGCGCCTCTCAAGATAAAAATCACGAGGCGCTTCACAAAAACAAAAAATGTAAATATATAAAAAAGCATTTAGAAAATGTTTAAAAATATATTTAAAATGAGCAAAAATAGACAATTGTGATTAAAAAATTGTTAAGAAAGAGAGAGAGTGAACAGGAAAGAGGGAAATCAGTGGATCCTGAGGAAGGTGGAATAGGTGGGGAGAGCAGAATAAAGAGAGAGAGGTGAAGAAGGTCATACAAAAGCCAGCTTGAACAAGTGAGTCTTCAGCTGCTTTTTAAAGGAGACCACTGAGTCCACTGGTCTCAGGCTCAGGGAGAGAGAGGTCCAGAGTCTGGGGGCCACAGCAGCAAATAATCTGTCACTTTTGACCTTTAGCCTGGTGCTACACAACCAGTAGGCTTTGATCACTGGACCTCAGGGACCTGCTGGGGGTGTAGGGACTAAGAAGATCACCAATGTAAGATGGTGCTTGTCCATGTAAGGCCCTATAGACCAGAACCAGGATCTAGAAATGAACCCTGAAGTTGACTGGCAGCCAGTGAAGCTGGAGGAGAAGCGGGGTGATGTGGGTGTGTTTGGAGGACTTGGTCAGAAGCCGAGCACAGGCGTTCTGAACCACCTGTAGACGATTCAGGGAGGTTCTGCTCAGACACGTGAAAAGAGCGTTACAGTAGTCTAAGCGTGAGGAGATGAAGGTGTGGAGAACTGTCTCAAGTTCAGAGCGAGACGGAATGGAAGAAGGAAGCGTAGAACAAATAGAAGTGGAAGTGAAGATAAAAACTTTTTTAAAGCAAGCTGCTTCTTTCTCTTAGTGGAGCCACTAGCACGACTCCATTTCTTAATGTTTGGACTACCGCTTCAAGTTTGTTACAAACGCTCCCGCCTCTCATCTTCTTCCTATTTGTGGTCTCGTGGCACTTGGCAAACAACAATTTGGTGCATTACTGCCACCAACTGGATTGGAGTAGAATCACTACCAATCACTTCCTGTTTGTGTATCGGCATCTCAAAGGAATAGTCCATTGTGGCATTAACAGAGGGGTGCCAGCAGTCAGGGCTAGGGGGCCCCCCAACATAAGGGGGCCCCAGGCAGCCACCGACCTATGCCTTATAGTAAAACCACCACTGCTCCTGAGAGGAGATGCCAGATGCTGCTGGACCTTAACGTCACGTTTTCTGCTCATTCTGCAGGTCTGGCCAGCTGCTTGGTGATGATCCTGTTTGCATCTGAAGTGAAGATCCATCACCTTTCTGAGCGCATCTCCAACTTCAGTGAAGAGACCTTCGTCTTCCAGACCTACACAGAAAGCTACGACCGATGCTTCTGGCTCTTCCTCCTCATCTTCTTCCTTCATGGACTCAACGCTGTTCTGATCCGACTGGCCGGAGTCCGGTTTCCCTTTCAGGAGAACAAAGAGGTGGAGCTGAGCGGCGGAGCGGCTGACCTCATGTACTGATCCTCTGTAGCGCCTCAGAGGAAAGCTCTGAAGTGAACCGGATCAGCGCGGTTCTGACACAAATAGTCATCCTGTCTGATTCTCAGAGCAGGACGACAGAATCTGTGATGTTCTTTAGTGTTGACGAGTAGCTAGATCATCAGATCTCAAAGAGATTCAGACAACCACAAACTGACCAGAACAATTTGGGTTAGAACTCTAGAACCTGATGTTTTTACCTTTTATAGAGGAGAAAAATAAACTCTGTTTTTCATCTGCATGTGTCTTGATTCTTAGATCTGCACCCAGCAGGGCTGAAGGTTCTGGTTCGTGTTCCGGACAGGAACCAACGCCGTCCCTGGGATTAGGGTTCTGCTGTGAGATAATCAGATGTAGTTATCGATCCCAACGGGCCCGTTAGGGAGGGGAAACGACGCAGGAGACGTCTCTCTCTTTCTTTGCCCTGTCCCCTGCAGTGACACCAAACCGGCTCGTTCGTCTTCAGAAGAGGACGTGCTGACAGAGGAGAAGATTGAATCGGTTGGCTCTGACTGGACCATTTGGTTCTGCAGGGGGTTGGTGTTGTGTTGTTTAATTGCTTGGCTCAATAGGAAGTCCAGAAAAAACCTGGGCGGGTTTAAACCCCGGAGTGTCTCAGGTATGTGTCTGATCATAATTGGACCTCCAGCAGGCTGGCAGCAGGACACGCTGACCGGCAGCCAGAAGATGCCCCGGCGTTCCTACTGCTCCTGTCTGATTCCAACGCATCACAGCTCAGACGGGCTGCGGGTTCCTCTCAGGTAGGAACTGCGGCGAGGCGGCGGCGCAGAACCAATCACGTCTCTGACAAAAGGCACCTGGAGCTGCAGGTGAGTGTTCTGCTCCTGTTGGAATCAATGCTAGACTGATTCAACTCAGCATGAACTGAGCTGCCTGTCGACTAACTGGTGCTGAGTGATGTCTGTGGTGCCGGTTGCTATGGTGATGCTGGGGGTGGGGTCCACTCCTAGAAGTCTGAGGTGAGTGGAAGGAAGCTAGAACACTCAGGTGTGTTTGATGGAGAGGAAACAGTTTGATCAACAGCAGGTAAGATTCATCCTCATTCACCACCACCGGGTCAGTTGTGACCGGTTACGTTACGCAGGTGACGGCGTCAGCCGCTGACTCAGCAGGTGTTCGTTTGAAATGACACTTGGATCAAAAAGTGCTGGACTCTTTGGAAATAATGAATCTGTCTAATCTGAATTATCCCTAAATGCTGATGAATTATAGTAGATTTGAAAAATCTGTTACCATTGGATGTGAGAAATCCTGAATAGTCTAATTATAACATTTAGTTATTTGTGTTGAGAAGAAACCAGCCGTCCGCCAGACTCCTGGCATCATCAGGGTCAGCCGCCGCTGTGGGGTCTGACCCGTAGCTCCTTCCCTGTGAGCCACTTCACAGAGAAAACATCATCACGGCAGAGGTTTATCAGGAAAACATCAGGCAGCAACCTGAATGTGACCTCCTCACTTCCTGATGATGAGGTCATCTCTGGATTCTGCTTTGAAGATGAAGGAGATCATCAGCGAGAGGAGGCGGCTCCATGATTAACTCAGAACTGCTTCCCTTTGACCTGCAGAGATGTACTCCACACAGCTGGAGCTGTGTGCGTGTGTGCATGTGCGTGCGTGTGTAAGTGTGTGTGCGTGCGTGCGTACGTGTGTTAATACCAATCCTCTGTGTGTGTGTGTGTGTCTGCGCGCGTGTGTGTGTGTGTTAATACCAATCCTGTGTGTGTGTGCGTGCATGTGTGCACGCGTGTGTGTGTGTGTGTGTGTGTGTGTGTGTGTGTGTTCAAAAAGCCATATCATCAACATTCCTACTGAACAGATCAGAGGTCAGCCCCAGGACAAGTCTCTGTGTGTGTGTGTGTGTGTGTGTGTGTGTGTGTGTGTGTGTGTGTGTGTGTGTGTGTGTGTGTGTGTGTGTGTGTGTGTGTGTGTGTGTGTGTGTGTGTGTGTGTGTGTGTGTGTGTGTGTGTGTGTGTGTGTGTGTGTGTGTGTGTGTGTGTGTGTGTTAATACCAATCCCAAAGTTGGTCCCAGAGCAGACGCCGACTCTGGTCTGAGATCAGCTTCCTCTTGGTGTCTTTAACATGATCAGAACTCTGAGCTTCACTTTGTTCCGGCCCAGAGGGTTCTGATGCTCATTGTGAACTCACTGCCCCCTGTTGGTGAAGATGCTGGACTGCACCCAGGTCTGTTTTCAGCTGCTGAGAGTCCACAGAACCAGGTCACATATCAGTCGGGATGGATTCAGTTTCACTCCCACATTTACCTGCTGCTGTCTGCGTCAGCTAGATGATCCAGGACCAGTCACAGCTCAGAGCGGTTGGTCACGAGTCTCGTTTACTAGCGCGGCGTTGGGAGGAATGACTGGCACATGCTGTGGGACCAGCGGTGGATATTATGGACTTTGGACCAGACTACATCAAGCTGCTGCAATATGAAGTCAACAGGAATCCTGATGTAAGTTCTGCTTAAATCCTGGTTCTGATGATGGCAGGGATAAGGACTGTCTCCAGAACTTTCTTTTTACCTGAGGAGGAGAGCAAGCGAAGGTTTTTGGGTCTTTTTGCTTCCCACTGTCGTCCTCCTGCTCACATTCACAGTGGCTGGGTTACATCCTTTTATCCGAGGGATTGGGATTCATTTTTCACGTCTTGCCTGGCAGTAATCAGAATTGTTGTCCGAGTGCCAAAAACAAGCCTTACAGATTCACTCTCACGGGCTATGTCCGACTGACATTAAAACTTTATTAGAATTGCTCTGGGTCCATTTAAAATCCCAACAGACACGGAGACGGAAATGAAAGAAAGGAGGAAGAGGAAAGGAAATGAGAAATAATAAAGAGGTACGAGACTCCGCTCCTGAAGAGAGAGAGAAGAAAGAGACGACACAACAACACAGCGCTGAACATATAATGATGTTCCTGAAAAGTACACGTGACAATTAATACGTGGTGTCATTGACCGACGACAGCCCAAGTTGTGTGTCTGAAAACACCTGAGCTCATACTTGTGGCAACACCTTACAGGAACCTTTGTGTGTCCATGCACCTGTGTATATAAGGTTTCTCCATAGGAGTGTCCAATAGTGAGATCATAGCAGAGAGCCCTCAGGCCCCGCCTACAGCCGCCACATGGATCCAGCCCGGATCTCAGCGGACCGAGACCTAAGGGCATCCAGACCCTGGAGAAGGCCCAACAGAGCCCAAGGGCCCGGGCTGGGAGTAAGCCAGCAGATGCCACAACACCCGGCCCCAGACACGAGAGCCACCACCCACCAGCAGAAGACCTATCAGGGGGAGGATAGGCCTCAGACGTTGTAGTGGTCTAAACGTCCCAGGAGAGGGGCGGAGTCCACAGGGCCCTGGGTGTGCACCTGTAAGGATGTCTTAGGTGGGAGTGTTTAAACATGTGTCTTTAATAAAAAGTGTAACTTTATTAAAATTAACTTACTGCAACCGGTCAATCTGATTCTGGAGCTGAGATGATTGAGATTAGTGGTTCTGTGGAGAGCTCTGAGATGATTTGTACCGTGAACAGGAGCTTTAGAATTAAACTGGAGCCGTGCTGTCCAGGGGCGTGTCCAGGGAGTGGCCTGGGGTGGCAAATGCCACCCTTGGAATCTGATTGGCCACCCCAGGTGCCAACACACTAATTTACCTTTAAATAGGCTTTTCATTGTCCACAAAAGGCTTGGGGGTAAAACAAAAAAAGCATAACCATTGGTGCCACCCATGCACAAAGTTGTGCCTCACCGGGGCCACCCCATTTTAAAAGATCTGGACACACCACTGGTGCTGTCTAAAGTAACCCTTGGTCCATGTGGTTCTGATGGTTCAATTCAATTCAATTCTATTTATATAGCGCCAAATCACGACAAGAGTCATCTCAGGGCACTTCACATAATAAACATTCCAATCCAGGTCAGTTCATTAAGCCAATCAGCAAAAAGTTTCCTATATAAGGAACCCAGCAAACTGCATCAAGTCACTGACTAGTGTCAAGAGTCTTTACAGCAGTCCTCATACTAAGCAAGCATATCGCTACAGTGGAGAGGAAAACCTCTGGATCCGATGCCGTCTGAGGCGTCAGAGCTCACAGTAGAAAACAGTGGCGCTGCTCCCCGATACGGGTTCTGATTCAGTCTGTTTGGACCAGTCGTTTAACCATATCAGTGGCTTTATGTCCCGCTGGACCCTCCGGACATGTCTTCTCCTCAGAGACACCATCGTTCCTCCTCATTTGGACATGAGGACAGGTGACGGTGTCTCTTATTGGTCATGTGACTGAATGACGACCTACCCAGGTGTGCCTTCCCCTGTCAGCAGATTGTTTTTGTCTCAGAGGTTGATGGAGGTGGGAAAGGAGGAGCAGCAGGAGGAGGCTCCTCCCACCTGCAGTACGCTTCCAGCACCATGCTACATCCCACAGAGATCGGTGGTCTCCACAAACCTGGGAGGAACTCCGGTCACCCCCCAGCTAACTGAGGTAAACATCAGACCTGAACTCTGACCCTGTTTCACTTCATCATTGAGCTTTTTACGTTTATGTATTTCGCTTTTGTCCAAAGCGACTCACGGGTGATAATCAAGCCAGCGGGTTGCCCCTGAGGCTAACAACAAACACTGTTCAGCCAGTCCTAGGTAGCGGTGAGGCAGCATAATCAATCATAGAGGGAAGCCAAGATGGAGTGAGCAGTAGAGTGGGGGGACGGGTGCTGGGAGGGTGCTAGTTTAGAAGATGCCGGGTCTTCAGGAGTTTCTTGAAAAACAACAAGGAAGCCCCTGTTCTAGTAGTGCTTGGTAGGTCCTTCCACATCTGTGGAACGACACACAAAAAGAGTCTGGATTGTCCTGAGCGTGGTGTAGGCAGCCGACGATCCTTCGATGACCGGAGCGGCCAGGCCGTGACGTAAGCCAAGAGGTAGATGGGAGCTGTACCATCCAGGACTTTATGCAAGTGCTAGCAATTTGAATTCTGGACCATGTGAAGAGGTCTCACAGTACAGGCTGGAAGACCAGTTAGAAGGGCGTTGCAGTCATCGAGGCGGGAGACGACAGTAGATTGGACCAGGAGCTGGGTGGTATGTTGTGTTAGGTACGGTCTGACCTTTCGCATGTTAACCCTCTCAGGCTCAAAGTAAGGTTTGATAAAAAGGATGAACAACTTAGTCCTTCAGGGGTACTTCTGAGTTAAAAAATGCTCATGAGACACGTTTGTGGAGTAACCAGGAAGACAGGTTTAACGTTGCAAATGTGCAACGCCTGCATCCAGAGGGTTAAACAGCGCAAAGCGGCATGAACGAGCGACAGAGGCAACGTGATCTTTAAAGGTCGGCTGGTCATCAATCACAACACCCAAGTTTCGAACTGCCCTTGAAGGAGCAAGAGATGGTCATGTTTGGGGGAAGGCGCCTAACCCAAGACATGCAGAACACAACACAGACCAAAGACGGGGTGAAAAAATAAAATAGTTTTACAAAATAAGAAAACTGAGGATGCACTGACGTGTCTGCGGCTGGTACTGACACGGGAGCTCAGCGTCTGGAGAACACTGGTGAGCATGTGTTTAGTTCCTGAGGTCCTTTTTAGTCCGAGCTTAGTTCAACAGAACTTACGGTAAGATGAGAGTAGCTGGCTGGAGGAGGGAGGAGGTTGAGAGCCGGGGGGAGCGCAGGAGAGGGAGCACAGGTGGAGATGAGCAGGGCGTCCTGGTGGAAGGGAGACACTGAGCCGTAATGTCTGAGGAGAATTATGGAGAACGGTGAGTGGGTCCAGGAGGGTCTGAGTATCCAAACCCAGGAGTCCTGAGGCGAGTATCCTAGAGCTCATTGACCAGAGGAAAACACTGGAATCCTGGAGGAGATAAAGAATCCTGAGTCAGCTCCTGGAGGTTAGCTAAAATTCCAAAAAAGTCCAAAAACCTAGACTAAAAACACTTCAAGAAAACATTATCCTAGAGATCCTAGAGTAACACGAGTGGCTGGGTACTACCAAGCTGAGGCAATCTTCTGGCGTCAAATTGTGTCCTCCATCCACCTTAAGTAGGAAGCACCCCGCTGATTGCAGATCAGGAACAGCTGGTGGCACTCCCTCTCCTGGCAAGAGACTCAGAGATGTTAATGAGAATGAGGAGTACTCACCCCGGCTCATGACAGAGATAGGGAATCGTTTTGGATTGAGATATATATATATATATTTAAAATGAGCAAAAATAGACAATTGTGATTAAAAAATGTTAAGGAAGAAAGAGAGTGAACAGGAAAGAGGGAAATCAGTGGATCCTGAGGAAGGTGGAATAGGTGGGGAGAGCAGAATAAAGAGAGAGAGGTGAAGAAGGTCATACAAAAGCCAGCTTGAACAAGTGAGTCTTCAGCTGCTTTTTAAAGGAGACCACTGAGTCCACTGATCTCAGGCTCAGGGGGAGAGAGGTCCAGAGTCTGGGGGCCACAGCAGCAGATGATCTGTCACCTTTGACCTTTAGCCTGGTGCTGCACAACCAGTAGGCTTTGATCACTGGACCTCAAGGACCTGCTGGAGGTGTAGGGACAAAGAAGATCACCAATGTAAGGTGGTGCTTGTCCATGTAAGGCCCTATAGACCAGAACCAGGATCTTGAAATGAACCCTGAAGTTGACTGGCAGCCAGTGAAGCTGGAGGAGAAGCGGGGTGATGTGGGTGTGTTTGAAGGACTTGGTCAGAAGCAGAGCACAGGAGTTCTGAACCACCTGTAGACGTTCAGGGAGGTTCTGCTCAGACACGTGAAAAGAGAGTTACAGTAGTCTAAGCGTGAGGAGATGAAGGTGTGGAGAACTGTCTCAAGTTCAGAGCGGGACAGAATGGGACTCAGCTTAGCAACGTTCCTGAGATGGAAGAAGGAAGAGCGAACAAGAGAACTGACATGAGAATCCAGGGTGAGAGCTGGGTCAAAGGTCACGCCAAGATTCCTGACAGAAGGTTTGGTGTGAGAAGCAAGCTGACCAAGAGAGTCTCTGACTTTGGGAACCAGCTTGTCTGGGGCACAGATGAGGATCTCAGTCTTATCTTCATTCAGCTGAAGAAAGCTCCCACTATCCAGGTTTTGATAGAGTCTAAGCAGGTGTGTAACAGCTGCAGCTTAGACATCTCATGGGGCTTAAAGGAGATGTACAGTTGGATGTCATCTGCATAAAGATGGTAGGAGATTCCTTTGAAGGAGCTCAGGATGTGCTGAAGAGGAAGCAGATAGAGAAGGAAGAGCAGAGGCCCCAGCACAGAACCTTGTGGGACACCATGGGTAAGAGAGGTGGTGGAGGACCTAAACTTGGAGACGGCCACAGAAAAGAAGCGCTCAGAGAGATAAGAGGAGAACCACTCCAGATAGGCCAACCCAGTCTCTCAGCCTCTCCAATAGCAGGTGATGGTCAACAGTGTCAAAGGCTGAATCCACTAAATAGTCCAACAGAAGCTGCAGTGGGTCTAGAACTGATCCTTTTCTCCTTTCAGAACCTGAGGAGGATTCTGTTTGGTGGAACGTTTCACGTTTTTAACTACGAGTGGAGGAAATCTTACTTCCAGTTCAGAGAAGCAAACAGTGAGCTGTCCTACGCGCTGGATGCTGACCGGGTGAGAGACCACAAACTAGTCAGAACACGAGATCTGCTGCAAGTCAGAAGCTGAGAGGACCACACTGGCACCAGCCTGAAAGTGCTTGCTGAGAATAATCCTAAACAGTGTAAGACTCAAGTCGGCAAGAGTGACCGCCAATTTAGCCAATCAGACGTCACTAAAAGAACGTTGCTTTGATGTGTAACTTGTGAATCTTGAACTTTTCTTTTCTCTGCTCCACCCTTCTGCCTGATCAGCATGTGATCTTTACACAGGTGATGGAGGACATACCGGGTAATCCTGGCTCACCCCTTTAGTTGTGCTGCTGTAGGCTTAGAATGCTAGCCTCGAGCTACCAGGCCATAGCAGCATTCCGGCTGGCCAATCACAGCTCTCTTTAGGGGTTTCAAACTGATAAAGTGGACCAATCACAGAGTTCTATCCACTTTGTGGGCCAATCAGGGCCCTCTATTCATCTGGTGGGTAAGAACAAGATAGCAATAGCTCGTTTGAAATGGCTTTTACATCAATTATGGACCATTTGGACTTAGGCTTTATAGATTCTTGAGCAGATAGATGTATTTAAGTCCTTTATTTAGAAAAAAAAAGTATTTTCGCCTTCTTCAACAGCGGACCGCCTCGTTTACCGACATCTGTTGCGGTGAGTACGTCACGTTGTTCATTGTCAAGTAGCATGCGGTGATTGTTGGAAAGACAACGGTAGAACCCGCCCTACAACACAGAGCTGTCAATGGAGCGTTGCCAGACTAAATGATATATTTATTTATGGGCGGGCCAGACTAAATGATATATTTATTTATGGGCGGGCCAGACTAAATGATATATTTATTTATGGGCGGGCCAGACTAAATGATATATTTATTTATGGGCGGGCCAGACTAAATGATATATTTATTTATGGGCGGGCCAGACTAAATGATATATTTGTTTATGGGCGGGCCAGACTAAATGATATATTTATTTATGGGCAGGCCAGACTAAATGATATATTTATTTATGGGTGGGCCAGACTAAATGATATATTTATTTATGGGCGGGCCAGAATAAATGATATATTTATTTATGGGCGGGCCAGACTAAATGATATATTAATTTATGGGCGGGCCAGACTAAATGATATATTTATTTATGGGCGGGCCAGACTAAATGATATATTTATTTATGGGCGGGCCAGACTAAATGATTTATTTATTTATGGGCGGGCCAGACTAAATGATATATTTATTTATGGGCGGGCCAGAATAAATGATATATTTATTTATGGGCGGGCCAGACTAAATGATATATTAATTTATGGGCGGGCCAGACTAAATGATATATTTATTTATGGGTGGGCCAGACTAAATGATATATTAATTTATGGGCGGGCCAGACTAAATGATATATTTATTTATGGGCGGGCCAGAATAAATGATATATTTATTTATGGGCGGGCCAGACTAAATGATATATTAATTTATGGGCGGGCCAGACTAAATGATATATTAATTTATGGGCGGGCCAGACTAAATGATATATTAATTTATGGGCGGGCCAGACTAAATGATATATTTGTTTGGTCTGGCTTGCCAGTGTGGCAAGGCGGAGAAACGAGGGCCCGGGTGGGATTCGATCCCCAGACTCCCGGGTGAGGGTCACGCAAGCTAACTAGTCAGCCAAAGGGACATCCCCTCGGCCAAGTAGCCAGGGCGCATGATCAATCGGGACTCTGCGACAGGACGCTCACTTTGCCGCACCAGGCTATTAGAATGCTGGAGGACATATTGGGAAATCCTGGCTCATCCCTTTAGCTATGCAGCTATACTGCTGGAGACACACTGGCTTATTCTGACTCATTCCTTTCTTCCTCATCCGTCCTTTTGGATGAATCTTATTTACAACAAAGCCCAACATATGCACTGTTACACCAACCGCTGTTGTCTCACCTGTTCAGGTGTGTGTTTCAGGGTGGAGCCCAAGCCATTCAGATGGTGATACAGGCTCGTGTCATCAGAGAGCTGCTATTTGGTCCAAGTAGTGGCACTGGCAGACAGTCGCTGCACAGGTGAGAACAGGCGACACCCGCACCTGCGATCAGCAGGAAGTCACGTGAAACATGAAACCCAGTTTACTGAGCTGGAGACGGTACCAGCTCACCCTAACCCTGACCCAGCACAACCTGAGAAACCCCGAAGCCAGAAACCAACTGAGGTTTACACACGAGGCCGTGGATTAGATTTTCATCTCACAAATCCAAGAACTGATCAAACGGTCCAATCAGAGAATAAGGGGAGGTCCGGTAGGACCTCAACGACCCACTTTACAGATTTGTTTAGAGAAAGAGGTGTGAAGTATCTGATAACTGTGAGAACACCACCAGTCCAGGACATCTCAGGGATTTAATGGACTGTTCTTGTATCTTGGAGCAGCCTCCAGGACGTAGGACAGGGAGACCAAGAGAAGGCCTTGGCAGTTGCACTTTCTGATAGCCTCTGGTTGGTCGGTGAGGAGAAGGCCACTGTTACCTTGGTAACCGAAGACTACTGCATCACACCTCACCTGGACTACAAACTGGACAACTTTACAGAGAAGGTAGAGTCATCCGCAGCATGTCTTCCGTTGGGGTTTATGTGATGCCAGCGAACCAGAAGAGTTTCAATGACGCTCAAAGTTTGGAGACATGAGGCACTGCTGGAGGCTGTCCCAGATCAGCGAGCATTGGCTCAGATTTGGGTCCAACGGTTGCGTGTCTGTGGATGTCCAGCATTCCTCATAAAGGTCCTGGTAGGCTGATGATTCCTCTCACCCTCCTTCTTGTCCATCCTATCTTCCAGCTGCAGCTGTTCACGTTTGACAAGAAGGACGACGTCAGGAAGTTCATCCTTGATCACATCCAATGTGTGAGTGGGTTAAGAAAACATCCCGTCATCTCTGACATCTAAAAATCTAGCCAAAATTTGAAGTTTGAAGCCAAAAGAGTTTAAGTTTGTGCAGATACGGTTCCCGAGGTGGATCTGGGATCCCAGACCCACAACTCCTTAAAAACCCGTTCCGTATGTGTTTTTAGTTTAAGGAGGAGGGGAGTCACGGGGTCATTCTGTTCCTGTACAGCCTCATCTGTTCACGTACACTGGACAGGTAACGCACCCGCTTCTTCACAGGAAACGCAGGACTTTCACAATAAACCCTAACAATTATTATTACGGTTAAATGCATCAGAAAACTGAACTGAGACATTCACACACCAGTGTCAGTCTGTTTGATCTAGATGATCAAAATGAACATGAAACAACTGAATAGAATATAAGACAGTCTGGATCTCAGACTGAGAAGGAAGCCAAAGGAGAAAAGATGGTTATCAAAATGGAAAAATGGTGAATAAAAGCCACGTTTTCACATTCGTAGAACACACACACACACACACACACACACACACACACACACACACACTAAAAAGCCTCGGTGAGATGTAGCACAAAGCTCTGAAGTTGATTTAAAAACACTTTTTCTATTCATTTTGGAAAAAATGGGTTTTGACTTTGGTCTAAAATTAGACGGCACTGTGGAGTCGAGACGTTTTTCAAGTGAAGCAGAAGGAGAGCGAGTGTAAAGCAGACAGATTAAAGGACAGTGCTGGACCAAAGGGGTGAAAGGCCTCTTTAAAGAGCAAGTCACCCCCTACCAGAGTATTACTCCACTCCCACTTCCTGTTTGAAAAAATGCAACAAATACTGTTGCTTGGCAGACTGAGAGGGCGGAGCCGCGAACAAATACACACACACACACACACACAGGCTCACACCGGCATTGTGACATCATATGGTACCAGCTAACGTTCTAGGGTACCTCTTAGCCAATAGCGATGGCAGATTTAGATTCAAATGCAGTGCAGAGTTTTTACCTGACAACGGCACAACACTGACAGTTTTAGGCAGAAATTTTAAATTTTAACTAAAATGCACTAAAGTGCAAAAGTATTGACTACACGTGTCCGCAGCACGATTAGACACACATTTATATAGTATATCAGAAAAAAAAGTTGATTTGGGGGTGACTTGCTCTTTAATCAGACAAGAGGGAATTCTGTCAGACCGGGACCAGGTCAGATCTCAGGTGGCTCTTCCTGGTTCTGGTTTGGCGTCTCTGAGGGGCGTGTACACCCGTAGAGCTGCTCTGAGATCAGATCAACATCGAGCTTGTCCCTCTCTTTCTCACAGGCTCAGAGACGACCTGGACTCTAACACCTCACACCTGCTGCACCTGAGTCTAGGGAACTTTGTGTGTCATCAGGTAAAATAACGCGACCCTTGTCTGCCCCGGGAGCTGAGGTCATCGTCGGACTGATTCTCGTGTCTGCAGGCCTTGTTGAGCCTGCTTCTGACGGGCAGAGCCAGTCCTCAGCTCTTTAACGGAACGTTGGACAGCAGTGAGGACGGCCTGGAGCGCCGCCTCCAGGGCATCCTCGCTCGTGGTGATGTGGGTTATCTGTACTGGAGCCGGGAGCAGATGGACAGAGGGCTGCTCCCACAGGTGGGTTCTGTTGGTATTCTACTCTGACCCAGAACAGCTGATTAAATCGTCTCCTGGAAAGTTCCTGATCCTCCTGAACAGATGAGTGGTTTGTCCTGTCAGCGCTGGGTCAGGTACGGTTAAATGTCAGACCCAACATACAAACCAGGTGTGTGTGTGTGTGTGTGTAGGTGGGCAGCATGCTGAAGACGCCCCGGTTTCCTGTTTGGGTCTGCTGTATCAACGGCACCTACTCAGTTCTGTTCAGTCTGAACCGCTCTCTGCTGTCCGACTGGAGAATGGAGCATCAGTTCCAGCTGTTCTACTACAACGGACAGAACTCTCACAAAACGACGACCCGACTGACCGTCGGTGAGCACAGAGGTTCTGCGTCAGGTCCAATCAGAACCCTTCAGGTCCAGTAAAGGTTAGATCGGGTCTGATTAGTTTTCTCTTAGGTCCGTAATCTGCTCTGCTTGTCCTGCAGATACTCACTCCCACCACTGGGAGGCGCCATCCTCTGACCCGGGTGGAGACCTGGAGAAAAGATTCCCTTCTCTGGAGATGATCATAAGAACCAAGTGGGCCGGAGCGGTCATCAACTGGAACGGAACCGACCCATTTTACTGATGCTGCGATGGATGCGTCCACCAGAGCTCAGAACCATCAGAACCAGACCGGGTTTGAGTTAGTCTCAAAAATAAAAAAGCAGATCTGGATGATTCGTTTATTTCACACGTTCACCTCCTTTTTAAATAAACTTGAAGTGAAATCAGCCGATTGCTTTTTGCTTCATCCTTTTGAACATTATGATATCATGAGCCGGATCAGTCCGTCGTAGCGGTTCTGCTTAAGCAGAACTCGAGTCCAGATCCGCCTTCAGATCCCTGACATCCCTGAAGCCGGCAGGACTCCGTCTGGGGTCCCAGACAGAACCGATCCAGTCCGATACTTACACCATGCCGCTCCACTGAACTGATGTGTAGTGGACTGGTCCGTTCGGCGCCGGAGAGCACAGCAGGACGGTCTTCTTCACGTTGCAGCCGAGACGAGCTGCAGCGAGGATGTCCAGCAGGGAGACAGGCTCGTCCAAAGAGAGACAGATGGCAATGAAGTGGGCGTGGAAACGCAACGGGTCACCTGGGGACACGACTAAGACAGTTGGTGGACGGCAGCTAAGGAGGGACAAATGAGACACAGCCAGATTCAGTCTCACCTGGATACACCAGGAAGTCTCCTCCAAACTTTCCAGCAGAGGTAAGGAAGAAGCCCCGCCCCCACAGGTCTCTGAACACCAGGTACCTGGTGTCAAATTGGGCATTGCCCTGATCTCTGATTGGCCAGTCAAGCTGCAAGAAGGCCCGAGCCTCAGGACAGTAGTTGAGCCCCGCCCTCGTTGTGCTCAGCTGGATCGCCAGGGCCGACCGAGGGAAGGTGAAGTTCTGGTCCAGATCAAGCAGCCGGCGCTGGAGAGCTTCATCTGACGAGGTACCGGACCCCGATCCTGCAGACCAGAATCAGAACTGTTGCACCAGACTGCCAAAACACCGCAGACGGATGACGCAACACTCTTACCTGACTGTGATGATGTCATCGCACGCTGCAGTGCTGACTTCCTGTCCTCCAGAGCGAAAACGCTTTGCTCTTCAAAACTCCTCTGCTGTTCCTCCTCATACTGCTGCTGAAACTCCGCCCTCTCCACATCCTGACAACAAATCAAATGCACCCTCAGTCCCACTGAGGGGCGAGACCCAACCTGATGACCTCATCGAGAACCATCTATGATGTAACGCACTGATGAGTCTGAATCGTTAAACGACAGGGTTGGGCATCGTTTGATTTTGAAATATAATCTTTGAAAATGTTATGTGTGGCACAGTTTTTACGTTGGTTTCAGGGTAAGGGTTAGGGTGAGGGTTATTTTTGGTGATTGGGTCGTTTCCATTTGCAGCTGGGTGCAAACGAAACAGATCTCGTGGGGGGGACACATATCGATGTAACACCTGTTCCAATCGATGCTCGATGCCCAACCCTATTAAACGGTTTATTTCTGACCCAGTTCTAGCTGTTTCCATCCCATCCAGGGGCGGAGCTATGGGTGGGCCTTGGTGGGCACAGACCCACCCAGTTTGACAGAGCGCCCACCCACCCACCAGGGGCAGGGCCAGGCAGTAGCTTGGTGTTGCAATAGCTACACCAAGATGTGGCCAAGCAAGCAACTGCTTAGCAACCCCAGTTATGTTGTAACAACAATTACAATATAAAATTATGACTTTAATGAATGTGCACTTTTTTCACTGTGTAATAAAAAATACTTTAACTTTTATATCTGGTCGTCGTCTTCCTTCGCTTATCCGGGTCGTCGGGGGCAGCATCCCAACTAGGGAGCTCCAGGCCGTCCTCTCCCCGGCCTTGTCCACCAGCTCCTCCGGCAGGACCCCAAGGCGTTCCCGGACCAGATTGGAGATGTAACCTCTCCAACGTGTCCTGGGTCGACCCGGGGGCCTCCTGCCGGCAGGACATGCCCGAAACACCTCCCCAGGGAGGCGTCCAGGAGGCATCCTGACCAGATGCCCAAACCACCTCAACTGGCTCCTTTTGATCCGGAGGAGCAGCGGTTCTACTCCGAGTCCCTCCCGAATGTCTGAGCTCCTCACCCTATCTCTAAGGCTGAGCCCGGCCACCCTACGGAGGAAACTCATTTCGGCCGCTTGTATCCGCGATCTCGTTCTTTTGGTCATTACCCGAAGCTCATGACCATAGGTGAGGATCGGGACGTAGATCGACCGGTAAATCGAGAGCCTGGCTTTCTGGCTCAGCTCCCTCTTCACCACGACAGATCGGCTCAGCGTCCGCATCACTGCAGACGCCGAACCAATCCGCCTGTCGATCTCCCGATCCCTCCTACCCTCACTCGTGAACAAGACCCCGAGATACTTCCTCCACTTGAAGTAGGACCTCTCTCCTGACCCGGAGTTGGCAAGCCACCCTTTTCCGGTCGAGAACCATGGTCTCAGAGTTGGAGGTGTTGATCCTCATCCCACACAGAATATATCTGGTATTAATTTTAATAATATTATGAATGTTTTCCAGTTTGCTTGTTGGGAGTTGTAATTTGGTCTTTTATATTTAAAAAAAAAAAGCAAACCGGCACCTGCTTACTGACACTAAGCAACTATTAACCTACTGCTGAGAAAATATTCTGATGCCAACCCTGCCACCCAGTGAGGAAGCATCCTCCTGCCCTGGACTTCTCACAGCTGAACCGGGCATCTCCCGGAGTCTGCAGATGACATCATTGATATTGTCGGTGGTGTAAACTGAGAAAGGACTGGGTGTGAGGGGGAGACAGACGCGCAGCATGCAGCAGACACGCAAGGACCTTTTATCTGATGCTTTTTCTCTAACTTACGTTAATCCGGTTTCATTCGGGTATCTCGTTGGGTCTGCTTTAGTCCTCTAAGGCCATTTTATTTGGTTCTGTTCATTTTATTGTTGTTGTTATCTGGACCGAGGGTTCGGGTGGAAGATCCCGGAGGTGATGAGTCGTCCCGAACCGCGTCGATGCGTTGCTGTCCGTGGTCCTGAATGTGACAGGACCACCTGCTTGAGAGCTGGTGAGGAGAGGGGGTGTGGTCGGAGGTGTATGCTACTTAGTCAAAGTGTGTGTGTGTGTGTGTGTGTGTGTGTGTGTGTGTGTGTGTGTGTGTGTGTGTGTGTGTGTGTGTGTGTGTGTGTGTGTGTGTGTGTGTGTGTGTGTGTGTGTTGGATAAAAACAGTATTGGACGTATGGATGTATGGAAATGATTTTGTCTGGGTACCATCTGGTGTTTGGTAATTCAAACGAAGGTTCATTCCTTGTTCATATTTTGTTATTATTCTGCGCCTCCGGCAGGGAAGTTCGACCTTGAAGGTCTGCAGTCCTGTTATCACAAAAAGCTCCCTAGTGAATTCCAGACGGAGCGTTTCTCTGTTATACCAAGAACCCGGGAAAGTTTGCTTTCTGTGAAAGGGGTGGGTGTGTTTATCTTTTAGTGTGTGTGTGTGTGCTATGTTACTTGTGAATAAAACCTTTTTGCGAGCTTCTGCTCATCGAGAGACTAAACAGACCTCCCATTGGTACGTGTCTTACTTTCTCTCCGGTTTTGCAAAATCTGGTGCTTGATTATTGGTTGTTTATTGATAAATGGTATTGATAACCTAATATCTCTAACCCCCTTGTGTGCGTTGGACTTTCTTTGAGATACGCCTGGATTGAATTAAATAAAATACCCAACAGTGTGTGTGCGCGCGTGCACTTGGATCATGCTTGCTGATTATTGCCTGGCACTAAGCACGCCTGGCTGAGATTAGAACCTGTCCAAGGTCCTGAAAGTTCACACAGAGAGTGTGCAGGTCTTGGCCCAGAGCGGGAGTCCAGCGTCGGTAACAGTCCTTAACATTGAAACTTAACAGAGATCCATGGAATAAGTATCTAAGATATCATCTTCTATCATAGGATTATGTGGCTTGAGAGATTTTATTAAAACACGTGATTTTGACGTGCACGAGCGCGGCGCACATCTCATATGAGCTTTGAAATTAATTAGGCCCATCCAGATTTTTCTAGGCCCACCCATTTGCTACGTTCTGGCTCCGCCACTGATCCCACCCACCAGCTGTTGGAACTGCTATAGGTCAGTACCAGTTTACGGCTCTGCAACAAACATTTAAAGTCTAAATTACGTATGATGTCACAGGGGTGTAAACATTCTTACACCCTCCTTCGTGACATTTGACTGAATTATGACGCTTTCTTGAGTCTGCCCGGTATTTTCTGTTACCGTTGGTAGTGTGTGATGTTTCTTGGGATTGTGCCTCACAGGGAGAGGCACTCGTTATCTCACAGCGACAGTAAAGTCATTCATTCAGACCTGGTTCCGTGGAGGAAAGGCCGCAGCGTGGCGCTCCCTCAGCAGTCTCTCCTCCTCTGGCAGCAGCAGCAGTGGTCGACCCAGTTTGAGGTTCTGTCTGGGGGCTCTGGGCAGTGAGCCGAGCAGGGCCCCCACCACACTCTGAGACCTGACGGTCCTCAGGTCCTGAGCACGCCACAGGAGTGGGGTGGAGTCACAAAGACTGAGAGCCACTACAGGGTCGGAGCTCTCCTGGTTCTGGTCCTCCATCAGCAGGATCTGCCAATCAGAACGAAGCCACGTAAACTATCTGATTTCTTTAAACAACACATAATCACCAATAAACTAGGAGTAGGCCAGGATTATCCCACATAATTTCACTAGTATGAGACACTTGGAACAACGGTAGTGAGGAGCTAAAGGCATGCCCATAACTGGAGGGTTGCAGGTTCGCCTCCCGCTCAGTTTATTGCAGTCGTTTTCAATTCAAAAATACTTTATTAATCCCAGAGGGAAATTGATTGCTGTAGTAGCTCAGAATAATAATAATAATCAAGTCATCAAAGAGTTGTTGTATATTACAACGGCTGTTGGCAGGAAGGATCTCCAGTAGCGGTCAGTGTTGCAGCCAAACTGAAGAAGCCTCTGACTGAAGACTCTTCCGTTGTCGGACAGTCTTGTGAAGAGAATGCTCAGGGTTGTCCATCATTTTCTTGATTCTCTGGAGAATCCTTCTTTGCATTATCTCCTCCAGCAGTTCCGAAACTGACGAAACTCTGGCTGAGTCCTTGAAAGGGCTTGGAGTTCCTCCATCTTGTTGGCCAGTGATCTCACATTGCCCATTATGATCGATGGAAGAGATGGTTTGAATTTCCTCTTTCTCTGTCTCCGTTTTGCTCCCGCTCTGCATCCACGCTTCTTGCGTTTTAGCTCATTTGGGATTTTTGGCTTCAGCTGAGGTATTATTTCAGCCTTTCACATGTTAATCAGCTGCTCCCGATTGTAAACCAGCTTGTTGCCGTGGTTACGCATCATAACAAATGCTCAAAAAGTGAAAAAAGCTAAAAAAATAGCAGTAAAAATCCTCCAAGCTTCACAGCACCAGAAACAGAAAAGTAAAGTGTCCAAAAAAATACAGTTTTTCTTGAGAAACTAGAAGAAAAAATACCCAAGAAAAGGCAAAACTTACATATAGTCAACAGAGCTACTCCAACATGCAGCCACCCAGAGCAGCGCCGTTCCGGAAAAACTTTGTACCTAGGGAAGACACCCCCCCACCCCCCACCCCGCTCATGGTGGTTAGAGGAACTGACGGCACCCATGTACGGCAAGCTGGCCTCCGTCAGTGCACCACAGGAAGGTGTTCTGAGAAAACATCCTACCCATAGGCTAATTTTACGGTGTTTTACATGACACTAACCCTAACCCAAAAAATCAAGTATCAACGTCAATAAAAAGTACTAATACTTACTACTGATCTATTTTCCTGCAAATATGACAAAGGAGTAGCATTTCCTTTTTGTGTTGCTCAGGAACAACAGGTAGGACGGTTTACGGGGTAGGAGAAGTTCCCAGAACACCGGCTGCGGCTACAATGTAGCTCATCACCACCAGTGTGTGAATGTGCAGGTAAACAGGCATGTTGTAAAGCACCTTGGGGGGCTGTAGGACCCCAGAAGGAGCTATATAAATAAAGGCCATTTATCACTTTACTTGAATTGTGCCTTTAATTTTCTGTAGGTTGAACAAACGTTTACAGCGATTATTAGAATTAAGATTAAGGTCAGAGTGAGTGACGTCATCAGCTGCTGCTTCAAGGAGGAAATATGAATCTGCACTAAAAACTGAGATTTCACAGGAACAGTAAAAAGTGTCTAAAGTCTGCCTCATTGTGCTGCAGTTAGCATTAATACAGGGTACGGTGGCACATTATCACTAGATATCACAACGATTCCTCTTTACTGTCGGTAAGGAGTGGAGGCAATTTACCAATTATTTCACCATGGTAACTAGAGAGAGAGTAATATGACTCCATTCACAATCTGGTACCAATAATAATAATAATAATAATAATAACATCCTGAGTTTGTTAGTATTTGTTGTAAATAAGAGCCCGGGTGACCAAGACCTCTGACCTGCAGCTAGTTTACTATGTAATCCCACTGATTAAGGTTAGGGTTAGGACTAGTTAGGGTTTGTTGACACAAACTAACTAGCACTTTGGTTCGGTCTGATGGACCCGAGGCTTTCTGTCTCACGCATGCGCAGACTTTGCGGATTTTCTAACCGGTACAGTCTGACCCTGCTCTCAGACAATCCGAGTCCTGGTCTGGTTCTGCTCAGAAACCGAACCTGAACGAACTGGAGAGCAACCTTTTACCAACTACCTTACCAGCAAGTGCCTCCTCCGCGTTTGGCTTTACGACCTGCCGTAAACCGCTTCGCTTTTGTTACAACTTTATTGAACGCGTAAGTTAACAGCACAGGCACACGTTCCTCCCAGCTGATCCACTGTCAGGAAACTGGAATGTTATTTCAGATAGTTCAGATCTGCCTAACTGCTTTAGCAAAACATAATAGTCATGGCATTCATATTTACTAAATAAGCATTAATAACACCTCTAATAAACTCACTACTACTATAGATCCATCTGTAGGTTAGGCAGACATGCGATTTAATAAAAACCAGCTGGTATTTTTAGTACAACCTTGATTATATTTGTTTGAAGGACACAAAATCCTATCACCATCCAACTAATACCAGTTTCTACTATAGCTGTACTCACTCCTGTTCCATGAGGTCAACATACAAGTAGAGGAATTGTTGGTAAAAAATCATTTTCCCAAAGGAAACCTGGCTTTGCTGCTTCCTGGGCCCTGAAGCAGGTTTGGTTGCTGACCTTCTATGGCCTGTTCTAACTACGACCATTAATGTGGTTTTATTGTTCTTCGTGAAGTTTATATGACAGGTTCAGCCATTTGGGTCATCACTGACTGGATGAATAAAAGCACCACAGATATAAGGTGACACGATTCAAGGCAGTAACAATAAACCACCGGATCTAAACTAGTTGTTTAATTATAACCAGTTTGACTCAGCACTCACTCGTACACCCTAACGCATGAGGATCTGAGGACAAATGTGTTCTGGTGCTGCAGCAGAACAGAACTGGACCTGGTCCAAAAGAGAATCTATCGCTCAGTATTTTTTTAGACAAAAAAACAAACAAACAAACAGACGCTAATAAGCAGGGTCAGGCTTTTATTATGAAAGGAACACTGTCAAAACAAAAGTCTTTAGATTTGTAAACCACTGCACTTCCTGTTGCCTACACTTCCCAGAATGCCTCTGGGCGGTGCTGCCACAGGTAGGAACGAAAGCAGGTCTAATCAGTTCACCTTAGCGATTAGCCCCGCCCCTTAGAAACCGCTGCCCTGATGAAGAGCCACCAGACCTTTGGGTCAGCTCAGTCAGACCCTCCCAAGCACATCGCCACTCCTCACTGGGTCGCTGTACAAGAGGGATGCATGATGGGACGAGGGCGTGGCTGAAGGACTGAGTGGCTTCTTCTACTGTCCCACCTGCAGATCCCGCAGCTCCTCCAGGAGCTGCTCCTCCTTCTGGATCTTCTCCAGCTGCAGGAAACACAAGGTTCAGATTCTGGTTCAACAGGGTAACGCATTATCTACGGTTACAGGAGGGCGTGGTTCTAAAGGCAGCTACACTGCTTTTGCAGAACCTTCCAGACCTGGTTCTTCTGCAGAACTTTCCCAGACGCCTGTTGCTCCTTCAGCTCATCGATGGCCTTCAGTTTCTGGAACACACGGATGCATAACTGACTCTCTGGCCAATCACAACGCAGAACACCACCAACATCCTCCAATCACCTCCAGGGACGGTGGCCCTGAAGGACCAGGATTGGCCACGACTGCTGTGTTTGGTTACAGCGGCCTGTCGTACAGACACGAAGACTCCGACATGCTCTTTACCTTCTTTAGGTTCTTGATCTTCTTGTCGGTTTCTGGATCCCCGTTGGTCTCTTCTGATTGGCTGCTGCTGACGGGGGCGGAGACAGTTGATGGTTCAGATTCACGTTTGGCCTCCTGCAGACAAAAACTTAGTTACATCTTCACCTGGCAGGGTTCAGCAGGTAGGAAACAGCCTGCTCACCTGCTTCGCTGCTTTCTTAGCTTCTCGTTTCCTCTGGTTCTTCAGGGCAGATTTTGAAAGACTCTTCTCCCCGGAGAGTCCCGGTCGGAGGTCCTGAGGAGGCTCGTCTTCATGCTGATTAACACAAAAGTTTAGAACCAACACCGCGCAAAGCACCTGGACCCGCATGAAGCTGCTGAACCCTTACCAGCTTGGAGCTGGGCGTGGCCGGCATGTGTCTCAGCGCAGGTGGGCGGTAAGCCTGTGTGGGCGTGGCCTGTGTGGTACCCAACTCACTTGGCGCCGCTTGGTACTTGATGGGTCTTTCAGGAAAGCTGCCGACAGGGAAGGACTGCCAGCGGACCTCCCAGAGCTCTGTCCCGGCAGCCAGATCCACTCTGTGCAGAACCGAACCGGTGTAGTGCCAGATCTTGTATCCGTTACTTACCCTGAGCCGAGGAGAGCAGGTTGCCGTGACAACGTGCTCTCCATCAGGACACCAGGAAAACCATGTGGTGTCTGTAGCCTGAAGTTTGGTCACCTGAGGACAAAGACTCAACATCAGGGACAAGTCTCCTCTAGATTTTCACTACGGCATGTATTTGAACATTTATTCTGCCTTTCTTTAAAAAAAGACCCACAAAGATATTTCAGTTGGATGATTTTGGCCACTTTCTTGCAAAGCTTGGAAGCCGCTGTATTCAACAAGTCATTGATGACGAGAAGAGACAAACGCTTGTTAAAAAAAAAAAAAAAAAAAAAAAAAAAAACCTGGACTTTTGTTTCTACATCAGCTGATCCGGAGAGAACAGGAAGTCACATCATCCTGTGGAACCAGCTCCCAGCTTTAGTCCGTGAGGCAGACACCTTGTCTACTTTTAAGAATAGGCTTAAAACATTTTTATTTGATAGGGCCTGTAGTTAAAATCTGATGTTAGCCTAAATCTGGACAAGTGGGAGAGTACAGGGAGGTGGCGTGTACAGTCGGTAAAGACGGCTCTCCCTTGCCCTGCCTCCAACATGCCTCCATCTAAATAGGATAGATTATCCAGAGTTATCTCTGTAGTTATGCTGCTATAGGCTTAGACTGCTGGAGGATACACTGACCACTTTCCACACTCTACTACTTTCTTCTACAATCTGCTCTTTAACTGTATTATTTCTTGCTATTTCAGCTGTTAACTTTATTTTCTCTCTAAGTGTTTTTCTCCCCAGAAGAAGCTACAATGATGTTCTGCTGAGCTGTGGTGGCCTCATGGAGGGCGACATCGACTAGCACACTGCTGCTAACCACTTAAACATCTCCCTCTCCTGATAATAACTTTTTGCTTTCCTTGACGTTGGATGTGCTACTACTAGTTTATCCGTTTAATTATAGATCCACTAGGATAAATACAATAAAGTTCTCTCGCCAAATAGAATATTTACTTAGACATCACAATATAACTATAGACACATTACCTGTCTGTGTGTCTCTCTCTCTCTGTGTGTGTGTGTGTGTGTGTGTGTGTGTGTGTGTGTGTGTGTGTGTGTGTGTGTGTGTGTGTGTGTGTGTGTGTGTGTGTGTGTGTGTGTGTGTGTGTGTGTGTGTGTGTGTGTGTGTGTGTGTGTGTGTGTGTGTGTGTGTGTGTGTGTGTGTGTGTGTGTGTGTGTGTGTGTGTGTGTGTGTGTGTGTGTGTGTGTGTGTGTGTGTGTGTGTGTGTGTGTGTGTGTGTGTGTGTGTGTGTGTGTGTGTGTGTGTGTGTGTGTGTGTGTGTGTGCTCTGTCTTCTCCATCCATGGAGGATGGCTGCTTATACTGAGCCAGGATTCTCTGGAGGGTTCTTCCTGTTAAAAGGGAGTTTTCCTCTCCACTGTCGCTGCATGCTTGCTTAGTATGAGGATTGCTGTATAGTCACTGACACAAGTCAGTGACTTGATACAATTTGCTGGGTTCCTTATATAGGAAAAATTATTTCTGATTGGCTTAATGAACTGTGAATTGGAATGTTTACTGTGTGAAGTGCCTTGAGACGACTTTTGTCGTGATTTGGCGCTATATAAATAAACTTGAATTGAATTGAATCATAGTTTTAGATGCTTTATATGTCCACATGGGGGCACCAAAACCGCAGAAAAAAATCTAAAATAGTGGAGCGAAGGTACAGACTAGAGGGCTGCATCGGGATTGGGTCCCGCCGGGTCCCGCAGGACGCAACACAAATCTTGCGGGGGTGGGCGGTGTGAATTTTGCTGCGGGCGGGAAAGGTTCGCTAAAAGAAACAGTGCGGGATCGGGATGAGTATGATGATGAGTATGGAAGCTGAAACAAGGTCTTTATGACACAAAAACCAAAGCAAGGCAAGTCAGACATTTGGAGGAGTTAGAAAAGCGACCTCGATCACTGCTTGATTACAGAGGAGAATAGAATATGAAACAGCCTTGATTTCATTAACCCTTTAAGCACCACACAGTAGCTCCTTTATGTATTTTTTAAAGAATTTTTTAGGAGTTATTTGAAATCACATGCGCCGAGGCGTCACCGGTGATCCTGGTGACGCCTCGGCGTTAAAGGGTTAAAAACTAAATGAAAACAAAGTGCGTCAATCCTGACCAATGTGTTAAAAGACGTGCAGGATCTGATCAATTTGTTTTTCCCTCATTACAGTCACAGAGATAACGGCGCAGTGCGCGGCTCTGGTGGTGATCAAGTTACATTTTATCTCTTTCCAACAATTTTCACAAGAAAACAAAACAGTTAAAAGCAGGGATTGTGTTGTGTTGACCGGATAGTTCCCGTATTTGACCGTTTATTTTGACAGAGAAAGAGTAGAAAGAATTACCCCGACGCATGCAGACGAACTGACATTTTATTCTACGCACATCGCAGATGTAGCTAAATCACTCAAGAAAAGATTCCCATCTGAACATCTGAGCTGGACACCGCTCAGCGCAGCTCGCTGTCAGCGCGTACGTACGGTACACAGTGAGCTGAAGATGTGGAGAGGGGCTTGGAGCACGTCGCAGAACCAGAGCCATGCTGAAGCAAGTGTTTTCCAAACCCTGTCTCTCAGAAAGACTTGTCACTTAGAAAATGTTGTCGTCTTCCTCCGCTTATCCGGGTCCTGGTCGCGGGGGCAGCATCCCAACTAGGGAGCTCCAGACCGTCCTCTCCCCAGCCACCTCCACCAGCTCCTCCGGCAGGACCCCAAGGTGTTCCCGGACCAGATTGGAGATGTAACCTCTCCAACGTGTCCTGGGTCGACCCGGGGGCCTCCTGCTGGCAGGACATGCCCGAAACACCTCCCCAGGGAGGCGTCCAGGAGGCATCCTGACCAGATGCCCAAACCACCTCAACTGACTCCTTTCGATCCGGAGGAGCAGCGGTTCTACTCCGAGTCCCTCCCGAATGTCCGAGCTCCTCACCCTATCTCTAAGGCTGAGCCCGGCCACCCTACGGAGGAAACTCATTTCGGCCGCTTGTATCCGCGATCTCGTTCTTTCGGTCATTACCCAAAGCTCATGACCATAGGTGAGGATTGGGACGTAGATCGACCGGTAAATCGAGAGCCTGGCTTTCTGGCTCAGCTCCCTCTTCACCACGACAGATCGGCTCAGCGTCCGCATCACTGCAGACGCCGAACCAATCCGCCTGTCGATCTCCCGATCCCTCCTACCCTCACTCGTGAACAAGACCCCGAGATACTTAAACTCCTCCACTTGAGGTAGGACCTCTCCCCCGACCCGGAGTTGGCAAGCCACCCCTTTATGTGGCATCCACTTAGAAAATGTTCCCTGATTATGAAACTTTGGCTGAATAGCGCTTGTTCTTGTCTCCAATGTGGCGACACATCCAGGAGCCGTCTGAGGAGAAGCCCAGAATCTCACATCCTCTTCAGCTCAGAAAGCGCCGATGTGATTACGCACAAGCGTGACGCGTCAACCCGGTCTCACAGTAAGACCGGGTTGGAACTGTTCAGGTTTACGAAGACAATCTTTACATTTGGAATTAACATACAGATATTAAATTATTTCAGTAAAATATAAAGCTTTTTATTTAAATATCCATTCATTATTTTACAAGCACAGAGAGCCGCATCAGATGGATGGAAGGGCCGCGGGTTGCCGACCCCTGGTATAGCCTATAAAATGACATGTTTTCTCCAGGACCAGAGAGGACGCAAACTCAATACCTCTTTTATTGTGAGGTAATAATTTCTCAGAGTTTTGCGGTTGCGGGCGGGAGTGTGTAGACATGCACGCTGCGGTTGCGGGCGGGAGTGTGTAGACATGCACGCTGCGGTTGCGGGCGGGAGTGTGTAGACATGCACGCTGCGGTTGCGGGCGGGAGTGTAACACACACGTTGTGGTTGCGGGCGGTAATGGTCAGAAATTCAGCGGGGGCGGGCAGGAGCGGGATGAAGAAAACAGTCCAACGCAGGGCTCTAGTACAGACCCAGAAGACATCTGGATCTGGAGAGGGCGGGGCTGCAGGTTCAGATTCTGTCAGCAGTCACACACGGGTTCTGACTCACGTGCTCACCTGTTTGTACTTCCTCACGTCCCAGACCTCCATCTGCCCCTGCAGGTTCCCAAAGCCAGCCAGAACCAGGATGTGGCCCTGAGGACTGAGACCAGAAAGGACGGTTTACTCAACAGTACTACAGTCACAGAACCGGTTCTGATCCGACACTGAGCAGGTTGGATCAAGACTCAAACAGACCTGAACATTAAGTTGAACTGAGCTTATCAGTTCTGGTTCTGTACATTAGAGGCAGACTCAGAACCATCTGATGGTGACTCTAGAACCTTCGACCTCGGAGTGGAAAGCAAGAGTATAAAGTTGTGCCGACAGGTTCTGGTACCAGCTGGTTCAGTCTGGACCTGCGATGGAGACTGATCTCAGGCTCACCTGTAGTAGGCGGCATTTCTGGGCCCGGTTCCGAAGTCGAATATGGGCTCGCATTTCAGGTTGAATACAGTGGCTTTGGCGGGCATGAAGCCGTACACCACACAGAACTCGGAGGAGTTTGGACTCCAGACCACGTCATAGATAGGTCCGTTCTTCGCTGTTTGAATTCAAAAAGAGAGGCAGGGTGAGTGCGTCAGAACAAAGTTCTGGTTCTGGTTTAATGGATGACTGGAAGTGTTGTCCGAACCCAGTTCTTACCGAGCTGTACCACCGCCGTCTCTCCATTCACGGCCAGGTAGTGCAGCGTCTGCTCTCCATAGTACGATGCCCCGCTTTTATCCACCTCGGTGCTCGCCGTCACCAGGACTGCCGACGCTGAGGGAACAACCCACAGGTTAGCTTTAGGGAACCCCGGCTTCTGCAGCCGTTCTGGACTCTCACCTTTCCTGTTCCAGTGCATGCTGACCCGGTCTGCCTTGAAGAAGCTTTTGTTGGCGAGCGCGGCGCTCGGACCTTCCAGAGCTGGATATTGATAGAGCCTCACAAACGACGGAGCTCCTTTGCTTCCTGGAACGTAGACGGCAACCTGTAGGGACAAACGGATCAGACAGCCGGACCTGGATTGAGTCTTCCTGTCCACTTTTCCTCACCTTGCTTGGCTGAGTTCCAGGTGAGAGAGCGAAGTCCGATACTTTCTGCATGTGCAGCTTGTTGGCGATGGAGTCTGAAACAAAACATTCTGGTCTTTAGACGTCCGGATCCGGATCTGAGACCAGGGCTGCCCTGGTTTACCAGCCACTCCTGTAGACCACCACCTACTACACCCCCACTGAAGCAGATGAACAAGTTTCTTACTGAAGTCGTTGTTCTCGTAGAAGTGCAGCTCATTGTTGACGCTCCTCACACAGATCTTCTCATCTTCAGACCAGATGGGACACCTGAGGACAAGAGACCTCATTAGAATTTCAACAACCAATCAGTGAGTAGACTGAGGCCTCCAGACTCACCAGGAGTCCACCTTTTTCTGATACAGAGATTTGATTGGACGGCCGCTTGGTAACTCCCACAGCCGGAGGTTGGCCTCGCCCTGAGGACTGTCCTGCGTCTCTGCAGAGACCAAAGAGAAAGCCTCGTTCACTCTGTCACGTCTGATTCATCCTCCACCATATGTCCTCTAAAGTCTTACTGGTGTATGGTTGCCAGGTAACCAGGATGTTGTTGAGGGGAGAAAACTCTATCAGAGCTGTCTTTGGGAGTTCAAAGTTGGACACTGTGGACCCATCTATACATTTGACCACGTGGACACTGAATGAAAGAAAGACAGTCACTTGAGCATTAGCATCCATCATCACGTCGATAGGAGACAAGACGATGAAAGTCTACCTGCGTCCGTTGCACCATCCAAAGAGTGTCCCATCTGTGCTGAAGGTGAGGCACCTGCTGGGATGGGTGTCCCTGAGAAGCAAACAAAAAAGGTTGATGCTCATCTGTCCATCTGTCTTTCCGTCCATCCATCTGTGGACAGTCAGAAGTGAACCCTTACCTCTGAAAGGCAGGGTGGGGCTCACAGCGGGGGGGTCCACTCAGCAGAGACGTTCCCTCTGATCCTCGGACTGAAACAGAAACAGCAGGTCATTTGTGTCTAGAACCAGCAGGAAGACATCCGTGCAACAACCTGGTCTCTGTAGAGGTACCACTGCCTGGTCCGCAGCACAAAGCCTCAAACCTGTTACCAGGAAGCAGGAAAATAACAGGTCTGGACCAGCGAGTGTCCAGGTGTTATTAATGAAATAACACCTCTAATGGTCCAGATATCAGAGACGTCATCAGGACAATGGGTTAACAAACCCTGCTCTTATTAATAAAACAGGGAAAATGTTGGGAGGTTAAATAAAATAAATGAAAATCATCTGATTTGTTATTCTGACCCAAATTCATTTCATTTTAACTTGTGAAGATTTCAGTCTGTCGGGGTCAGGAAATTCTAGTAAAACCGCTTCAGCTCGGTGCATCAGAGCTCCTAGTCCACCAGGTAAAATTAAAAATTCGCCTTTATTTGAACCTTTATTAGGAAACTTTCGTGTCACAGACGTGATAGACACGTTAATAAAGCATTTTTGACGAATAAAGCTGCAATAAAACATTGAAATCAGATTTATTTTCACTAAAAGGTCGCTATCGGATCGGTGTAAACATATAAACTCGTTCAAAAAACAAAGAGTTTAAACCTAATTTACCTGCTAACAGCGGCACGGGGGGCGCCATGTTTACATGTGTAGGAAGGTAGGTAGGAACCAAAGACCTTCCGGAAATGCGTCACAGCGGAAGTAGGCGGGCTCCTCAGTGCCACATCAGCGTAAAACACCGATTAGCAACAAGAGTTTCTGTTTCAAATTGAATAAAAACGTTTCTCTTAAGACTCAAATATCAACTCGTTTTGTTTCAATGAACACATTCTAGCGGAATTTATTGAATATAATGCAAAACGATTTTTTATGTAAAATAAAGCGATGTAGATAAAAAAAAGAGATCAAGTTGTAGAAATTAACAAAAAATTGGCTAAATTTCCTTTTCACAATAAAAGAATAGACTTTCACTATTGACTTGTTTGTCAAAACACTAAATTTTAGAGTAAGTGGTAAAACTTTGTTTTGATATTTTTTGTGTGCTCCACCAGGCTAAATAAAAAAAAACATTTCAAAAGTTAAGATTCTAAATTCGTTTAGCCCAATTTAAGCGACTTATAGAAAAAATGAAAACAACAAAGTTCATGACCAGCTTAGCTGAAAATTCAAACAAATTTAAATTGCGATTGCATCTGCAAATGCACTAGAATGGTAATAAAAATATTTTGGTGGATGAGGTGGTTTCTAGTTTGACACAACCAGCTCCTGGCACTAACATCTTTTAATTTCTTTATTTAGGCCTTTTAAAATGCATGCATTCATTTGTGAGGATGAAATCTTATATGCTGTATCTGCCTCACCAGCTTCATTTTGAACAATATTTATACACTTAATAAAACGTTGAAGCCTTTGTCACGTTTGAGATAAACATTTTTTGCGTATTTGCATATTTCATTAATCCTATAGTTTCAGCCTTTTCTTTTGAAAGAATGAACAGGAAACCTTATTTTGGATGACCACTAGCTTTACACGGGTGTCACGCAACCTGTGGGCGTGGTTTACTGGAATGAGGCGGGGCTTTAGCTTTTTGAGTACGTAGACAATCTGGAGTTCTTCCCAGTCCATGGAACAGCGAGGCGGCGCGAGAGACGAGTAAATAAAAACAATTAAAAGCGAATAAACAACCAGACAAGATGGTGGCTAAACAGAGAATCCGCATGGCGAACGAGAAACACAGTAAGAACATCACGCAGCGCGGGAACGTGGCCAAGTCAATGGTGAGTTAAAGAACCGATCCCGAACCAAAACCACACAGTCACAGCTGGTCCTCCTGATCCCACCGACTGATCAGCTGACCCAAAAACCGTTTAGAACGTGATCAGGCGGCTGGAGCGTGTAAAGATGCTTTATCTAAGCACTCAGCTGATCGATTATTCCTTTTAATCAAACTAGCTGGGATGTTGGTGTCCATGGGATCGATCAGAACCGTTCGATTAGACACGCAACAGGAAACCGTAATTCCAATTTCCAAAATAAAAGCACACGATTGGCGAGAGATCAAGTGAGAGAGGAAAAAGGTTTAAATTGATGACATCTTCAGTGTTGCTCAGTAAAAAAGGCACCGTTTTTGTTTCAGAGGAACTTGGAAGACGTAAAAGGTGTGGGGCCCTGGCTTCTAGCTCTCTTCATCTTTGTTGTCTGTGGATCAGGTAAGCCTACCGTTTGATGTTTCATGTAATGTATGAGCGTCTTCTCATGTAATCACTTGAAAAAAGTGGCCAAAACCCTTAAATGTACCCGTGGTGCCATCTCAATGTGGGCGGAGTTTGTTTAGTCACACAAGCTCAACCACTCTTCTTAGCTTAAATCTTTCCAGTTTGAACTATAATTGCTCTTTAGATGAGAAGCAACATCTTTAGAACTAACAACACATGTTTTATTCAAACTTCCAAACATGATGCGTCTGTCAGCTGTTGATGACATCATAAAATCAGGTTGCTCTGATGGCTTTTCCGACGAGCAGGTTGACCAGTAGGAAGTGAAGCTGGTAGGTCATGGTGCCCTGGTGTCTGTTGGTGGCCTGATTGGTAACCAACACCAGGTGGTGTACATCTGAGCATGCTCAGACTGGCTCAGGTCTGTTCTTGACAGGAGGTGGGACTCTTATCAGAGTCCAGCAGCTGAGCCCAGATCACTTATGATCAAACCTTCAGAGCAAACACCTAATAAAACACATTGGAAACGATGATAATGGTAAAATTGTAAAAGTCCAATTAGTCATCGTCACACATTGGTGAAATCACATCGCCACATTTCAACCGTCCCCATGGGGAGTGGTGTTGCTGCACTCCGGAACTATTTGGTGGTCTAACCTCTTAAAACTGAGTGGGTATCAGGCATTGGGTCCCATTTTTAAAGTCTTTGGTATGACCCGACTGGGATTTGAATCCTGATCTCCCACTCCTAGGGTGGACACTCCACCACTAGGTAGGGTTGTCACGGTGTGAAAATTTAACCTCACGGTTATTCTGACCAAAATTATCACGGTTTTCGGTATTATCGTATATTTTATGTGGCATATATTTTTTTTAAACATGTTACATTTTCAGAAAACTAAATAAACCCTGTATATCAGGAAAATATTGTCCTCAGTTTGTGTCTAAATTTAGCCTAAAATGTTTTATTTTGTAATTATGTTGTTTATTTGTTTACATTTTTCCCCTTTAGTCTTTAAAATACAATATTTGCCCATAACTACTTATTTTTTGTCTGTTTGATGTCATCATTTTAAAAATATTAGATCAGATGATACTCAGAACTCAAGTAGCCTTCTAATCAGATACTTTTTTACCCTTACTTGAGTAATAAACCCTATATCAGGAAAATATCGTCCTCGGTTTGTGTCCTTCCAGTGAGCTTTGCAGATGTGGGAAAATGTCATCAGGCAGTAATCGTTGTTAAATTCATAATTATTCTCGGAGAGAGACCAACTCTTATCTGCCCCTGGGAGCCCCGTAATGCATAGCGTCATTTCAGCATGGCGGTGTCCGCGACACGGTTTATATGCAGGTAGCGGCGCTGCGGCTGCTTTATATAGCGACTCGTTGCGTTCTCCCTCAACCCAAATCCTCGGATCACACATTTTAGCTAAAACGCTAACGTTAGCTTGCCTTGCGTTGACTGTAGAGTTGTGGGTGATGGTCACGCTGATGTGTCATGAGATTTGAAGCGTTGCTGCCTTTCACAGACACTTTTTCTGCACGTGCTGCAAACAGGATAGCCGTCTTCTATCAACTGTCCCTCGGCATTCTTCAAATATAAAAAAAAAATGCCCGTACTTCCCACTTTGTCTTCTTTGAGGGATAAAAAAATGTCCTCCTGAGCGCTGCCGTCTCCTCCTTTGGCCATTATTTCAGCTTTAGCTTCAACAAAGTTTTGGTTGTAAACAACAAAGTGCGCATGTGCCGCCGGCATCTTTAGCAGATGATACGGTGGCTGGTAAGGGTCACCGCGCCTACACCGCAGCCACGCTAATCCACCGAGAATATATAGTTTTTTAAAAAACAAGACGGTTATTATTATTGTCAACTTTTTTACCGGGGTTTACCGCTACACCGGTTACCGTGACAACCCTACCACTAGGTTGACTTTCTTAGGTTATAATAATTCTATGGTTGATACAAAACATATTCATGAAGTTCTTTGAACTAAATCCATCTCACATGAAGGAAGTTCAGCAGTTCTATTCCTGATGGTACCGTAGACCAAACGCAAAATCTCACTCCAAACTTTAAATGGGACGTGTTGTTCAAAACTCACCTTTAGCACTTATTTTTGACAGGTGGCAGACGTTATTTTAGGTTTTGTGTGAAAGTCGTATAGGCCTACAAATGTTCGTCTCACCAAACTGACGTCCCGGCACAGAAAAGAGAGGGTCGGTTAGCGAGTTTCGAGTCCTTCTTCCAGGGTGACAGGAGCATTAAACATGGAGAAAACCACTAAACCTGCTAATGTGGGGAGTAGCAGCTATGCTGGGGTGAGGAGAGACTCTGCTGTTGTCATTTATGACTTGTAGTAATTTTAATTATGAATTTTTACAAGTTAATGGATCTCAAATTACGTAACATAGTTGAAACACGCACAATTACTTTTCATTTAAATGTAAGTACAACATATGTGATTTAGAGTTTAAGGCAAAGCAAGTTAGAAAGTAACTTTTAAAGCATCATTCACTCCCGGAAGGGGAGGAGACATAGGCTCCCGGTAGGGCTGGGCGATATGGCCTAAAATCAATATCGCGATATATCGAGGATTTCACCTCGATAACGATAAATGAACGATAACTACAGGTATGTAAAAAATGGTAAATGGCCTGTATTTGATATAGCGCCTTCTAGAGCCCTGGAACCCCCCAAGGCGCTTTACAACACAATCAGTCTTTCACCCATTCACACGCTGGTGGGGTTGAGCTACAATGTAGCCACAGCTGCCCTGGGGGTGTCATTTGGAATTCTAGGACGTCCAAGGAAGGTCCCGCCTTTCTCGCCTCTGATTGGCTGGAAGGGCTCTACTACGATTGGCTATTTTGTGTAAGAGGAAACTGTTTTCCCTCGCTGCAGGTTTTTATGTTTACAGCCAGATCCTGAGGAGTTTTTTGAAGAAAATTAAGGCTGTTTACAAGTTGGAGCACGTCTCTCATCATCAGATTTATACTTATGTCATTTAATCAAAAATTAAGTTAAAAAGGGATTACGATTTAGACCTATTTTCACCAGTTTTCATTATTCCAGAGAAGAAACAGACCTGATGCACGCAGCTTGGCAGAACAGGGCAGTTTTATTAAATGTCAAACCCAGGTAAGGCACATATGTTTATCCTGTGTACTCTAACGCTTCAGAGCCAAGAGATATATAGTAAGTCCAACAGCTTGATAAATGCAACAAGATTTAAATTCACATTTTACGTTTTTACGCTTTTTTTAATGAAACATAAAATATTTTGCAAACCAGGACAGAATGTTTATCATAGCATTAAGTTCACATTTTCTTTACTAAACTCCCCAAAACAGCTTTCTGCTGGTGGCAGGACACAGTCAGCACGTAGCGAGGACAGCCAGATTGCTGTTAAGTGAAATAGCCAATCGTAGTAGAGCCTTTCTAGCCAATCAGAGACGAGACAGGCAGGACCTTCCTTGGACATCCTAGAATTCCATATGACGCGCCCTGGGGCGCACTGACAGAGGCAGGCTGCCGAGCACTGGTGCCAGCGGTCCCTCCACCAGCAGGCAAGGGGGTTAAAGCTTCTCTTATCCAATGGCACCATCTAGTGGCTGACAAGCGTATCACACAAAACCGCTGTTGCTCTGTTTTTTTAAGATGGCGACTTCACGTTTCTGTTCATAAATGTGCTTCTGTAGCCGACAAACGGCTAAAACACGTTGTTTTACGAGTATTATTCTCATGTCATGCTGTGTTTTCATATATTTATATTTTAGAGGCTTTCTTGTCTGTGAAAAGTTCACCAACTCTGCATCAGCCAAGGTATTCCTTAAATTTGAAGCATGTAAGCGGTAGTCTAACGCTATTGGTTAGTTCTGGTCGGCGCTCAGTTTCCTATTGCATGGAGCTCTGCGGGGCAGAGGGCGTGTTTAGCAAAAAAAAAAGAGGTATTGCTTAGATTATATCACAGTACATGATAAGATAATCACTTTTACAGATTTCTGACAAATCGTACATAATTTCTGAAAGAGGAAAACTCTGGAAAGCAGCTTTAAGTGCCTTGCCCAAGGACACAACGACAGCGACCGAGTGAGCGAGGCTCGAAAAATGTGCAGAAACAAAGTTGTCCACTAGATGGGGCTGTCACGCGTATTAGTTGAGTCACATTTTTACGTGACTCAAGGTGGTAACAGCTTCTTAGAGACGAGAACTTTGCCGATCTACACCCAACTTTTCATTTTTTTATCATCACATTTATTGACATGGGAAAAATTATCACGATGAGAGTCAGAAATTTCGATAACGATACATTTTCGATTTATTGCCCAGCCTTAGCTCCAGCCAGATGCCTGCAAGACGTGTCCAGTGTTGATGCTAAATCTCCTAATTTCATTAGAATAAATGCAGAAAACCGCTGCCACCTAGCGGTTGGTGTTTGAATCGCACCGTTGGTCAATGTTTGCTCATAAAATCTTTGTAAAAAATAAAAATCCTCTGCTTTTAAACATTGGTCCAGTGTTCCTTCTGGCCTTTTGTTCAGAGGCTCTTTTTTAGTTTGGGGCCTTACATTCAGATTTATTTTTCTGTTAATTTTCATGCTGACACTCCAACTAGTTTTTCCAGACTGAGGTCATTCCAGATGGTTGTACAGAACCTGATACCAGAGGGTGTAAATTATTCCTTTAAACGTGACATCTGTCTCTTTCCTGCAGCCATCTTCCAGATCATCCAGAGCATCCGGATGGGCATGTAGAGTTGTCACCACCAGGGGGCAGAGCCGCATCACCACAGGCATCTCCATCTTCCTGTCCTGAAGCAAAGTGACTTAAACCTTTCTGAACTCTACCTGCTGCAATCCCCACTTCCACACAAACTTGCCCCTCCCACTCATTAGAGCCCGCCCCCAAGCAGAGTTATCTGTAACCAACATTCCGACTTTCTCCGTGTTTGTGTCCTTCACCCTGTGCCTTTCTTTATTTACTCGAGCATTAGCTCCACCTCCTCTGGGTACGCGTTATCAGTCTGGTGGTTGAAAGTCCACCAACATGTAAACTGTCCCTGTTCCTCCCAGCTGATCCACTCTGTCTCTTCCTCGTGGACCTGACAGGAAGTGACCTTTTGAATCAGAAGGCGTTAAGGTGCCGACAAGTTAGGCTGCACCGTGTGCAGGCCTCGCCTGAACATTCCTGTTTGCTCAATAAATTCATTTAAAACATGGATCCTGTCTGTGTGCTTCCTGTGTAGGGGTGGTCTGTGGGAGGGGTGTGTGTGTGTGTGTGTGTGTGGGGGGGGGGGGGGGGGGCAGGTAGACCAGGGGTTAATCTAGAAAATTTAGCCTTTAGTTGTTTCTGTTACCATGGTGATGGTATGTGATGCTTGACAGCTAACCTTACCTGGAACAGGTTCTGGTTCTACCTGGGCTTTTGATGTCTGAGTGGCAATCTGCTTTGATGATGAGCAGCTTCAGAACCAGTAAGCCACAAATAGTTGGACCTGATTCATAGTCCTTGGTTCTAGCTGTCTCTGGTTCTGCCTAGCAGAGCAGCAGGAGGTCTGAATCCACTCCATCTGGAACGGATCATCTACTCTGCATCCCCTCTGGCCACCAGGTGGTGCTGTTTACACTCCCAAACAAACTGCTTACTCAGCACTGTCCTTTTCTGTGGCGCGTTTGTTGTACGGGACTTTTCAGCCCCCTGATGTTTCAGAGGTTAGTGAGAGCTGCTGCTTCTGGACTGGGTCTGCACCAGGCTACGGTTCTGTTCAGTCAGCAGAACAAGGTTCCCTCCTCTGACCTGGGCCCAGGCCAGACCCCAAACCCAGGCCATGAGCTGGACCTTAGTTCTGCTGCCAACCGATTATTATTAATAATCTAGGTTATTAAAAGTCGAAGTTTATAATTACAAAAAGACTAAACCAGTTTAGTTTCCTTCATTTAATCAGGTCACTTCTGTGTTGGATCTCCACGAATCATCTGTTCTAATTACCTTTTTAGATGGTTGTCTATGCCTCATCCATCCATTCATTCACAGTTAAAGAGAAACTGAATGATTCACCTGCTTCCTCCAGCTCAGCTGTCAACGAACTGAGATCTGATTAAATGTAAACAGACTATTAATAACCGTAATAATGAAAAGCAGTTTGAAGGAAGTGGATGGATGTGGAGAACATCTGACCCTTAACTGATTCACCTGTACAGGTGAACCAATCCCAACCCGGTGGGTTTGTTCTGATCATGGAGGTACCGGAGTACCAACCTTTAATACTAATAGGAAAATGTTTGCATAGATTCAGACCACAAAGACAAATGGGGAACTTCCGAGGAACTCATCTGAACGTTCTGCCGAAGAAGACCAGATTAGTGTCCAGGTTGTGTCTGGTCTTTCCCTCTAACTAAAATTAGACGTTACCAGACAGATTTGAGAAGATAGGATGGTTCTGAGCCTCCAGGATTAGGGGAACATGATGTGGACGAGATGAGGATCAGACCTCAAACATATAACATGTTCTGAACCAATCAGGATGTTCTATCTGACTGATGTCATCCCATCAGGCGGTATCATTTATGGATTAGGATATCCTGTCCTGACCACTGATCTAACAGAAGCTCACTGATCAGCTGAACATCTGCACCAATCAGATTGCTCATGATTTACTGTTGTAGTCCAAAGTCAGTCGAAGCCTTCCTGTTCTCTCAGAGTTAGTGTCCCAACTCTGTCCCAGCAGACGTCCTCAGCTGTTGGACGGCAGTTCTGGTTTCAGACGTATGGCCCAGGAGTTGGCCGATACGATGTCCCCCCGTTGATGGACGCGGCAGGTGTAAGTTCCTTCTGTGAACTCATTGGCGAGGATACGCAGGTCTCTGTTCTTCATCACGATGTAGCCAGGAATGGAGGTCAGGATCTGCTCACTGTCTTTGTACCAGCTGCAGGACACAAGGGGTGCACAAAACAAATGACTGGTAACCGAATCTGAGATGGTCTTCACCAACATCTGGCGTCAGAGCAACCAGATGTTCCTACTGGTCAATGCACCATCTGACCTCTGGAGGTTTCTGAATAGATGCCAGCAGATAACCGGGGCAGTTATTTAGAAAGTCTAATCCAATCAGAACCTGACATCTGGCCCAGGTGGATGGTGCTGAGTGGACCTGCTGGGTTTGTTAGATCACAAGATACTGAACTTTTAAACAACGTACCCCATGTCCACTCCCCGAAACCCAGAAATCAGCTGATGGCAGGTTTTTACATGGAGATGTTCAACAGGTGGTGAAAGAAGATCAATAACAAATCGGTCCTTATCAAAAATGATTTATCCATCAGCTAACCTGACTTTTGGTGGAGAAGGATTTTTTTTAGTCCCGCAGCGGAAGCCCACCACCTTCCCCCGAGGAACCATTTTGATCTTGACATTGGCGGGAGGTGATGTCGGCGTGGCAACAAGGTCCATGGGCTCTGCAGCGAGGACCAGGTCATTACAGGAAGTCAGTTTTATCTCGGGAGACGGATGGTACTACTCAGTCCTCTAAAGCCCTGCGGTCAGTCTCACCAAAGCAGAGATCACAGCGACGGGGACAGTTCTTCCTCATGAAGGTCTTCCTCCTCTCACAGAAGCCGAGTCGGGCCCATGGATCACAGACTCGCTTCTTATCTGAACATCCTGCAGATACAGCAGAGAAAACTCCACAGGTCCAGACTCTACAGTCCACCTACACTTGAAGGACGTTCCATGACAACATTAATGTTCTTGTGTTGGACAGAAAAGGTCAAGGGGTTTTGGTAGTAAAAGACCAAAATTCAAAACAGGCCGCGGCCAGATCCATCTGGATTATACCCTGATCCCCAGGCAATCCCCATCTTCGAGGAGGGCCCAACTGCAGACCCACAGACTGAGGCCCTGTCCACACGTAGCCGGGGATCTGCCAAAACGTAGATATTTTTCTAAGTTTTGGCCTGTAACCCACATGAAAACAGAGTTTTTTCACACGAAAACGGATCTTTTTAAAAACTCCGGCCAAAGTGAAGATCTGCGTTTTCTCCGTTTTGGGTGTCTGCGTGTGGACAGACAAAACCGGAGTTTTAAGGTCCGTAACGTCACTTTCCGCGACAAGAAAATGCTGACATCACGTGTGCGACCTGTGTTTACACTAGCCGACAGCATGGATGCCCTCAGAGCTGCGCTCGCTTTATCAACTGTCCAAGCGCTTTCTGCTTGTTTGTTTTTGCAAGCGGAATTACTGCTCCTTGTGGAAGACCACAGACGAAGGACGAGGTTAAGAACGGGGGAAGTACTGCCGCCTACAGGTCTGTCATGTCCTTAACAACGTATTTATCCGGGTATGTGTGGACAGTTTTTTTTTTTAAACGAGGTGGTGTGGATGCAAGTTTTTGGAGGGGCGGATATTCGTTTTTAAAAACACCCGGCTACGTGTGGACTAGACCTATGTTGGGGAGTTTCAGCTGCCGCTTGTGCTCCATCTGTGTGTGTATGTGTGAAAACCTGCCAGTTCTGATCTGGTTCGTGTGTGAAAAGAGAGAGAGCGAACCGACTACCGACTGGTGTGTATCTTCATTCTCTCCGACTTTGCAAAGTCTGATTGTTGATTAGTGTTTGATTATTGGTATTTGGTATTGATAATCTAAAACCTGGGAACTCTAACCCCCTTGTGTGTGTTGGATTTTCTTTGAGGTAATCCTGGATTGAATAATAAAATTACCCAACATAGCCAACAGCACTCGACATCTGCTTACATACTGATGTCAATCACAGAACACGTTCGCATGTTGGCAGAAGTGCCTAGACTGGCGACAACTCCTATGAACAAGCAAGTCTTTATGTTATTTATATCTGAATAAACAGCATAACGTGTTTTAGCTTGATGGCCCATCTAGACACGATGGTTCACAACCAAGAGGCGGTGCTTCCAGCCATAACTATGAAAGGGCTTAAGGTGCATTACAGTTATTCCATCGGTAAACAGTGTGTTTTGTGTTTGTTTTCTGAACGTAAGCTGTGATGACTTCATGGTGGTGGGTGAGGGTTAGATGTTAGAAGTAGGTTCTGCTCTGTGTTGGGTCGGTCAGTACCGTAAAGTCTCTGGATGCCCCACACGTCGTCCTGAGCGATGTTCCGTTGTCCGGTGTAGGTGGCGTTGGGATGCATCAGAGCCTCTGGGTCTCTTGAATGCCAAAGACCCAAAGCGTGACCGATCTCATGAGCTGCTACCTGGACCAGGTCATTCAGCCAGACGCCTGCAGAACCACACAGGGTCAGAGGTCTGGTATGAGTTTTGGGTCCGGTCTAACTGGATGTCATAAGTCAGCTTGCTTGGTTTTAACTTCATCCATAACAGATTGGTTTAACCCAAACCCCCCAGTCAGTCCTCCAAATGGAGCATCACGTACCATGTTCTCCCCACGTTTGGGTCTTCCCATTTGCATCACTTAGTGCTGCTATAAGGACCTCTACTGCATCACAAAGACGACTAATGTGAAAAAAACCCATCCATCTGTTTTCACAGTGTTTGACTTTAGGAATTATGTGCTCAAAACGAGCCGTTTCAAACCGTCCCCATTTGTGACATCACAAACGGGGACGGTTTGAAATGGCTCGTTAGACTAGAACCTCCCCTTACCCTTACTGCACACGGTTTACTCATGATATTCACTGCACTCTGGTGCACACCGGGAGAGTCTCAGCCGCAAAGCGGCTTCTTCGCTATGCTCCTCGCTCGACTCGCAAGTTCACAAAATCCCTCGAGACTTCCGCCATCCTCCTCGCTTAACTCACGAGATCACTGTGACGAACCCAGAGGTTCTGCTCTCTGATATCCTGGAGATCTCCTGCTGCAGGCCCCAAGTCCTGCAACCCAGTCGCACACCACCAGAGGCCAGCAGAGAGTGTTGTGGAGCAGCTGCATCCAATTACTCATCAGCTGTTCCTGAAGCCTTTTTAAGCCTCCCAACTTCATCACTCAGCGAGACACAGCTACAGAGGAGACTCAGTGTTAAAACTGTGATCTCCATTCGTAGGTTTTGGCTTGCTGTCAGTGTTGAATATAGATATTGGTTGGCTGGTAGTATCCCAGAGTTAATAGTTTTGATATCGTTAAAGGATATAGATAAATTGTGCTTTTTGCCTCATGTTATTGTTTAACCTCCCAATCCTCAGTTTAGCTTGACTTTGTTTTGTTTTGGAGGATTTTTAGTTGAGGAGATGTCTAGCTTCTGTTTTGTAGGTCGTTTCAGTGTTGTTAATGGTTTAGGTTTATTCTTTTTGTTTCTTTAGTGGTCGGTTTAGTTAAAAATAGGCGTGTTTTCCCTTCTTGGACTCCGCTCTCTGGTTAACACCAGAGAGAGAGCTTTAAGTTGTTGTTGGTTTGCTGCTCCCTGTTTTAAGCAGAGGGAGTTTATTTAGTTTGTTTATTAAATACCTTTTTACTAGGGATGCACCGATACGATACTGGTATCGGTGCCGATACCAATACCAGTATCGGTAAAAGTGAACTGATACCAGGAACCGATACCAATGCAGTTGCTTGAAAAGGGCTTTGCTGTAACTTGTCATTCCTGTTCGTCTAATATTTTAGTTTTGTGAAGATTTTCATTCATATATTTTCCTTTTTATCTACCTCACAGCCTTTTCCTGTTGAAAGCAGAGAAGAAAATAAAATCTGTACAGTAATCCCTCGCTACTTCGCGGTTCGTTCATCGCGGATTCGCTGCTTAGCGGATTTTTTCTTTGGAGCATTTTTCAGGGGGAATTCGCAGATTTGCGGTATTTTTCACTGATTCGCGGTATTTTTCTATGCCAAATATCAAGAAATTCTTGTTTTTTTTCATCAATTTCATCATAAAATGCACTTTTTGTAATAAAACTAAAAAAAACAAGTTAAAAAATTTTTTTCTTGAGTTTTACCCACAAAAAGAGAATGTGATCATACGATAATTCAATAGGGAGCGTGGTTTCACAGACGCGGAAGTAATAGCGTCGGTGAAACGCCGGCTGACCTAGGAAACCCCCGAGCGTTCGAGCGTCAACGAAGTGACACGGAAATGCCGGGCTTTCCAGAAGTAAGTAAGATAACTTACTATGAGCTGATAGTTCGTTGGATTGATCGGTAGATTGGAAACTCTGATCATGAATCTGAAGAAACGATGACTGAGTGGTGAGCTGGAAAGGCGACTTCCGTTTATAGCCGCGGTTTGTGACGTAGGTGCGAAGTAGAGGGAATCCCCGCGAGGGGCATGCTGGGAGTCCCTACTTCGCGGATTTTCACCTATCGCGGCCAGGTCTGGAACGCATCTACCGCGATAAACGAGGGATCACTGTATTCCAAATCATTGCATTTTTTTGTGTGGTAGAAGTATCGGTATTGGTAATCGGCATCGGCGAGTACTCAGATCCAAGTATCGGTTTGGAAAAAAGTGGTATCGTTGCATCCCTACTTTTTACCCCACTTTTGTAAATAAACCTTTTGAAAAACAACCATTTTGTTAAACTCCTTCCATTCACTTATTTCCCATCACAAACAGACACCATCCATCATTGTCCATTTCTTTTTGTTTGACATTATTTTATTTTACTCTGTGTACTCCCCTCACCACTCCTAGACGCCAGAGGGGACGTAACAATCACAAAATCCCTCGAGTTTATGCCGCCCACCATTAAGCCAAAAAGAAGGAAATCGCATTCGATTTCACTGTTTGATGTCATCTATGATGCTGTTCCTCTCCCCTTTCAGGATTAAAGCTATGACAAACACACCGCTGCACTTTTGGAACGATGCAGTGAGTAAATACGCTGTTAGATCACTTGTGTTGACATAATCTACACAGATAAGAAATTGCATCACTGCAATAGGCTTTTATATTGAAAATTACCAGGGGTTTTACACTGAAACTGTGTGTGATTTCCTGTCTAGCCCTAAGTTAACAGGAAATTGATGCATCCCAGAAGGGGCTCGCAGCAATTAGAACCCGATGCTATCATTGGCGTCATGGGCTGCATGGTGGCGCAGATGTTAGCACTGTTGCCTCGCAGCACGAAGGTCGCAGGTTCGAAACTCGGCTGCGGCCTTTCTGCGTGGAGTTGCGTGTTCTCCCCATGCATGCGTGGGTTTTCTCCGGGTACTCCGGTTTCCCCCACAGATCACAACATGCCCTATAGGTTATAAATTGTAAGTCGCTTTGGATAAAAGCGTCTGCTAAATAAATAAACATAAACATTAGCGTCACAGCGTTGAGTGCCGCTTCTGGGACACGTCTGAAAATTTCCACATCGCGGCTGTTTTTCTAATCGCCCCCAATGAATAGTAGATTATCTTTGAAGCGGTGATGTTTTGTGCTGCTGATGCTTCCATCGTGCAGTAGGTTTTAAATGCAAACGAGAGCTGCTGCTGGAGGAGCAGCAGCTCTACTCTGAGTCCCTCCAAGATACAAGAGTGGAGGAGAGTGGATGAGGCCAGCAACCGCTCCTTTTCATAAGGTGACAGAGCCCTGAAACAGCTCATTCTGGAAGGTACTTAAAACTATCCTCGGGAGTCCCTCCCGAATGTCCGAGCTCCTCACCCTATCTCTAAGACTGAGCCCGGCCACCCTACGGAGGAAACTCATTTCGGCCGCTTGTATCCGCGATCTCGTTCTTTCTAGTAACGCACGCATTTTCTTATCAGTAACGGAAATGGCGTCCTGATAAAAGAAGACGGTAATTAATTCGATTACTCGTTACTGGAAACTAACGCCGTTATTTTAAACGGCGCTATTGCCTTCGCTGCTAATGGGACGTTGATTTTAAATGTCATGTGAAAAATGTTGTGACCTGACAGAAAGCAACCACCCTTAGAAGTTCATGAGTGTGGAACACGTCGGAGCGCTGCACCAACCTTGTTTCCAGCTGAACCTGGACTTGCCAAGGATCCAGAACTCATGGTTGTCGAAGTGGATTTCTCCTCGTGGGGGCAGGAAAGCATGAGCCAGCTCTCCGTTCAGGCCATCAAAACAGGGATGGAGAGGAGACCACCAACAGTCAGTGTGGTTAAAGGTGTAGAAACCTAACACACACACACAGATACACACAAATACACACACATCCACGTAAAGGTGTCCCACATCCTAAAACCTAACTAGTTCATTGAGCCCATTCCATTCATCTGAGCCAGAACTTCCATCTGCTCCGTCTCACAGGGGAACCCTGATGATGACTCCAAGTTTAGGTTAGGCTCAGTGACCCCAGCTGACCTCAGACTGTTCATTACTGACACACGTGGCTCCAGTGAAAGTCGTTTTTGGGAACAATCTGGGTTCCTGAAAAAGGCTTTCATTAGATATTAAAGACAGAAAACAGGTCCTCCTCGCAAAGGTCAGAATTACGCTGTGAAAGTCCTAAACTTCTAAAAAGCAGAGACTCTAAATGCGGACGGAACGAAAGGTTAAAGGTCAGGGTCCAGCTCCCTCCAGGTCACATCAGTGCTGCGGTACCTCAAACAGCCACCTCACGTTTTCCTCAAATAGCAGACGTACCAATGGAGATGTCAGCGGTGGCGTTACTGTCAACGACCTCGGTGAAGGTCAAAGGTGACACGTCACTCCACTTGGTGAAGGCGATGCCGATGGCCTTCCTGGTGTCCTCCACATTCAGGGTGTTGGGAAACTTGACGATCCTAAGAGAGAGATCCGCGATGGGCTTTGTTGAACAGACTCGGTGGTCCACTGAGGACCTCAGGTCTCACAAGGTAGGAAAAGCAACACCAGATTCAGAACCTTGCGGGTTCTGTTTGGGCTCACCTGTACGTGACGTTGTGGTGGGTCCACTTGTGACCCAGAGGGTTGATAGCATAGCGTCTGGTTCTGGTTCCTCTTCTGCTGCCAGATGTCTAAAAGACAACCAGCCACTGATCAGTGGATAAAACAGAGCCGTCCGGTTTCGGGTCAGAACCGGCACCGGCTGAGTTGGTTTCTGTAAACTATGAGCTTTATAGCAGCTGTGGACAGATGTGGAGACAGATGTGAAAGCCTTGTCTGTCTTTCTTCCGTTATTCACATGTGGCTCCTTTGATCCCCCCCCCCACCCCCACCCCCACCCCCCTCCCACACACACAACTATGTGGGCTCCTGACTGGCCCCTGGCTGGGGTCCCTGTTGTTTTTACTCTGCTCCCTTTCGGTCCCATCTTGCCATAGTTTAAAAACATTTACTCGTTTTATTTCCACCCAAACTGCACGTGCCACTAACATCCCAGATTCCACCAGGAGCTGGGTGGCTGAGGGTTTCTTCATTGGACCTTCATGTCCACTGACCAAGGCCTGATTGTCCTCGCAGTAAACGGAGACAGAGTCTTCTCTTCTGGGGCTCCTACTCTCTTCCTTCTGAGGTCATCAGACCAGAGAATTCCTTTAAGGAGCAGCTAAAACTTTTCTTTTAAAATCTGCTCTTATTTGATGTTTTTTATTTGTATTTTCTGGACCACTTTGTGGTTTTTATCTGCAGGTTCTGAATACTTTTCTGATCAGTAAAATCTGATCCCACTTCCGCCTGAAATGGGATCAGTTTGTGAGACTTTACCATCCTTATGAACGGAAACTGACCTTCATCTTCATCATCACCATCGGCAGCAGAAGCAGCAGGAGGAGGGATCTCATGATGGGCCTCGTCAATCAGCTCGCGTGTCCGACGCGTTTCGCCCCCTAGAGATGTCTCCGGAACCGACCCGGGGGGGCTCCGTGTGGACCGGGTCCTGAGCTCCCGCGGTCCTGCTCCGGGACAGACTGGAAGAAGTTCACGGAGTGAGCGCTTGCTGCTGCTGCAGCGGGGGCGCCCGGGGTGGGCGGGGTCAGGTGTGTGTGCGCGCGGTGTCCTGTTACTCGAAGATGTAGAGTTTAACCCTTCCACTGCCAGGACTCATCTGAATATTATTCAAAGAAGAAGAAACGTGCTGATTTATGCTCTGGGGTCTCTGGGGGCCCACAGACCCTCTGGGGTCGGGGGGGGGGGGGGGACCCTAAGGTGGCTCTGAGCTGTTTTCTTGCTCCAGATGTGCAGCGTTCTTCCTAAACATCTGTGAAAACAAGCTGTGGACAGTCAGCAACAGACTCCGAGTCTTAACATGCTGAATGACTCTAATAATGTCCGGAGGCCCCATTTATAAAACGTTGCTCTCAGCAAGCACATCTGTGCGCTCTGGTGATCTGTCCCGCCTCCTACACACCCACATTCTGCCATAAATAGTCAAAGCAAAGTGCCTTATGAATATTCTGCATTTTTATGACCTGGCTGATATGTGGCATTTCAAAGGGAACCATGGCAACCGAGAGGTCAATAAAATGCTGTTTTACTGAGACTGAACTCGAGGTGCTTGTGACGGAGGCGGATGGTTTTGTGTGGTTTAAATTCACCGTGTCTGGCCGTGCTGCCAGTTTCCCCGTCTCCAGAATGTGCTTCCACCAGGTCCAAAGTTTTCCTTTATAGATTGAAAAGTTTTGTGAAAAATAACTTTTCAGGCTTTGTTTTTGTGCATAAACAAGTTTAGCTTTTTGAGCCCCATCAGATTCCTCCAGAATCACGCAGAACTCCTCAGGAGCTCAGGCAGGCAGCTCCTCTGGAGCATACTAGCGTGTGTTCACATTAATAACAACATCAGCAACTGTTTCTGTCCATCAATCCATTGCAAAGATGTTTTATCAGTGAAAAACTTTCAGACAGCTGCTGCAACAGATGACCTCCCAGCAGATTCACCATAAGGTCAGAGGTCAATGCTGAGAGAAATAAGCCCAAAAACAGAGAACAGCTGGAAAAGACAGGCATCAAGGTCCTGTCCCTCAAGACTTGACGGCCTGAAAACCTCAAAGAACTGAAGTAATCGCACAAGTACAACCAGAACTTCTCCAGAAGGACTGATTAGGAGATCTATTGGACTTCTCTTTGTCTTAACTGATCTGGAAACAGTAATGGGTCTTCTGAGTGGCGTGGGCCTGTTTTGGTTGTCATTGATGATTGTTTATCTGAAAACAACGAGGTCACCTTCAGCCTGTCTGCAGAACACTTCCTGCATCCTAATGAGCTTCATTGTTCCATCTGAGACTCCCATCATGCAGTGCAGCTGCTCCCATCGACATCTTCCCTTTGTGTTTCCATCAACACCGACACATCATCATCATCATCATCATCATTATTATTATTATTATTAATAATAATTGTGTGTTGCATTTGTGTGATAATTACAATAATAATAATTATTATTATTATTGTTATTATTATTATTATTATTACTATTATTATTACTATTATTATTATAAGTAGTATTGGTAGTAGTAGTAGTAGTAGTAGTAGTAGTAGTATTTTATTATTATTGTTGTATTATTCTTTATTATTATTAATAATAATAATGAAATAATAATTAATAATAATCATTGTGTGTTGTGTTTGTGTGATAATTAATAATAATAATAATAATAATTTTATTATTATTATTATTATTAGTAGTAGTAGTAGTAGTAGTAGTATTTTATTTTATTATTGTTGTATTATTATTATTTATTATTTTATTATTATTATTGTTGTATTATTATTATTATTATTATTAATAATAAGTAGTAGTAGTACTATTAGTAATATTATCATTTTATTATTATTATTATTGTTGTATTATTATTATAAGTGGTAGTAGTATCATGAATATTTTTTGCTTTAACGTCGTGTATCTTACAGGGAACCATTTTTAAGTGTGCTCATGATTGTCTCTGATCACCTGACTGAGATGAGAAACTGGAACTCTGTTTTCCTGGTGTCCACCAGTAAAGGGGCGGAGCTTCTGTGTCCCATCTTGCGTTAGTGTCCCTGGCTTGGGGCCCTTGCAAGCCTCCAGGCAACAACGTCACTGAGAGCAGAGACGGTGGAGCAAGAGACAGACTTTCAGAGGGAGCTGAAGGATGACAATTTAATTACACTTCTGTCCATTCATCCGTCCATCTACACACACACACACACACACACACACACACACACACGCAAGCTAAAGAACTGAAAGCACACACTCTGTTTCCCACCACACACCAACACCCGGCTCTTCTTCTCTTCTCTGAATGGAGACGACTTACTGACTGGTTGTTGTGGAAACCAACAGCAATCGAAAACTGGATGTTTCAATCCTCAGCTGTGACGTCCTGCTCAGATGATCTATAAGAAACCCCCACAGACCACTGTAGGGGCCCTTCAGAGAACTCCACAGACCCCTAGGGACCCATTGCGGCCTTCACTGACTCCCAGGGTCCCTAAAGAGTCTTTGGGGCTTCCACGGAGTCCTGGGCTCTAATAGACTTGCTGGGGCCTCCATGATCTATGATCAAGCTCTGCAGATGTGTGTTATCAGCACACATATACCAGGAGTGTTGGTGCATCAGAACGCCTAACACATGATGGTTAAGGGATCTCAAAGCCTGTTGCTATCTGTCAGGAGTAGCCTATGCTTTGGGTCTGAAATAGGGAGCCCAAGCCCATCTGCTTCCAAACCACGGCTCTTCAACTGCCCATAAAAAAATATCAGCCGATAACAGTTATTTTCTGATTCTGTTTGATGTGTGGTGTGGATTTCACAAGTTACGTTCGAGAACTTTAAAGAACATTTTGATGCCAAGAAAGCGCTTATTTTTGACAGGCAGCAGTTATTTTAGGTAAACATAATGAAGACACACATCATTACTTTTTATTCAAATTGAAGAACAACATATGTGTAATTCAGGGCATAAGGCAGCGTGGATTAGAAAACAGCCCCGTTTTCATAGCCCTGATCGGGGCTCCAGGGGCCCAGGAGCCAACCAAAAAGGGAGGAGACTGTACCCCAAGAATGTCAAATAGTGATTTTAGGTCAATTGAAAGTGGATCTTGCTCTTTCTTACCTCTGAGCATTGTAGATGACCACTTTTCACAAACTGGGACTTCTTAAACAGGATATCCAACAAAAGGTTCAATGAATGCCTCGCCTTGATGTAAATATATTTCCATTGAACAAAAAGCATTTTGAACCCAAAAAATTATTAAATGTATCAAAAAAGCAAAGGAAATAGTTCCAAAAATGAACCGTTTTCATACAGGCCCTTAGCCTGACGGAGGCTCTAAGCCCCATTCCCACCTGTACCGGGTCGGCCCGGGCCGGGTAGCGTAGGTTGTTTACATATCTGGGTGGCCTGGAATTTTCCCGGGCCAACCAAGGCTCATTCTCGGCCCTCTTCCCGAGGGGTACTGCTTCAGGCCGACCAGGGCCAACACACCCACTGCTGACAAGAAATTCACACCTTCCATTAGAGCAAGCCTCTGATTGGTGGGTAGAGTCAGCCCATTCACACCTTCCATTAGAGCAAGCCTCTGATTGGTGGGTAGAATCAGCCCACATGGGCTTAAGGCAAGGATGTGTGGAATCAACCGGGCCAGGCTGGGGCCGACTGGGGCTACCCGGCCCGGGCCGACCCGGTACAGGTGGGAATGGGGCTTAAGCTTGTGTCACATTTCTTGTTTAATTACAAAGGCTGGAGGAGCACTTTTTGTTCATTTGTTAATTTTGTTTTGCAATCTTAGCTTTTGTGTTTGCTCTCTTGGTTTTTCATTCATCCTTCAAGTAGGAAAGGCTATGAGCTGACAAGGAAAATGCTCTATTTTTTATTGTTAGGGGGTTTTGAGTTATTGTTATGATTATGAAAATAAATGTTTCATTTTGAAAAACATTAACACATGAATAATAAAATACAATCTGAGACTATGGTTCTCGACCGGAAAAGGGTGGCTTTCCAACTCCGGGTCGGGAGAGAGGTCCTTCCTCAAGTGGAGGAGTTTAAGTATCTCGGGGTCTTGTTCACGAGTGAGGGTAGGAGGGATCGGGAGATCGACAGGCGGATCGGTTCGGCGTCTGCAGTGATGCGGACGCTGAGCCGATCTGTCTTGGTGAAGAGGGAGCTGAGCCAGAAAGCCAGGCTCTCGATTTACCGGTCGATCTACGTCCCAATCCTCACCTATGGTCATGAGCTTTGGGTAATGACCGAAAGAACGAGATTGCGGATACAAGCGGCCAAAATGAGTTTCCTCCGTAGGGTGGCCGGGCTCAGCCTTAGAGATAGGGTGAGGAGCTCGGACATTCGGGAGGGGCTCGGAGTAGAACCGCTGCTCCTCCGGATCGAAAGGAGTCAGTTGAGGTGGTTTGGGCATCTGGTCAGGATGTCTTCTGGACGCCTCCCTGGGGAGGTGTTTCGGGCATGTCCTTCCAGCAGGACCACGGGTCGACCCAGGACACGTTGGAGAGGTTACATCTCCAATCTGGTCGAGGAACGCCTTGGGGTCCTGCCGGAGGAGCTGGTGGAGGTGGCCGGGGAGAGGACGGTCTGGAGCTCCCTAGTTGGGATGCTGCCCCCGCGACCCAGACCCGGATAAGCGGAGGAAGACGACGACGACAAACATTTGATTTAAATTGTACTTATAACTGCCAGTGAAATTAAATAAAAATTATAAAAGTCAGCTCAGTTTAGATTAGGTTCAATTTAAAATGTAATAAATTGAACAAATGTTTGCATTAAATTACTATATTGATGTCAGCAAAGTCTACAAAGTATTTCAGTTTTATCTACTAAATCTTGTGGTTTGTACACAATTTTATTGTATTTTCTTTTGGTTTCAGTTAAATTAACTCTCAAATTTTTATGTTACTGTACAAATCACATATATTAATATCAACCTAATTTCCAAAACTTTAGTTATTTAACTGATGAAGTATATGAGAAATTTGACTGGGCTTCAGTCTACTCAATATTTTTGAGTGTAGAAGAATGCTGTGTCACAATTTTAAAATACATTTTAAAAAAAGAAAATATTTTAAAAAAATTGTAACTAAATCTAACAGGTGTAATATGATTATCAGGTAATTCAGTGATGTGTTGTGTTTGTGCGATTTGACGCTACATAAATAAACTTGAATTGTTAATTTGGTGACACTACAGTGTACAACTGAAAATGCATTACTCTAACAATCCAAAAATGCAGGACTAAAGAAATGGGTTGATGTTGAATGTGTCGTTGTTCTTCTGGTTTTTATTAACTGATGTATTAAAAAGAAAAGTGTCGGGAGTTCCGTAGACCCAAGTATGCAAGAGGACCTGGCTGCAGCTAAATGACAACCTAAAGTCGCGTCGCCTGCAGCTGGTGTTTGGGCCGCTAAACACAAGAATAATGTAACATTAGTAATTTACATTTAATTAAGGACCTTAAGACATTAAAATTTCATATCGAGTATGAAATCCATCTTACAGACACTGGGTTATTTAAATCAGAAGATTGGAACTTTTTAATGCAGGGATCAGACAACACTTTGTATTAACTGAGAGATAAGAGAAGAGAGAGAGACCTTCAAACGTTTAAGATGGTTTATTACTAAATAATTGTAAACAATTTAAACAAGACTAACTCTGCTAATGATGGATGTTCTGTTTGAATGAGATGTGAGATGTATGGTGAGTGTGAATGAGTGTCATTCAGAACCCTCGTATCCGGAGAGACAAAGTCTGAGTGGGAGATGATGTTTTGCTCCTAACTTATCAGAGTAGTTTCACGACCACAAGAGACGCCATTGTGTCGCATCCACCTACCCTCAGTGAGACCTCCGTACAGATCCGGATGCCAGGTCCACGGACCCTCCTCTGGTACTGGAGCCGATGAAACAGCGTCGACAGCACGACAAACCAGTCTTTGGATAGTCTCCAGGTAAAAAGCGACAGGTGGTTCACAGCGTCAAAAGGGGACCCTCCTTGGGTCAGTGAGTTCAGCTTTTATTCTGAAAGGAACCATTGCTTGGTTGGTAAAAACAACAGATTTTTCCCAGCTTGATGGTTCTCGGCTTAAAATGAGAAGTACAGAATGTCCGGTCCAATACTTCGCTTAGCATGCGGTGAACCCCATGGGATCTTGAGAACTGAACTTAGATGGTGTTGGAACTGTTTTATTAATCTGGATGTTTTGAATTCTGGTCGAATCAAAGCTGGCAGATTTATAAACACCACTGAGACTATGCCACGTTTCAGACTAGGAAGGTTCTGATTGGATCAGCAACAGCAATGTGTCATGCGGCCGTTTAACTTAACGTGTATCAGTGTGTCTAGTGAACTAGATTAAGTCATATTACTTATTAAAACATATTAATCATAGTATTGTGATTTCACAGATCGATCACACTGTATTATTGACTAACAGTTGTTTTGATTAGCTTTATTAAAAATAGAGTTCTTTGAATTAATAAAAGAAAAGAAAAGAGTCTCTTCATCTTCTGTCTTCTTTTGCTGGAAAGTAAACAATTTAGAAGCAATATGCATGACCTTGAGGCTGTTTCATGCACTCGGGCGCTGTGTCAGAGGCAACTGTGGAAAGAGGTTAAATAACCTTGAGGAATAGCTCCTTCATCATGTTACAATAAGTAGACACCCCATTGGGTGCTGGAGAGTGCCATATCGGGTGGATTCCTTAAACAAAACTGGAGTCAGCACAGAAGAGAAGATTTGCCCATTTTTTTTGTACAGCCTAGGCCTACTACCATAGACATGAAAACGTAAACACCCCCATTGGGCATTAGAGAGCGTAACATCATTGCCACCATATTGGATGGGTCTCCTCACTCTCCAAAGCCAATGCAGAGTGGGCAACTGTGCCCGTTATTGGGCAGCCTACAGTTGCAACAACCGGCGTACTATTGAAACAGATCATGTGGGATTAATTTTTACTATTCTAGCCTACCTGATGGGGTTTTATATTTTAATGTATTTTAATTAATTTTGTTTTATTGTATTTATAATTTAATTATTTTGCCATACCATATGTCTGATTTTGTGAAAAAGGATAATATAATGTGTTTTAGTTGGGTAAGCACCTTCCTCAGTAGAATTGAATGCACCAGGGACAAATTGAGACCCAACTAAGATGGCAGCCGGCCACTACGGCAGCTCGTATCGGTCCTTGTCTGGTGATCTATCGGGTGCTGTAGCGTGTTGCATGATAGGATAGCTAAGTGTATAAAAAAGTAAGCACTGGCCACTTTGTGCTGTGAGCTCATAAACCTGCAGAAAATGGTAGACTCCTGTTGTGTGAAGGGCTTCCGTGCTATCTTTACAAAAAAGACAAAAAAGTCAAATATGGGCAGGGGTCGCGTTAACTGGACATTCTCCGTGTTTGACCGTTTATTTTGACAGAAAAATCTCAAGGCTGCTGGTCATTCTGGCTAAAATCACCAGACGCATACGGGTGAGTAGACATTTTAAACATCACGCACAGAGATCATTGCGGAAGATCTATCAAGAAAAGATTCCCATCAGAACATCTGAGCATTATCTCAGACCTGGACATCATCAGCGCAGCTCTCTATCAGCTCCCTGAGGAGCTGTGAGAACGGCTCGGAGCGCGTCTGTGTCACAGGCCAGCAGCAGGTAAAATGTTCCTACCTTAAATTAAATTGTTTAATTGTAACATTAATATGTTGCTGGACACGCTGTTAGTTTGTTTAGACTAAATATTAATAAAAAAACGAATGAAAGTTAAATAGTGAATTTTTATGTGACAGAATGAAATGACTGTTTCCCCGTCTCCTCTGACACAGGACCAGTCTGCATGAGATATGGTCTCAAGGTCTCATGCATTTGCTTCTAACCTGCTTATTTTCAGCTCAACAGAAGAATGAAGAATGGACTATTTTCTTTTAATTAATCAAAGAACTCTATTTTAATAAAGCTAATCCAACAAAGTGTTAGTCAATAAATATGATGTGACCGATCTGTGAAATCAAAATATTAATTACTTTATTATAATCCTATAGAATATAATAAGTAATATGTATATATGTGTATATATATATGTATATATATGTATATATTGTGCCGTCGACCCAAGTGAGGCCGGTGTTCGGTCCGCCTCTGATGACAGTTGAACACGGTTATGACATTCAGGTAAAATCAGTAACCGAATAACGAATCGAAAGCAAACTTCTGCCATTAGACTTCAGTGTTGACATATTCATCCTTCCCGTTCGAAACTAACCGTAAGTTGATTTAGTCTAGAGCAGCTGGACAGTAGCTGGAAAAATGCAACCAGATGTAACGATCAGTTAAATGACACAATCGGTAAACCAAATTGAACATTGTCAATGTTTTAATAGGAATTTCTTGTGATGAACATCAAGTGTTGGTGGTATAGTGGTTAGCATAGCTGCCTTCCAAGCAGTTGACCCGGGTTCGATTCCCGGCCAACGCAAGTCCATTTTGCAGTAATTTCTTTTCTGTTACAGAAATATCCTGCAAAACAGCACAGGGTGCAAATACGCAGTCTAAATTACGGAGGAAGGGACAACGTCTCATTATAGTAATTTGGAATAACAGAGATAAAACATCAAACAGTTATCAGAAAATCATTGGTAATATGTCACCTATAAGCTGAAATCTGTGAAAGATCCCATATTAACCTCTTTTGCTGTTAACCGTTATTATTATGAATTTATTCATTATTATGAATGCGGATTTCCTAAAACTGCTTCCCCATCTTTAAAGCTTTTCTCAGTGACATGATCATTTATAAGCAGTTGATCTGAGCTAAAGCCCAGCTTGAGTAACAGTCTACCTGGTGGAGAACTTCATGCTACCCTAATTACTGCTTTTCTAATTAATTGTATTTAATTGGTTTTAAGTAGTTTTGTTGATCGTCTCGTCTTTGACCGTAGCAGGACCCTGGACCTCCGGTCAGCAGGGGGCGAACGGAGATCACGGGCGGAAGTAGCGGAAACAGCAGCAGCTAGGCGGAAGTACCGGTGTGTTTTTGTGTGACTGAACGAAACAGCGCGGGTTCTCTTCTTAAAATTCTTACCACGTGTGTCCAGCTCACGGTACCGAGACTCAACGGAACTCCGGAACGAGTCGTGGCCCGTTATGGCGGCCGGAAGCACGGCTCCTCCGCAGCTCGGAGACGTAGAAGAAGATGCGTCACAACTGTTGTTTCCCAAAGGTGACGACTACCGCCACCGCAGACCTGTGTTTGATACACCAGAAACGTGTGTGTGTGTGTGTGTGTGTGTGTGTGTGTGTGTGTGTGTGTGTGTGTGTGTGTGTGTGTGTGTGTGTGTGTGTGTGTGTGTGTGTGTGTGTGTGAATATAAAAAGGAAGTAGTATAGAGATCAGCTGTTTTAATTTCTGGTCCAGAGTTCGAGAACGCTGAGACCCTGCTGAACTCCGAGGTCCACATGCTGCTGGAACACAGGAAGCAGCAGAACGAGAGCGCCGAGGATGAGCAGGAGCTGTCCGAGGTCTTCATGAAGACCCTCAACTACACGGCCCGCTTCAGCCGCTTCAAGAACCGGGAGACCATTACTGCCGTGCGCAGGTTCGCCTTTCTTGCTTCCACTGATTTTCTGACCACCTTCTGGTTGTGACAAATCCACCATTTCTCCTCCAGTCTCCTGCTGCAGAAGAAGCTGCACAAGTTTGAGTTGGCTAGTCTGGCCAATCTGTGTCCTGAAGCTGCAGAGGAGGCCAAAGCCCTGATCCCCAGGTGAGTCAGGTAACCCACCTGGGGACCCACTGAATTATCTGCTCAAGGACCAGATAATTTAGGTGTTTCCAGGATTTTCCGTTTCAGAGGCGAATAAAACGATTACATTTTCTGTCTAAAACGTTTAATTTATTAGTAGGTGAAGAGCATTTCAAGCAATATGGCAAAAACACTTTTTTGAGACTCTAATTGATGTTGGTAACCATATTTATATTAGGATCTGAGAATGTTATCTCTGTAGTTAATTTTAGGGTTAATGTGTTGTTATTTATCTTTTGAAAGTGTTTTCTTTGAACAGCTGGGTTTAAAGCTTGTGAACACGCATCCTGCTCTGAGCAACAGGAAGTTCTAAACATGGAACAAGCTTGTTCCCATTCATTCTGGGATTTGTACTTAAACCCGGTCGCGTGCTAGCTCTACACAGCTTCATAGTAAAGCACTACAGATGGAACCGGTTCTGGTTCAGTTCAGCCCACATACATGTGGACCGGGTCAAAGACCAGGATCTGTGTAGAGAACTGAAGTTTCTGTCTGAATAAAGTTGGGATTGAATCTGTTTCCAGTGTGGAGGGTCGGTTTGAGGACGAGGAGCTGCAGCAAATCCTGGACGACATCCAGACAAAGAGGAGCTTCCAGTACTAAGACCAGAACCGACCCGCCGTGCTCTGCGATAATTTCTGCCCTTTTTTTGTTTTTGTTTGTTTGTTTCATGTTGGTTTTTACTCCTTCAAGTTCCTGACACCAATCCATACTAGATGGACAGAAGAGCTGGATGAAACCAACAGAGGAACATCTGCTTCCATGTTGTTTCCTGTTGGACCAGGTTCTGTCCCGTCAGCGCCTTGTCACACATTGACGCAGTACACTGCAGCACCCGTCTCCTCTGGCTCTTGTATTACTTCAGGCAAAACCCCAGCAGATGTCCTCACCATCTGCATCGTGTTCCTGGTAAACAGGAGCTTCTCGTAGTTCATCAGCTGCCTCCAGAACCCGGCGTTGGGTCGGATGAATGGCCGGCTCTCCAGAACCAGTTTGTAAGCCTGACGCAGGCTGAGACCGGTACCCCTAAAGAGACACATACCAGAACCATCAGACAAGTGTTAACCTGAGTGAGTCCCAGACAAACAGAACCAAACATAGCTGCACGGCACCCCCTGAGACCCCAGAGCAAACTTGGTGCTTCAGCTTGTCTTGTCTGGATTTCTATTGCCCTGAAAATAGGATGAAAGTATCCAGTGGTTCACGATTAGCTTCCAAAGTAAAAAAAAAACACCTTTCATCACACCTTCACAGTTTAGAGTGACACTGCACATCCAGGACCCTTATTTTGATTGATGTAGAGATCGCATAAGGAGTTTAATCTTAGCCTTTGTGTTTTTTATGACATTGAGCCAGCACAGCTAATGCAGTGGTGCAGATTGATCTATGTTGTATTTTGTTGTGCAAAACAGAAAAATAAAACCAGTGAGGTGGGTGTGAGTTAAAGAGCTTCCATCGTGTGTGTGTGTGAGGTCAACGCTGCCACCACCATCACCAACCAGGAAGCATAACGTGTAACATTATTAAAATATGGAGAAAAACCCGACTACGGCTGTAGCCGATTAAAGCAGGGATGCACAATATATCGTAACAGCCGATGTTAGTGATTTTTGACATATCGGTATCGGTCCGATGACTAAAGCTTGGTTTATGCTTGACGCATTTACTTTCCGCTTGGTGATGCGGCTCGCGGATGGAACGCGCTTCACAACTCGCAGCGTTTATGGTTCATGCGGCTCGTCTCTGCGGTGAGCCAATATTCTCCCAAACTGTAGGGGGCAGCATGGAGCTCTACGGCATGCATCCAACACTACACCATAGAAGTAAAAACTCATGTTGTTTACAACATGGCATTCCAGCATTTTTTAACAGCGTCCTCGTCTTTTCCGACAGTGTGAGCTATTTCTGTCCAAGAATTATTAACATGTTGATCACGGTGACCTCTGAGAGCTGAATCATACAAATGTCTGTATTTATGAACCTCTGCCATACTAGTTCTTGCCGGTCCGCCATGTTTTTCCGCGTCCGACCGTCCGCGTGGTTAGAAATTTTCCTGGGTGCGCGGTGCAGAAAGTTTGGGCCGGGTGGAGGGGCGTGGTTGTTAAAATGACGCAATTTAGCCACGCGAACCTCGCGGACGTGTCAAGCATAAATCAAGCTTAAAATTGGGCCGATATTAACAACTTATATTTTTCCATTTGCTTATCTTTTTTTTTTGGGGGGGGGGGTATTTGTTCTGTCATGTGACAGTCATTGTAATCATCTCAGAAACGTAAAGGTGTGTGGTGTTTGTAACGAAAATTCAACTTTAATAATTTTCATTCTACACAAAATCTGCTGATTTTAGACACATTATTGTCTGTATATTGATATCGGCCCATATTGATTGTCGGCCACAACAGTGATATTAATATCAGTATTGCCGCATCACTAGATTAAAGTGTTTAAGCTTTAAAAATAGAAATATAGACATTTGTTTTTTTTTATAGATTATCTACAGCTAAAAGGTCAAACGTGTTCTCAAGAGACAATGAAGGATTTAACAAATCTCACGCCAGGAAGACCGTTACCAACAGGACTGACGGAACCGAACACAACACAATCCAGCACGTCTGCTGAATTTGTTGATACCGTCAGAACCTAAACCGGAATCTTTGAAGGTCTTACCTCATCAGGTATGCCATGATCAGAGCGGGTGAGCGGCTCCTGCCTGCAGTGCAGTGGACCAGAGTGGTTCCTGTTTGGTTCTGCTGGATCTGCTCAGCTACAGAGTCAAAGTAGAGACTCAGAGGGGCATGAGGTTCATCCTGGATGGGGACATGGAGGACCTGCACGCTGTCCAACGGAGGATAGGAAACCTGCAGTCCACTGACGTTGATGATCAGTGTGACGTTTCTGCTGCTTAAAACTCTGAGGTTCAGAGCCGAGTCCAGATCGCTGAGGAACAGACCATCTGAGATCTTAGAAACCCGCATGGTGATCCGCAGAGAGCCGATCAAAACCCGAAACGTCCTGCAAAACCAAGAAACAAAGTAAGGTTAAATAAAATCACCCAACAAAAAAAGATGTGGAACCTCACCCAGAGGCTGATTTGGATTCACCCGCTCATAATTTAGCCCTTTAGAACCCAACATCTTTTAAATTAGAAAACAGATTGGAATAATTACATCCAAATGTAGAAAAAATAAAGAAGTAGAATAATTTTCAATATATGTATGAGCTGAATGTCACTTGGGGTTTTCTAACTTGGATATTTGACTCAAGAAGCCATTTTGTGGATGTTTGAAATGGGTTGAGCCACCAGTGTCACCAAGGGTCCTAAATCTGGATCAGATGTGAGACGAAACCAGTGGGGAACCTTCTGAAGGTTCCAGGAGAAGAACAGCTGTTTTTCAAAAAAACAAAATTGAACCTTGTCAGAAGTGGGATTCGAACCCACGCCTCCAGAGGAGACTGCGACCTGAACGCAGCGCCTTAGACCGCTCGGCCATCCTGACTAGCTGCAAAGGTGAAGTCAGAGAGCTAAACTAGATCAACATCAGCAATCATGGCTCAGAACTGAACCGAGTTTGGGTTTAGTGTGGAAACTATCGTTGACCCGCGTGGATTCGTAGGAGCAGAACCGGTCTCAGGCCTCGGGACATTTGGGTTACGTCTGTTTGCGCCACGCCTCGATGACTCGGTGAAAATAGTTTCACTTCTGCTCTCGGAGACGCAGGACGGATTACGGAGCGGCTTGTTGTTATCCTCTGGAAACAAGATAAACCTCTGGAAAGTTCTGCCGGACTCTACAGGACTCACCGAAAAGGTAGAGGAAGACTCTGGCTGACCACTGTTAAACGCTTTCTGAAAACTGAAGATGATCTGGTCTCGATCTATCACGATTAGTGGGCTCCAGCCAAACTTCACGTAGCATTTACATTTGATCGGTTCCGTTCAGGAATGTGTGGTTCTGATGGAACCACTAACGGTTCAGAACCGGGATTTTCTCTGAGTTACAGGAGTTTACTGTGATTTACGGTAGTGTACGATGCTCTGCGTGTACGAGCATTTACGTAAACTGCGTAATAACGAGGAAAATAAGTCTGCGTAAGATGGGGGTTAGAATGGGGGTCAGCATTAAATAATAAACCTAATAAGTGCTATATTCGAACTAATAAGTAGTTATAATAATGATTTCATGAGCTAAAAGTAGGAAGTTTATTTAAATAACTTCACAGGAAGTGAGAAACTTCAGAGGGATGAAGGTGGAGGAGTCATTAGATGTTCTGGTATCAACCTACTTTGTTAAATTTAACTCAGCCTGTGGTGTGGAGGGTCAGAGGTCACAGTACACATTCCTTCACTGATCCCTACAAAATAAAAGCATCAAGCATGTGAGTGAAACATCTGTTCATCATTAGTTTTGTTCAGGTGTTTGATCATTTATTTGATTAGATTTTATCCTTTATGGTTTCTTTCTTCACAGACCCAAATCCACTGGACATGCAGAACCAGAACTTCACTAAGACCCCGCCCACCCAGAAATGCATTCTGCCACAGGTTTTGTATCACCCGTCCATCCAGGAGGCAGGAGGTGGAGCTTCAGCCAAAACCAACGTTCAGAACAGAAGGAAGCAGAACCTAAAGTCCAGACCTGGTACCTCATCTCATCCACAAACCGGAACCAATCATGAGATGGTCCAGAAGAACCAGAACATGACTAAAGGTGGTTCTTCTCTAAAACATCTCAAACGTCATGCTGTAGAGGGACCAGAATAATCCTTTATGGTTTCTTTCTTCACAGACCCAAATCCACTGGACATGCAGAACCAGAACTCCACAAAGACCCCTCCCACCCAGAAATTGGTTCTGCCACAGGTTTTGTATCACCCGTCCATCCAGGAGGCAGGAGGTGGAGCTTCAGCCAAAACCAACGTTCAGAACAGAAGGAAGCAGAACCTAAAGTCCAGACCTGGTACCTCATCTCTCCCACAAACCGGAACCAATCATGAGATGGTCCAGAAGAACCAGAACATGACTAAAGGTGGTTCTTCTCTAAAACATCTCAAACATCATGCTGTAGAGGGACCAGAATCCAACAAAGATCCAAATCCTACAAGAGATGGGGCTCTTCCAAGACCAGATCAGGTGCCGCTGGATGTGACAGTTCACCTGGACCGGTGTCTTCTGGAGAAGGTAGAGGTCCAGACCCGTGGACAGAGAACCAACCCAGACTGGTTTGCCTGGAGAAAGAACCGGATCACAGCCTCAGTGGCTCACAGCATCGCTCACAGTCACTTCGCTAACGGCAAGAGCGAAGCTCCGCCCCATTCATACTTGGCTGCAGTCACAGGTAGGCCACTCCCTCCCCTGGATTTGATCATTTACCTGTTTGTTGTTGCCATGGCTAACATTTACCTGTTTCAGTCAATTCACCTGCCCACCTTCACAGGTGAAGGCCTCAGATTCCAGACCAGAGCCATGAGCTGGGGGATTCAGATGGAGGCCGAGGCCGTCCGCAGGTACCAGGTGTGTTTCACCAACCCAGAGATAACAATTTTAAAAACACGAGCTTCAACTTAAACAGAAGTTTGAGAGAAATATATAATATATATATATGTAAATATACATATATATGTATACATTTATATATACATATATGTATATATATACATATATATGTATATATATACACATATATATACACATATATATACATATATACACATATATATATATATATATATATATATATATATATATATATATATATATATATATACATACATATATATGTATATATATATATATACATATATATGTATATATATATATATATATATGTATATGTGTATATATATATATGTGTATATATATATATATATGTATATGTGTATATATATATATGTATATATATATGTGTATATATATATATATATATGTATATATATATATATATATATATATATATATATATATATATATATATATATATATAAATAAAATGAAAGAGAAATGTAAAGCACTGATGTCACCGCTGATGTCACACAGGAATGGAAGAGTGCGATGGGTCGGTCCGTCACGGTTCTGGACTGCGGCCTGTTCATTGATGCCCAGCGACCCTGGTTGGCTGCGAGTCCTGACGGCATCGTGACGGACAGCCGAAGCAGTCAAAGGCTGCTCTGCCTGGAGGTGAAGTGTCCCTACAAACACAGACACCGGCGAGTGGAGGAAGCCTGCAGGGAAGACCCCGCCTTCTGTCTGCAGATAGAGGACCATGACGAAAGGCAGCCTGGACAGGTGAACAACCTGCCAGTCCCATGGGTCCAGTAGTCCTACTCTTGTGTCCACTAACGTTTTCTGTGTCCTGCAAGTAGAGTCCAGTTTACCATCTGAAGACGTCTCACAGCTACTTCACACAGGTCCAGTGTCAGCTGGCAGTAACGGGCCTAAAGCAGGCCGACTTCGTTGTCTACACTCTGAAAGAGATGGCAGTAGTCCCGGTGACCTTTGACCCCAACCTGTGGGATGAGACTTTGACTAAGCTGGAGGTGTTCTACAGGAAGGCTGTCCTACCTTGTGTCAGTCAGAAGATGCAGCAGGACATAGCTACAGGCCACGAGCCAGAACTCTAAATCAGTCCTAGCATTTGAAACCACGTTTACCTTGTTTTTATAGGCAGTTTCTTTTCTTCTAAACATGCAAATTACCGGTAATAACGTGTCAGTTCTGTTTTTATTTTATAACCATCCAGAAATATGAATGCTATCAGTGCTGTTTTATTTTATAAACTTGCAGGCACGTTCACCTGTGTTTAAAATTTGTTTTGTTGAATTAAAACAACAACGAAAAACCTCCGTGTAGCGTCTTTCTGTCTAACTATCTTACGTTATGGCCGTACATGCGCTGTGCGGCGGAGACCTGCATGTGGCTGCTGCGCTGCGGCTTGTATTTGAGTGTGGCGTGTGTGTAGAAAACTTTTTTTTTGCTGGTGCGGCTTATATTGAGGTGCGCTCTATAGTCCGGAAATTACGGTAAAATGTTTACTTGGCGTGTGTGTGTGTCCGTGTGTCCTGTCTTCTCCGTCCCCAGTGAGTCGTGGAGGATGGCTGCTTATACTGAGCCAGGATCCTCTAGGTTTCTTCCTGTCAAAAGGGAGTTTTCCTCTCCACTGTCACTAAATGCTTGCCTAGTATGAGGACTGCTGTAAAGACTCTTGATACAAGTCAGTGACTTGATGCAACCTGCTGGGTTCCTTATATAGGAAACACTTTACTGATTGGCTTAATGAACTGAACTGAATGTTTACTTTGTGAAGTCCCAACCCATTTCAGCATGATACAATATAAACACAAGTCACAGCTGTAATGTAAGGTTAGCCCTAGCTCCTGCTAATGTAAGCCTGAACTACAGTTAACATTAGCCTGAACTACAGCTAACATTAGCTTGAACTACAACTGATGCTAGCCTGAGCTACAGCTAACATTAGTCTAAACTACAACTGATGTTAGCCTGAGCTGTAGCTAACATTAGCCTGAGCCACAGCTGATGTTAGCCTGAGCTACAGCTAACATTAGCCTGAGCTACAGCTGATGTTAGCCTGAGCTACAGCTAACATTAGCCTGAACTACAACGGATGTTAGCCTGAGCTATAGCTAACATTAGCCTGAGATACAGCTGATGTTATCCTGAGCTATAGCTAACATTAGCCTGAACTACAACCGATGTTAGCCTGAGCTATAGCTAACATTAGCCTGTGCTACAGCTGATGTTAGCCTGAGCTACAGCTAACATTAGCCTGAACTACAGCTGATGTTAGCCTGAGCTATAGCTAACATTAGCCTGAGCTACTGCTAACATTAACCTGAACTACAGCTGATGTTAGCCTGAGCTACAGCTAACATTAGCCTGAACTACAACTGATGTTAGCCTGAGCTACAGCTAACATTAGCCTGAGCTGCAGCTAACATTAACCTGAACTACAGCTGATGTTAGCCTGAGCTACAGCTAACATTAGCCTGAACTACAACTGATGTTAGCCTGAGCTACAACTAACATTAGCCTGAATTACAGCTGATGTTAGCCTGAACTACAGCTAACATTAACCCAAGCTACAGCTAACATTAGCCTGAGCTCCTGCTAATGTCCTTGTTGGATGAGAGGGAAACAGTCAGTAGGTTCAGGCAGCATCAAAGAGCCATTGTTGAATATTGAGCTCCATCAGCCCAGGGTGTTCAGGAGCCCATTGGTTGTGTTGTTCTGATATAAAGATACTTCCTGGTACCAGAACAGTTTGTTTTGTACTGTCAGGTCCAGCTCCATCTAAAACACAGTTCTAAATGGAACTTCTCTGTAACGTTCATACGGTCAGGTCAGACTTTTTCAGAATCTTGACCCAAAACTAATGTCAGAATCACCGAACAGGAGCAGCTCCACAACCAACTAGGTCACCTACAACCTCCATCAGCCATTTAGAGCTTCTGATTGGATCTGGTCTAGTGACAGAGGTCAGAGCAGCATCTGAACATGTCCCTCAACAAATTACCATGGAAGTAGATATCCGACACAAGAGTTTGTCCATCTACTAATTAAATTATGTATATCTGACCCTAACCCTGACCCAGAGCAACCAGAACCAGGCAGCAAGTGGCTGGACTTGTGAACCCAGCACATCTGACCTGACCAGTTCTGTTTACCTTGGTGGGCTCTGATTGGCCAGAACTGATGGTGTGTATCTGATGAACTAATGAAAAGTTCTACGTGTCTGGACCAGAACCTGAGAAGGAACAACAGGAAGTGGAATCGAGGAGACAATTTTATATTTTTAATTTAGACTTTTATCACGTTTGACAGTCTGGTTCTTTAAAAGTCAAAACAAAACCGTAATTTCAACAGATTCTGCTTCGATGTCTAAATAAAGCACTCCTGCTCCACCAAAGTTCGCGTGACCTCACCAGGTGATCCCAAACCGCCAATCGTCTTGCAGCAGGTGATCTGAGCAGCAGGTGAGCAAGAAGAAACAGTCCTCCGGTGTGCTCTTGTGGCTGAGCGGCTGCAGTTTCAGTGTTGTGAGGGCCGGGGTGTTTGTGGCCAGTTAGCAGTGGGCCGGGCCTCACAGGTAACCCTCTTTCTTGAACTGTTCCTGTAGGATGTCTCGGTATTCATCAAAGCCGCCATCGATGCGCCGAACATTCCCACTTTCACACACCCACAGCTCCTTACACACCAGCCGGATCAAACGCTCGTCGTGTGACACCAGGATGACTCCGCCCTGAAATTTGTGACATCAGACAGGTGAGAGACACACCTGAGACACACGATAGATAAACGGGGACGATCACGCCTACTTTGAACTTGTTAAGAGCTTTTGCCAGCGCCTCAATGGTCTCCATGTCCAGGTGATTGGTCGGTTCATCCAGAACGTAAAAGTTTGGACTTGAAAGATAAAACATCATCATCATCACCATCATCATCATCATCAGCAGCAGCAGCAGCTGGCGGCTCCGTCAACTTTACCTTGGCATCGTCATCTGGGCGAAGGCCACTCGGCTCTTCTGGCCTCCTGACAGACTGGCCACCGGCCTCACGGCGAGCTCCCCAGTGATACCGTAACCACCCAGCTGGTGACGATACTCCTCCTCGGTCCGACCTGTGATACAAACCCGGCAGCCAATCAGAGCTTGCCCTGTAGCAGCTGCTGTTTTTCTCATCACCATGGTTACCTGGAAACTTGTGGAGCAGCAGCTCAACAGCGCAGACATTCAGGTCCAGCTGGTCTACGTGATGTTGACTAAAATAACCAATCTTCAAGTTCCTGGAGAGAAAACATCAGTTCTGCACTGTTCCAAGATGCATGTCGGGTTCCCTGATCGAACCACACAGAACTGCTTACAAATCCCTCCAGATCACCTGGACTCGAGGTTCTCCGGTGTTCCTCGAGCCTCCCTAGGTAATCACTTTCCTTGACTGGCCTGCTGGCCGTCTCACCTGTGAGCCTGCCGGACTCCGCTGACTGGGGTCAACTCGTCCATCAACAGTTTCAGGACTGTGGTTTTACCGGCGCCGTTTTCGCCAACCTGCCATGAAACAAGACCTTCAGTGCTGCTTGACTGAGCCGGTGCGATTGGTTACCTGGCGATTACAGCTTGACCTCACAGTGACACGTACAATACAGATCCGAGACTCGAGATCCGCCGACAGGTTGAGTCCGGAGAAGAGCGGCTGGTCTGGACTGTAGTAGAACTCTACTTCATCCAACTGCAGGATGGGAGGAGACAACTTCTCAAAGTTATCTGGAAACCTGCGGCACGAACAGAGCAACCATCAGCTGTCAGCACCTGCAGCTGTGTGTGAATGTGGACACCACGAACCTTAAAGAGACTTCGGATTCTTTCTGGATAGGCTTCAGCTCTGGTCTGCAGGAGACAGGGACAGTTAGGACGCACGCACGCGTGCATGCATGTGCACGCTCACACACACACTCACACACACACACACACACACACACACACACACACACACACACACACACACACACACACACACACACACACTTACAATTTCTCCAGCAGCTTGATTTTACTCTGCACCTGAGCCGCTCTGTTGGCGTTGTACCGGAACCTGTCGATGAACACCTGCAACACAAACACACCCGTTTGACTCCAGTGTTTGGACTGAACCACCTTCATGGTTCTGAGGGGACCATCCTGTCCTCCGTGCAACTGGAACTGGGTTTTGTTCGTCATTAGTAGAGCCCAGGTCACTGTCCTGCAGACTCATGATGCTAGAACACGCTAACCCAACCTGTTCAGCCTGGAGCTCCCCGATGAAGAACATTGATCAGACTTGTTGATCTGCTGATTTTCTTCGTCTTCCGTGAGATGATGCGGCCTCCCGGATGGAATCAGCTGGTTTCGGAACAAAAACTATCCGAAGGACGCTTTTAAAACATTGCTGCTGTTAGATGTGACCTCATCCTGTCAGCTGCAGGTCTGAAGGGGTCCTACAGTCCAGTCCATGTCCATTACTTCCAGACCTGATTTTGTAATTCTCTCCGATTAGGATGTTCTAAAGGTCCTCCAAATCACTCAACCCTTAATATTTATCACCTACCGCCCCCATCAGCACCTAAAGCTCGCCCTCCTCTCTCCCATGAGCCCATTGTACATTAACTACATAGACAGCATGTCTGTGTTTGTGTAACATGGCAGTAGATACAAATCTTTTACCTGTATGTGCTGCCTGTACTGCATCTGGGCTTCAAATTCCCTGTGCTGGTTCTTCAGTCGATCTTCTTTGGTCTTCAGGAAGTTTTCGTAGTCGCCACGGTAACTGTCTAGTCTCTGAGAGTGCAGGTGGATGATGTCTGTTACTACAGCGTTCAGGAAGTTTCTGTCGTGGGAGACGACCAAGATGGTGGACTGCCATGTCTGAGGGGGAGGAGTCACATCAGTCTAGGCTAACTCAGGGGTAAAGGCTCCTGTTGCTAATGCTACAGACCTGCAGGTAGTTCTCCAGCCACAGAATGGCTCTGATGTCCAGCATGTTGGTGGGCTCTGAAACAAACACACACACACACACACACACACACAATAACTAAAACTGACTGAACCACTACAACAGGAAGTGGGCGGAGCCTCCTGGGGAAACTCTTAACTCACCGTCCAGTAGCAGCAGGTCAGGTCTAACAGAAAACAGACACGTGATGAGTCATGTGATCAGTGACTCGAAGCAGTTAGGTCAGTTAGTGTCAAACTCACCGAGCGAAAAGAGCTCTGGCCAACGCCAGTCTCATCCTCCAGCCCCCCGAGAACTCCCTGCACACACAAAACACGCTCAGTCACTGCTGTACATACACACAGAGAGAGAGAGAGAGAGAGAGAGAGAGAGAGAGAACGAGAGAGAGCGAGAGAGCGAGAGAGAGCGAGAGAGAGAGCGAGCGAGCGAGAGAGAGAGAGAGAGAGAGAGAGAGAGAATGAAACACCCCTCACTTAGTGGCTTGCTGTTGCATTCTGGGAGAAAATCCAAGCCCAGCCAGGATGATGGAGGCTCTGATTGGATGAGACAGACGGAGCTAGTTACCTGCCCTATGATTTCTTGTTTCGACTGTTCAGATTATTTCTTACGAAGTAAATTTATCGCAGTCTTTACCAAAGTGACAGTTACGTCGTGTTTCCGTGTGTTTGCCATATTTACCGAGCAGGGGCTTTGTCAGCTTCAATCTCCTCTAGTTTGGCGTAAATCTCGGACAGACGGACGCTCTCCATCCCCTCGGCCCTGAAACAATAACCGCCATCAGTACCAGCCCCCAGCGTGTCATCAATGCTCTGATTGGACGAACGCGCCTTGAACAGCATCACCTGCCACTGGCCGACTAGTGTTAGCTACGTACGTTCCACTGGCTATTCGGGCGTTCAGGCGCCGCTCCTCATTCAGCAGCTCCTCTCGTAGCGTGTCGCTCTCCAGGACGCTCTGCAGCGCCATCGTTTCATCTCCTGCTACTTCCTGTTCAACATGAAGGATGGAGATGTGGGCTGGAACACGGAGGTTCCGACTGGCTAGCATCTTCAGCATTGTTGTCTTCCCCAGACCGTTCCGACCAATCAGACCATAGCGCCGGCCAGACGCCAAACACAGCTCCGCCCCCTGCAGCAGACACCTGAACACAGGGAAAAGCATGGTAGAAAAGTGTGCCTCACACGTGCACACACACACGCACACACACACACACCTCTTCTCACCTCTCTCCAAAGGAAATGTCAAAGTTTTCGATTCGGATGTCGTAGCTCCGGTTCTTCCCGGACTGGTCGACCCGGTTATCCTTCTTACTGCTGGCCTGACTGGCTGACGCCTCCTCCAGGACTCTTGAGAGGCCACAAAAAGACAGGTGAGGGGAGGACAAATGAGGACAGTTGAGGACAGGTGAGGCATATGACTCACAGTGGACCAGATGTTTTCTGGGAGTCCCTCTCGTTCCGACGCTCGTTCTTGGCCTTCAGCTTGGCTTCAGCCTTCTCCAACTTTTTGGCATCGACCGTCTGAGGAGAAACAACCAGAGGGGATGGAACGCTTTGTAGCTACGCCAACAACACTTTGCTCTGCCATTTAGCTGCTGCTCTCAGCTCCCCGTCAAACAGGAAGCCCCATCTCGACAGACCAGAAGGAACGCTCTGGAGGTCTCTAGCACTTACCGTGTTCTGAGATCGTTTGATCATCCAGATCCCATGAACGTCTTTGGTTGCCGAGCCTGAGAAGCACACACATTCATCAGCCCTGCTCTTCACGTGAGGGTCTCAAATACTGTCGGGTTCTTACCAGAGCCGGCAGACATCTGAGACAGCTGGACGGGAGCGTCCAGCAGCACCTGTTTCTGTGGGGGGTGTTGGTGGTGGTGGTTGTTCCTGGCAAACACAAACCAACAAGGATCTAACGAATCTTCCCACTGATGTGAAACGTGAGGAACGTAGAACGACACCATAGCATCTGCTTACAGCTTGAGCGTGTTGAACATCTGGAGACAGATGTCTCTGATGTCATCCTCATTTTTACTGTCAGCAGAGACATCCTGAAGGACACCCCCAATGGCATCAAACACCTCCTCACCATCTTCAAAGTCTGCTCCCCCACTGTCCAGCACACCTGGAATAAATGCACAGGTAGACCTTGTTTATCTGGAAAGCTGTTGAAACACATCTGGAATCACAGCAGACTTCTCTTCTCAACATGGGGAGACAATGAGAGAAAAGAGGTCATCATTGAACCTATCAGCCAGAACATTATAACCACCTGCACACGGACTCACTGGACCTCCCTCCTCCACGTGTCCATTCTGGGAGCAGGACAGTGGTCATTGTGGACACCTGATGTTCCTGGTTCTCAGAGCTGTGGTTCTGATCCAGCTATCCAACATCAGTTTGTTTCCTCTGACAAGCCCTGCCCACCATCAGGTGTCTCAGTAACCTGGTCGTCTACCAGTGGTCATAATGTTCTGACTGATAAGAGCTCACGATCTGGTTCTGATCAACACTTTGCTAATAAAGCTAAATTCAAAAGAACCACATGCCAGCCACGTGCTGGATCAGCCCAGTTTGTAGTCCACTAGGAACCCAAATCATTTATCGGTTTGACATTAGCTGTTGTCAGTGTTTATCCTGGTTCAGTCCTGACCGAACCTGGATCCGGTATGGTCCGGCCCTTTTTACGTCCCAGTCCTGATTGATCGTCAGCGAGCCCAGAGCAGCGGGTACCCGGCAAACAAGCTAATCAGACGCCGTCGTGCTTCGCTTTCAGCGCCAGTGGTCGTTGGATCAGCGGCTAAAAGCCCCGGTTGACGAAGGCTGTCACCGGTGCTCAGCGGGTAAAAGCCCCGGCAGATGGAAGCTATGTCCCCGGCGCTCCGCGACCAGAAGCCCCGGTACACGGAGGCTCTGTTTCCGATCACCCACCTGTGATGTAGTGAAAAAGCTCCGCGTCAATCTCAGGAAACTCTTTTTTGAGAATGTCCACGTACGCCGCCATGATACCCGGCCCTGGAAACGGCTAAAACGCGCATGCGTTGGCAGTTGATGACGTCCTAAATATGTAAACTTTATTGAGAGTACAAAAAAGTACAAAACACTTCCTGCCAAAAGCAAGAAAAAATCAATAAAAACGCCAAAGGAAAGCTACTGATAGTTACTAATGCCACGATAGGTAGCAGAAATTGTGCCTAATTATTTAATTTAGTTTTTGAGTCTCTTATTTTTGTTTTCTCTGAATTTTGTTGTTTAAAACTTATTTAGACATTTTCTTTATTATTTACTGGCATCTTAAATTATTAGATGCATTTCTTTCTCATATTTTCATACAATACCAGAAAACACTTAATTTCCACTTTCTTACCAGTTATAGATTAGTGATCAGTAGCTTTCTACAGATGTTGGAAGCTGTTCACACGGAACTTTAACATTCATAAGTAGTTGTAAACGTCTCATTCATTGCTGCATTCCACACAGATGGTTAACTATTCATTAATGTACACTATCACTATCTGTAGACTTTAGTGATAGTTTTATTTGCAAAACAGTCTTAAGACTTGTGTCCTCATCTTTCCCTATTTGTCTCACATCTTGAGCACTGCAGCCTGCAGTTCTGCCTCCTGTCTTTTCCTCATGGACACGTCTCTATAAATGGTCTCACTACCGTCTTCTTCGCCCTTCCTCTCATTCTTGCTGAAGCCCTTTTATCACACATCACATTTTTCTCCACCTGCTTCCAACCAGCTTAACACACTTCTTCACCTCTTTTCCATACTCTGTTGCTTTGGACTATAGGACCAGAGTACTAAAAATCCTCGACCATCTTTACTTCTTCTCCCCAACATCAACGTTCCACTTGTGTCCTTCTCATTTACACACGTATTCTGTCTTGCTGTGACTAATCTTCATTCCTCTCTTTTAAAGTACATTCTTCACCTCTCTAGCTTCTCCTCTAACCCACACCCTGCTCTCACTGCAGATCACAGTCATCTGCAACATCGTAGTCCATGGAGGCTCGACTCCTGTTTAACAACATCTGTCAGCCTGACCTTTACCAAATTAAACAAGACAGGGCTTAAAGCCGATCCTTGATGCACTCCCACCGCCACCTTGAACTGCTCTTTCACTCCTGCAACACAGCTCTCATACATGGCACTCTACGTCAGGGGTGTCAAACTCATTTCAGCTCAGGGGCCACATTGAGGAAAATCTAGTCCCAAGTGGGCCGGACCGGTAAATTAAAAACAACTTCAGATTGTTTTCTTTGTTTTAATACAATCAATATAAAACAAGGCTGGAGCCTGAGGACAGTGTATCCAAAATAGTACAACACCTGAAGTGTACTTGAAAATCTGAAATAAATAAATAAATAAATAAATAAAACATTCCTTAGTGGTTCAGAGCTTACAGATAACAGTTTCATGCAGCACTTAAAGTATATTTGACTCATTTTACTTAACATCTTTTAGCTTTCACCAGCACATCAATATCAGGAGTCACATCCTGAGTGGCGGCCGACTTCAGGATGTGATTCAAGTTTTTGTGTGAGACTTAAGCGCAGCTTTGTTTTATTTATACTCGTTACAGAGAAAACTTGCTCACAAAGATAAGTTTATTTTCACTCTACATTGTAAAGTATGAAAATAAAGTTTACACAACCATCTCGTGGGCCAGATTTAACCTGTTTGCGGGCCCGATCCGGCCCGCGGGCCATATGTTTGACACCCCTGCTCTACGTTCTTCTCTGCCACTCCAGACCTCCTCCTTATTGCCACTGGCAATCCCTCAGCTCTATAAGAAACAATCCCTCTGGGATTAATAAAGTATTATTGAATTGAATTGAAATGCACCTAGTCAATCAGAAAAGCAAAATCTGAATATTATAAGAACCTGTTTCTGATGTTCTGACTCCAAAAAGTTCTGGCAGAATGTCAAGACTATGGAAATACCAATAAGTCCTCACACTTGCCAAATGCAGTCAAATCTGAGGGCATTGTTGTCTCAGATAAAACTAAAATGGCAAATTCCTTCAATAATCACTTTATCAAGTCCGGTCATGCCTTTGCAACAGCTTCACCCATCTCTGGGGTCTCTGACCTCGACCCAGCTATATGCAATGATTCCCTCTCCACAACCAATTCCTGTTTCTCCATTCAGTTGTTTCAGGTAAACGACACTGGTACTTGACAAGTTACTCAGGGTAGATCCTCATAAATCACCTGGACTGGATACTCTTGACCCTTTCTTTCTGAAAATAGCAGGACGTGTTATTGCTGCACCTATCTATCCTAATCTGTCCCTACAAACTGGTGCATTTCTGCAGGACTGGAAATTTGCATCTGTTACTCCACATTTTAAAGGGGGAGATCATTCAGACCTAAGCTATTATAGGCCTATCTCTATCCTGCCTTGCCTCTCTAAAGTCATTGAAAAGCTTGACAACTAACAGCTAACTGGAATTCAGCAGTATTATTACCCCCTAGCAGTCCAGCTTCAGAACTGGACATGGATCTGTCTCTGCAACACTTAAAAGTGCTAAATGACAAATGTGCCACTGACAATAAGGAATATTGTGTTTGTTGACTTGGCTAAAGCCTTTGACTCTGTGGATTATAACATCTTGCTTAGCAGGCTCAAACATATCGGACTTTCTCAAGCATCCGTGACATGCTTCAGAAGTGATATCTTAGACCGTACGTGAGAACAGAGGGCTACCAATCTGCTCCTCTACCTCTATCTATGGGCTTTCCTCAAGGGTCGATACTAGGCCCCATGGACGTAATTTTCACTTTAGAAGTGGGGGGGACATGGAGTGTGGTGGGGTGGGGGTGGTGGTGGGGGGGGGATCTTTACAGTATGCTCTAATGGGAAACAGGCTTCAACACAAACAGTTGTTTTCCGCTTGGTCCTAGAGCTCAACCAGTGTCAATTTAATCAGATTTCAGATTTCAGATTTATTGGCCAAGTAAAATTACATTTACAAGGAATTTGTCTTCGGTAGATGTTCGGTAATATAGCGTAATATTGTTTTTGGATGGTAAAAAGTGCAGGGGTCAAAACTTGACTTTGGAAAAAGTGGGGGGGGGGGGGGGGGGGGACATGTCCCCCCTGTCCCCCCCAAAATTACGTCCATGCTAGGCCTAACCTTATTCAAAAATCTATATTATATATTAATAACGTTGCTCACGCTGTTGACGGTTCTCATATACATTTATATGCAGATGACACCATTTTATAAGCATGCAGTTCTTCCTCGAACACAGCTTTGTCCTCCTTACAGCACAACTTTGTCTTCAACATGCCTTCTCCAACCTTCATCTTCATTTAAACACAAGTAAAACAAAGTTCATGATCTTCAACTGTAACTTACCACCCTAGTATTGGTTCCCTGGTTGGTAAAGTACTACAATTTGTCAGTTTGTGTAAGTATCTGGGTATCTGGCTTGACTTTCTAAAGTCAAGAATTGGGTTTCTACAGCAACAGGTCATCCTTTACTCATTCTGCAAAGCAATCCGTGGTCAAAATGACAATCCTTCCCATCTTAGATTACGGTGACATCATTTATAGGACTGCTTCCAAAAAACATCTTCATAAACTCGATGTCATTTATCACTCAGCAATCTGTTTGGTCACTGGTGCCCCTTTCACTACTCATCATTGTGATCTGTACCCACTCACTAACTGGCCATCACTCCATTCCTGCAGGATGTTCCATTGGTATTAACTTAAATACAAAACAATCATCGGTAGAACCCCGTCATCGTTTCTAACAACAGCACAATTTACGTTCTCTACGGTTATTCCCAAAGCTCGCACCTCCTTTGGCCGCTCCTCATTCCAGTTTGCTGCTCCCATACAGGAATGAACAGCATAAATCACTAAAGCTCACTACCTACATTCTGTAGCGACACGAATGGTCTCATTTGTGACCCAAAGGTCACACTTCCTCAGCTGGGTCAAGCTGTCCTGGCTGTACTTCTATCTACAGATTATCCATCACAGGAGACGCAAAGTCTGTAAGTAAGTAAAAGTTTATTTATAGAGCGCCTTTCACAGATATAAATCACAAAGCGCTGTACAACATGATAAAGATCAGGGCAAATACCTCTAACCAATAAAAACATCAGAAAAACAATAGCAGTGATAAACGTAGAAAATAAAATCATGAGTATAAACAAAGTGAAGGTGTGAACCCGAACAAAGCCATCATTCTGAAACATTTAGGGAGGGAACGCCTGGATGAAAACGTGAGTTTTTAGATGATATTTAAAGATCTCTACAGTGTTAGAGAGACGGAGATTTGAAGGCAGACTGTTCCAAAGTCTGGGGGCAATAGTCTGAAAGGCCCTGTCCCCTTTGGTTTTCAGTCTGGTTCGAGGAACAGCCAGGAGGTTTTCAGATGTGGATCTAAGGTTCCGAGAGGTGGTGTGTGGGGATAAAAGCTCAGATAGGTAGCTTGGAGCCTGGTTGTTAAGAGCTCTATAGGTCAGGACTAAAACTTTAAACTGTATTCTATTTTCTACCGGGAGCCAGTGGAGGGACTGTAAAACTGGAGTGATGTGAGCTCGTCTGCTGGATTTGGTTAGGAGTCTGGCTGCTGCATTTTGGATGGCTTGAAGGCGTGAGAGGGAGGTTTTGCTGAGACCAGTAAAAAGAGCGTTACAATAGTCTAAGCGTGATGACACAAAGGCATAGATGATTTTTTCCAGATCTGCAGTAGAAACCAGTTTATGGACTTTTGAAATGTTTCTCAGTTGGAAGAAACAAGAGCGGGAGATGGTTTTGACTGCTGTGGACCATCTTTAATCTGACTGTTGTTCCATCCGCAAGACAAAGGACACTTCAAGACTTAAAAGAATCATTTTTAATAAACTCTTTTCACTGTCTATTACAATGTTCATAAATAATCATCAAGGTTCATTATAAATGTATTTAATTACTGAATTGAATTATTATTCTTTGGTTAATAATTATTATTTATGATAATCAGTAATGTTGAACAGGGACAAAAAGATCATGTGCACTTCTACACACCATGCAGGACACAGTAAATCAGGTTAAAGGTAACTGCACTCACATGTCTTTGTCACATGACACCAGAACTTTCTATCTTGAGAGGGCGTGTTCCGAGGTATGTTAAGTCCCGCCCTCTAACATGTCAAAATCTAATTCGTTAGCATAAGATTAAAATCTTTAAATTGTTAGCAATAAATTCTTAACTTTTTAAACCTGACTCTTCTTTGAATAAAACACAGAGTGGTGTAAATTGATCACTGAACGAGCAAAGATCTCTTTAGATCTTCTGAATTAATAAATAAACGTTTGCTATTAATTTAAATCTCTTAAATTAAATATTAAACTTTTGATTAAATATAGACCAAGCCAGTTGGTGTATGAACTTCTATCGATTATATAAATATCCGTGGATATATATAAGTTTCATTACCAATTTGTTTGATCTTTCTCAGAATTTAACAAAGCTGAATAGCAACAGCTTAAATTCTAGTTATGTAGATTAACAACGCCACATAAAATGGCGAGCCTTTGCCAGTCTTGTTCAGATCAAAACACCCTATTGTTGTGTTTTATTTTCAATAATTTGTAAAACGGGGAGCTGTGTCTCTTTAATTTTCTTCCTCCGGAACGCCCGGGAGGGAAGCTTTTTACTGTAACACCGGCTTCCGGCATAAACTTCCGGTAGTCCGAAACACAGTAAAATCAGCAGAGTCTGTAAGAAGCGAGTGCTTCAAACTACATTCTAATTCCTAAAAGTAAGTGAATGTGTGTTGATGCGTTTATTCGTCACCTTGTGTGTATACATTGTGTCACTCCTGAGTCCGAGAATTCGATCTCTCTCTTCACGTTAGCACAAAGCTAATCACCAGACAGTCTGATCAACTGTTGAATAGCACTTTTTCCGATAAAATACCCGGACTCTTCCGAGCCTTCGGAACAACCAGACTGTGGTCTGAAGAGTGATCGTGATCAAGCTCGACACATCACTGAATGCGCACACTTTCACCCGCTTAGCTTAGTGACTAGCACGGCCTGCTAGCGTCCGAAGCCACAATAGCGGTAAGCGTTTGCGTCTGAACACCGCATAATATACGCTAAAACCGGCCTAAGACAACGAGAACCAGTGCACAGGTCCGTTGCAGTCGAAGAGGTTGTCCCCACTGGACGTAAACTAACCTATTAAGTCCTGATTCTGTTCAAATCCAGGCCTTGCAGACGAGTGGGGGTTAGACCCCCAGAACTTGTTCCATGTTCTGTAACTGTCAAGACTTTCCCTCATGACTTAAATCTTGTCTTCTAGGTCTGCCCTCCACTTCTCGATCGGTCCCATGACTCTGACACATCCCGTGTACATCTCCCAGCATGCAAGGATGCCGTTCACCCTTGGCATGGACTTTCTGAGGCGCATTGATGCTTTCATTGATGTGGAAGAGGGGGAACTCTGGTCAGGGGTTGCAGAACCCCTGCCCATCGTTCCGCCTCCTGACCTCCACTGTCTCACGGTTGGTAGCAGCAGGCGGGAACATCATGTTCACCACCTAGCCCAGAACCTTTGCCACCACAGATTCAGCTTTCATCAGAGTCACATTCTGTTGATTTCTCTAACGTAGCTGAGGCTTCTACCACTGTAGTCGAGCGAGACAAACAACAACTTGTGTTAAAATATCCTGATTGCAATAATCTTTCTCTTTCCACCATGTGGACAGGTAAACACCTTTCCAGCTACATCGGTGGCCAGAAACTCAGCTTTGAAACTCGACTTCCGCTAGTGAACTTCCTTAACGGTCATCTCAACAACTTGACAGACCCACTTGCCACTCAAGGTAAGGATGTGGGCACCCCATGGTCCCTCAAACTCTTGTGACCCCCTGATGATGCATCCATCTGTCAGCCATCTGATGGGTTTGTGTCTGATCAACTTGCCTTTTCTGTTAACGACCTTGTCAGTCTTCAGTTCCAGGACCCTGCTATCAGCAGGATGATCTTGCACCTTTCTGATCCAAAAGCTCATTAACATCCTTCTCTGCAGTTTGACCCCGTTCCTGAGCTGCGTGCTCTCTTTTGTGTTCGTGTCACTCCTCCTTCAGGTGTTGTTGACCACAACGGCGCCGGACTGACCAAGGAATCCAGTACCTCTACGATCATTGATGTCCACAGTGTCCCTGCAGCAGAACCACTCCTACCTGAGTTGGGAAAGCCACCTGACCCAGGGGAGGCTGACGCTTGCAGCGACGCTCCGCCTGAGACGCCACACCCTGCAGTGGGGACACCACCTGCCACAGGGAGAGTTGATGGTGGCACTGAGACTCCAGCTGAAGCCCAGTACTTTGCGGTGGGAACACCACCTACCAAAATGGGGGCCGACGCCATCACTGACCTTACTCCACTACAGCTGGCGCTGCTGACCGCTACAATTCCATTATCTAACTTCAATAATTCCTTGCAATCATTAGTTTCTAACTAATGTGCCTGCTTCTGAGTTTTTAAAGTTTGTTTTAAGTCTGTTTTATATATGAGAACAGTTCTTTGTCTTTATGTCTAACTGTTTTATCTTATTTTTATCTTACCTGTTCTTCTTTGGTGTAAAGCTAACTATGTGTCTGTTGCTGCTGCCTCTTGGCCAGATCGTCGTCGTAAATGAGAAGGAGTTCTCAATCGACTATCTGGTTAAATAAAGATTAAATGGAAAAAAAAATCCTCATGGACTACAGCTCCTCTCTCTAAATCTAGAAAGACACAACACAGCTCTCTCTGACCATTTCTACGTCTCCATCAGCATCCTTAGAGGCAAAAGAGCATCTGAACTCTCTTAGTATGAAAACTGAACTGCTGCTCACTTCTATCCCCAAGCCTAGCTTCCACCAATCCCATACCTTTATTATGACTCTAGCATCTGTTGATGCCACAATTCTTTACATCTCTATTGTTCTAGGAGACGAGACTGGCACCAGAATGCCTTTCCTCCATTGCTTCACACTTGTCAAAATTTAGTTGAAAAACCTAATAAAACCTTTTACTGCCACTTCTCCTTGATGTTTCCATAGGTATATCATTAGGGCCAATTGCCTTTCCCACGTGTATCCTCACTAATCAGCTATTTCCTGTCCCACAACAATCACCTATTCTACTCCACATTCTCTCTGCTTTTCTTCAGCCATCAGCTTTAAAAAATACTTCCCACGTTCCCATCAAACACATTTGCATCCCTTCTTTAGTAACCTTAATCTAAACTAGTGAAAGTTAAAGTGGTAGGGTTGTGGGTTGGATTTGTAAAATACGTGAAATCAAGGAACGCTGTTGTAAAATACCGGTTTTGGGGTATTGCCGTATTACCCGTAGTAGGAGGACTTTTTCTGTCTGAGCAGTTCCCAATTGCGCCCACTGAGCGACGCACTGCGCATGCTCCGCCTTGTAGCCGTTAGCAGAGCAGCAGGATAATAGCCGGAGTGTATAATGGCGGCCTCTGTGTTGATGGGGGCGGCGGAAAACGCCGGACTCCACTTCACGGTCGGAGCCGGAGGCAGCACCAGGACTGCTTTAATAGGAAACGCAAACGGACTGGACCCGGTGGGTCCGGCTTCCTGGAACCGTTCTCTGGAGCGGGCGCTGGATGAAGCCTCGGTAACAGGGTGTGTAAACCTGAGCGGCAGGAAGCTGAAGGAGTTCCCCCGGAGCGCTGCCAACCACGACCTGACGGACACAATAAAGGCCGGTAAGTTGCTCCACAGCCGCCCGGGCCTCACAGGGCCGGCCTCGTCTCCGCTGGCCGCCTTGGAGCCAGTTGCTCTTGACTTTGCTGCGGGGGAAGTTGCATCCAACTTGGGAAAACGCGAAGAGGCGGTGTTGTGGTAACCGCTGCTACCCCATGAAACAATGCCCTCTTTCCGCTGTGGTTCGTGTTTAGACGGGTCACGTTCTGGCCTCTACGGCTGCTCTGTTTTCAGATGAAGGAGATTCGCCTGGAGACATTTATCCGGCATTAATATCAGCTCCATCCGCTAACAGGCTAGCAGTAGTTAGCCTGGCTTCTGTCAGGTGGAAACGGCGCTGTTTTACCGGGTTTCTAGGTGGAGGGACCGTATCTTGAGGGCCACAACACCGGTGCAGCGGTCTTTTACTTATAGAGAGGGTTTGTTTCTCCGGTTCCGGGTCACCGAGGTAGGGACAGCCTCCTACAGCCCTCGCTACGTCAATAACTATGAAAGCACCTGTGTGGCTTTGTTTGGTAGCGGCTCCGCCCACCTCGGTGCGTTAATGAGGGGGAAACAATCAATCAGATCCACAACAAACTAATCAGCCCATTAGTTACATTGTTATAGTCAGTTAATCTCTAAGACAAACTACATTATCCATGCATCCTAGCCACTGCTCCACTAAAATGCACTAGAATGTGTGCTCCTGTGGTGACAGGTGATTATTAAGAAGAATTAATCCTTGGGGTAATTATTTGTGGGCATGCGACCCATCCATGAAGAGCAGAGGGCACCAGAGCCTAGGACCTCTTGACCCTTGGATCATGGAACAGCCGCCCATGGACTGGGCATCACCTGCTTCTGAGCCACAGGAAGTAGAGGTTACCATGGCGATTATGCATACATTCTGCTGGTCAGGGGCTAATGCACCCACCAGTGCATCTGCTCCTTTTTCCTGTTAAGAGAAGACAAACGTGCTGGATTTGGACGGAGTCGTCGTTGCTTCAAACAGCCTATCTGAGATTATGAAACAAATTCACCGTCATCTCATGTTCACACATGCTGACACACTGGAGGTAGACAATCACTCAAACTGCTTATCAGTGGAGAGTGTTTGGGGGGTAGGAATGGGTTTTACGTGCAGTGATTCACAACAAAATTACTCCGGTCCAATTTAGCCCAAAGAGTCCAAATACACTCAGTTCAGTGATCCTAATTCAGACTCGGGTTCTAACTATGAATAGATGTGACAGTGTGAGCGTCCTGTCACACTGTCCCGATTGATCATGCGCCCTGGCTACTTGGCCAAGGGGATGTCCCTTTGGCTGACTGGTTAGCGCACGTGACTCTCACCCGGGAGTCTGGGGATCAAATCCTGCCCGGGCCCTCGTTTCTCCATCTTGCCACAATAGACATAAAGGAACCAGCTTATTTACAACCACAGATGGGAAATGGAAACTGGTTCCACCAAAGGAGCCTGAGAACTAAAAGCTCTACCTTTTGTTCTACTTTTAGAACCTTTAAGAACCACATATAAACCTGCTGTCTGAGAGCCAGGAGCTATGCCCACAACATCTGGAACAAGAAGCCCTCTAACAGGAGAAGCAGCTTGGTCTTTCAGAGCTTTAGTCATTTGAAGTGAAGTTTTAAATTCAGTTCTAAATCTTCCAGCGAGCTGATGAACTGATGCTGAAGTTGATCACTATACTTAAGAGATACCATAAGATAAGACTTTATTGATCCCACAGTGGAATTTTTTTCTTACCACAGCTCCATCAGATACGCAAAGTAGTGTAAAAGTGACCAAGAATGCAAAAGTAAAAAAGACAAGACACTATAAACAACAGTAGTGCCTATCTGGACACACACACAGTAAGCATTATAGATAGGGGGGTTGTGAAACATTGCGGAAATAATATGTATTAAAAAAACAGCTGTTCTGCTACAACTACGTTTTATTGTCCAAGTGATGGATATACACAGGCATGAACATGTTAGCACTAGGGTCGTCACGGTGTGAAAATGTCACCTCACGGTTATTGTGACCAAAATGATCACGGTTTTCGGTATTATCGCGGTATTTTTTTAAACGTGTTACACTTTCAGACAACTAAATAAACTGTATATCGGGAAAATATTCTTCATGTGATCGGCAAATCTAAACCCACGTTTCCTGTCATTTCCACCCACGAATAAAACGTTTGCTGCGTATCTTTGTACTCCTTCTGCTACGGGTGAATAAACGTTCATATTTTTTTACTTTTTCCATGAGGCGTTCTTCAATCTGTTAGGTGTCTGCTGCTAATCAGGGTATCCGCGGGTCCTTAAAAAGTCTTAAAAAGTCTTAAATTAGCTTTTCCTAATTTAAGGCCTTAAAAGTCCTTAAAAATGACAAATAATCCTTAAATCCAGTTTCCAGAGGTCTTAAATTACCAATGACCAATGGTACCAATGAAACAAGATTCTTTTATTTCTATAAAAATTTCGTGAATTTCTAGTCAGTGTTCAGCATTTTTTGTGTATGACGTTGGCGTGAGCGGAACCGTACGCAGTCAGTTGGGTGTGAAAGGGGGCTATTTTTCTAGATAAGCACATTAGCTGGTTAAGCTAGTGGGAGCTTGCGCCATGGGGAAGGGCAAGTTTAATGGTAACTGGATGGCTAATCCCACGTCCGTGACGTGGTTAGCACCGGTTCCAGGCAATAGCTGGAAATTATCGCTTAAATTTATTTTTTAAAATAGCTTAAATTTGGTCAAAGTGGCCTTAAAAAAGGTCTTAAAAAGTCTTAAATTTGGCTCCCTTAAATCTGCAGGTACCCTGGCTAATACTTTCCTTTCCTGAGCGGGTAATGGTGGTGCTGTTGACGAATTTAAAGGAAGCGATGTCCTGACCACCGGTCACAAGCTTGCGGTCTCCATCACTTTTGGCAGTTTAAAAGTTGGGCTTGTCTCCGTCATCTTCTGCGAGGCCATTGGGAGAGCCCTTGCACCAACGCATAATGGCGTTGCGTGTCTCTGTACCAACGCAGACGGAGAAGTATAAATTAATTGGGCTTTACTCTCATCTTAATTCTGACAGCAGCATTCTGGATCAGCTGGAGCCTCTAAGAGAACCTTTAAAACGTCCTAATTAAAGAGATTTACACTAATCTGGTCTGAAAGGAATAAAAACAAGGACTAGCTGCTCTGGACTGGACAGTAGGACTGTAGGAGTCCTTCAGATCTCCAGTTGATGGGGTGAGTTCACATCCAACAGCAGCAATGTTTTTCCTGAAACCAGCTGATTCCATCTAAGAGTCCGCTTCACCTCACAGAGGATGATCAGTTTCTCATCAGAGAGCTCCAGACTGTTGGGTTTTGTTTGGAAAACGGGTGAATCAGTACTGATCTGTTCACAAAGTTCTGCTCATTGTGTGTGTGTTTTCAGATTTGTCTCGGAACCGCATGTCGGAGCTTCCTCTGGAGGTTTGTCTCTTCGTGTCTCTGGAGTATCTGAATCTGTACCAGAACTGTCTCAGGTCTTTGCCAGACAGCCTCGTGAACCTGCAGACACTGACCTATTTGAACCTCAGGTGTGTAACACACACACGCACACACACACACACACACACTTCTGTTTCCTTTTAGTTGTAAGATGTGAGGAACCCATAGACTGTTCAGTAAAGCCCAGAATGCAACCATAAGAGGTCACAAACCAGCGAGTCTTTGTGCCGGCGGGTCCCAAGCCTGCATAGATGCAGAGGGTTGTGTCGGGGAGGGCATCTTTTGTAAAACTTAAGCCAAATCGACTATAGGAATGATAAACAGGTACTTCATATCAGCTCGGCCAAGGCCCGGTTTAACAACGACCACCACCGGTTCTGTGGACCTTCAGGATGCTGGTGGAAGTTGGACTGCTGTTGGTTGACAGAGAAGTGGAGGAGGGTGTGTTTGTAGGCAGAGAGGAGGGAAGGGAAGAGTGTGGAACTGAAAGCAGGGACTGTACATGTCGACAGGTAAAGCTAGAGAGCTGGTGGTCATGATGAGAGGGAAGGTGGATAAAATGTGTGATCAGGAGACCAGGTGGAATGGTTGCAAGGCTAGAAGCTCAGGAGAAATCTAGCATAGATGGGAAGAGAGAGTAGGAGTTATCCTGAAGACGGAGTCTGGTCTGGAAGTGAAAA